AGAATGTCCATATTCTCGCAAGAGAACTTGACAGTCATTCCGGGACGGCGCTGTCATTCAGGACTCGCTATCCTGCTATACTAGCATGTGCTCGCGCTTAATGCAATTTGTCGTTTTGCTACAATCCCTTCGCGTCCCCTTGTCCTCTTTGCTGCGTTGCCCGCCTGATCTTTTGCTAATCGGCATGTGCAGCTTGGTCTCGTTCTCTCAACTGCAAAAGCAGATCATCGACCTCGCCACGACCCATTTCGTGCACCTACCTGTTCGTCCACCGCCGGAAGACCTGGCCCAGGTACCATCGAATCTGCCATCCTTCCTTGGAGACACAATCGCATCGAGGTATGTAAACATGGAACTCGAATGCATGGCAGAGATACCTAACCATCTTATAGACAGGTACGATCTGCTTACATAGCGCATACTGTCTCGAAATTGATCACGTACCGTGTCTTCGGCCCCTTCTTGTTCAGCCTTGGTCGTCGCTACGACAAGGCGGATTCGCTATTTCTCTCCATGAGCCACCACATCCGCGACAAGAGCACGCGTAAAGAAGCGATCTGGCGCCAACAGACCTTACTTGCAGCCTTCACCAGCAGCGGTGCCAAGCAGCGCATCAACACAGCTGCAGGCACCGTTGTTGAAGAAATCGTGAGCGCGATCAAGCACTTCGCCGATCCCAGAGAAGAAGAAGGCATCAAGATCGCCGTGAAAAGGATTGTGAAGCTTGCGGCTGAGACCTGGCGATTTGCACGCCTCGAGCGCGAGATGATCAACGCCACAATGCCTGCGATTTCGGGACGAAGAGCACCAGTTCACTGGACCAGAATTCTGGCCCTCTTATGACCCCTACAAACCCGAAGGGACGCTCATAGGTTCGCTAGTCGACCACCCAGCATCAGCTGACGAAAAGCCTCAACTCCTCTTGAGGCTGTTCCCAGTCATCTGGCGCGAGCAGAAACACGAAAATTTCCACGCCAACGGCGAGAAGCCCGATGAAGGATGCATATTCCATCACGGGCTAGCCCTATATGAGGATGCTGAGCCCGTCGCTCAAAGAATGGAAGAACTTAAATCTGCTGGTTTGCCCTCCTATACCACTACTGCGTCTCCGACGATTGCTGAAAATGGCAAGTTTCCCCCACCTATCGTCCCGCCGCCTCGAGAGACTCCTCCGAATCCCCCAGCAATGGCTGAAAAAAGCGATCGATCCACCACGCGAACCGCGCCTCCCTCACCTACCGAGTACCTTGAGAAGTCTGAGGAAAGACAAAAGACACCTCCACCTCCACCGTCATCAATACCATCATTTGACGAGGCACCGCCCTCAACATTTGTGAAGGCTTATCAGCGTCCTCCCCCGGGACCGATTGACTTCGCGTCACCTAGAGACCTGATCGGGCTTCCGCCGCCAGTAGAGAGTGTCTTCACTTCTCACTCTGCGACGCCAAAGAAGACATCCGTGGCGCCACGTGCACCTACGAGTGTGGAATCAACATCCACGAGATCTGTACCTCGTGAGTCGAGTATGGCTTCACCTCCACCACCTTCTGTGCCACCACCACCACCACCGGTGCCTGATCGCATGAGAGAGCCTCGTCAAACAACCTCCGTAGAAAGTGCTATTCTTCCCGACTCGTTTCCCGAGCCATCGCCGAGCGACAAACCGCCGACACCACCACATTCTCGATCTGGCACACCTGAAGAGCGACCGATTTCACCGCTCTTTGAAGCCGTCGACGAAATTGAGTCGTTGCACAGTCATCAGTCTCGCCCGTCATCGAAGTCTTTGTCCCGTCGCCGATCCACCCACAGCCGTCGCTCGAAAGAGTCAAAGGATTTGAAGGATGAAATGCCTAACGTCGAACCTGCGACTGACCGTCATGAGACCAGTCGTCGCACAAGTGGCTATGCTCTTAGTACCAAAAGCGCTAAGACCGTTGACAGTGAGCGTACCGACCGTACTTCGCGCAGCGAGAAGACGAACAAGACGGACAAGAGCGAGCGTGATGCCAAGAGTCGCTACATGTGTGAAAGCCGTAGCGCAGCGATCAAGGCCCTCTATCCGGACAGTCCACTGGCAGGCCAGAGCGGCAGCGGAAGCACCAAAGGCTCAGTCTCGAGCTCGAAGAAGAAAGACCGTGACTCGAAAGAGTTGAAGCATAAGAAGAGTATTGCCGATCACACGACCTTTATCTCCGAGAACACCTGGGACACGACTTCGGAAGTGACCCACAACGAAACAGCCAGCCCCAAGAAGAAAGACCGCAACTCGAAAGAGCTGAGGCGTAAGAAGAGTATCGCGGATAATACAACCTTTGTTTCCGTGGGCACTTGGGACACCAACACCGAAATAACCAGCAAGGAAGTCCCAAGCCCTAAGAAGAGAGAGCCGAACACGAAGGAGTTGAGGCGCAAGAGGAGCATCGCCGATAACACGACATTCGTCTCTGTTGGTACATGGGATACCAATTCAGAAGTGACGAGTTTGGCGGCAGAGAGAAATACCCACATATCTACTTCTTGAGCATGGATTACTAGCGACACCAGTCTTACACCAGATTGCCTTTGGTTTAGTCAATGGGCGTCTCTGGTTTCAAGTTCCTCAAGGGTCTATTCCCTTTCCTCTATGTCACTATAGCGTTGTTTCCTGCGGCATTGAAGGAGTTTCGCGTCTACGACGAATGATGCACACATATCACGGTTGCATGCATGGAAGAGGCGCATAGCATTATAATGAGCTTGATGTTGACGATATCATTAGCGTCCTATTGTCGTTTTCTTATTCTTTTCCCGGCATTATCGCCAGATGTACGATACGCACGTCCAACAATGAATTTTGCTTCTGTTACAAGATCAAGATTATGGTGAATACCATATTATTTAACGTTAAAGACTCTTGGGCTACGTCCAGAGGTGATTAACTGTCAGGTATCGGACCAATAGTGAAGCCCGAAATGTTACCGGAGATGCCTTCAAGTTCTGAGGAACTAATGTAATAGGATCGTTCATACTAGCCTATAAGTCTTCAACGTCAGATAATACCGCAGCTTGCTACAAAGGAAGTTCAGCTACAACTTCGCGGGCTTGTCAAAAGCAAAAAGGCCTCGTCCCTTCTTCTTCTCATCTTGCCACACCCACCCACTCTTCCCTACAATCTCAGCTTGGCCACCAGCCATCTGTCTCAGCGTTGCTTCATCTCCATGGTTCGCTAAAAACCGTTTGTTGTTGCTCTTCAATCTCCCCACAATGTGTCCTCGTCCCGGACTTCCATCGCGATTGAACTCAACCGTATACGTCTCCACAATCGCCTCGCCCTCTGCCTCTTTGGCGATTTCCGGCACTTCCACGTCTTGCAGTATCTCTGGCAATGGGTTCTCCAGTGGATACGCGCCTTCTTTGCGTGGCTCCTTGCTCAGTACATTGACGTACTGGTAGCTGAGTACACCACCGTTGGACAGCACAAGTCCTTTCTTACCCTTGCCAGCTCGCAGCTGTCGCGTCATCTCCGTAATGGCATGCATGCTATAATTATTGCCCGCACCGCCGAAACTAGTCAATCCACCGAGCAGCGTCAACGGCTTTTCTCCGCCAGTGATCGGCATGCCAAGGTGTGTTGCGGCAATTTTCGGTACGATGGGGAAGCAAGAGTATATATCGATGAGATCGAGCTCAGACTTGGCAGTGTTGGAGACGGCCAAGGCAGAGTCGATGGATCGTGAGATACTAGGCGAAGTGTGGAAGTTTGGTCGGAGCCAGAACTCGGACGAATCTTGTGTTCCAGCGCCGCCGAGCGGGTAGATCCATTTTGAAGACGGAATGTTGAGGGCTTTGGCGACAGCAGTGGATGTCATGATGATTGCGGAAGCTAGATTGACGTTGTTGAACGCGTTCATGAGAAGTGGATCTCAATTCAGTCAGCTGTATTCTGTGTGATTTACTTGAGCGCTTACATGGGTAACAAATCATTCGATTCTTAGGCCCAACCTTGCCAATGACCTCTTCACCAATGCTCTTTCCGTGATTCCACGCGTACTCGTTCTTTTCTGCTACTTTTGAGAAGTCCGCGTACAATTTCGCGCTCTCTTGATGATTCGCTTTTAGGCTTTGGCCGTGATGCGCGCGAAATGCGTTTTCGTATAACGGATAAACATGAATTGGTGCCCCGATCTGGTGAATGGCTCCGATATCTATGGCTTCGTAAGTGCTGAGTACATTATAATAAGGGAGGGTATGGTACTATTTCCGAGATCCGTACTCGTGGGTGAAAAGACCGAGTCCACGGCTTGCGCAGGAGGTGTCCAGCCAGGTGGTGGCAGCTTCTTTGCAGCTGCACATGCAGATACTAGACGATGTCAGTGTCCCAGAGACGCAGACACAGGCTCCCTACCACCCATAGTAGGTAGTTGTGAAAAGACGCACGTGATGCCAAAGCTTCTCCTCCGGTGACGACCGCAACCTTGCAGTCTCCTTTGGCTATCCTCTTTGCCGCCTGATCAAATAGCTTCCCAGGCTTATCGCCTCCAAGTTCAGAATATCTCTTCCATTTGATGCTTTTGTCGACTCCCAGCTTCTGCGCCAACAATCCTGGTAGATCGGGGTATAACCATGTCCACGTTTGTACGACATCGATGCTATCAATCATAGATTTGAGATCTGTGCCGGAAGATGGTGATGCGTCAATAAGCGCACTTGCGATGGCTTCAAGCATTAATGACGCAGGCTCCTTCGCGTCGGCGACCGCGGTGGAGCGGTTCTTGATGTCCCCAACGCCGATGATTATAGGTATCTCTGCCATGATGCTTTCCGATTCCAGAAGAACGTGTGAGAAGTTTAGGAATGCGCCAAGATAGCGAAGGAAAGCTCACCCATATGTCAACTCGATCACAGAGTAATGATCGGCGTGAGTACTGTGATTTTGCCGAGGTACAACGGCGGTAAGTACGGACGGCGTGCGTGCCCACCGAGCCAATCCTGGAACCGAGAAGCATCACGAACTTCACTCATGCAAACACGATGTCGCGTACTAAGCGATTACCAGTGCCGTACACTACATGTCTTCTCCGTTCGCCTGCTTGTTGATCGTTGGAAGCGATGAAGCGCAACTACGCCGCCGTAGCGATACTAATGTGCCGATGTAGGAAAGAGGCACAATGTGAACGCGTTAGAGCGCTGAAATTTGATCTATCACGATGGGACATGCTTAGTACCAGGCGCAGGGTCTGATTGAGGTAAAGTCGATATTGAAGTAGACGAGTGGAGGATAATGAGCACTTGCGGTCCCACAGACTGTCAAATACTATGGAAAGTGAACGATGACATGCAAGAGTCCGAAGCCTTACAAAGTGTTGTTATTCTTCAACAGCACTGTTCTGCAAACTTGACTCCTGTCCTGGCACGTCCCGATAGTGCAGCCAACGATCACTTCACACCTAAACTGTTTCCGTGCATCTGATTGTCAACATCGCCCATATTTCTTCAAAATGGTAAACGATGAGCGTGCCAATTGAGTGCATCTTCCGCGCCAGGATCCGCTGGTCGATGAGTCAAACGCATGCTCCCGAATATTTCGCTCATGCGCTCATCAACGTCTTGCTCTGGGAATTCGAATCTCATACCACAAAACCCAACACAAATAACATAGACCCAGTCGTCGTCATCTTCGCCGTCTCTTAACAACTCGTTCATGTTGGACAAGTCATGACTGAAGGGTACTGACCACTCAACTCGCAGAAGTTGCTCGCTGATCTGGTCCAGAATCAATGTTCGCAGCCCTGGTGAAGTGCGTAACGGGGCCAGCGCAGCCGTCCATGAACCGTCAAGGTAGCAGTTATCGATCTCTAAATGGAGCATAGAACGCTTGTGCCTGCTTAAAAACCCCTGCAAGGTGTCGGAATCCATGACGAAGCCGGAGAGTCTGAGTTCCGAGAGCTTCGAATACTCCAAGTCGGCTATGGCGAGCCAGACTCGAAACGCATTGCCCATGCGTGGCCAATCTTGCTGGACAGTTCGTTTGTCAAGTCCGAGATCCAGATGCTCCAGGTTATAGCACTTTGAAAGCATAGCCGACAAAGTCCCCAGCATTGAAGTCGTCCCCATCTCGTCAGCGAGTGCTGATCTGTTAGCAGAGCGAAGTAGATTGTGAGCAAACAGAAGTGAGTAGCGTACTCATTGGGTTATGTAGTGCGAGTGCAAGAGTTGTCATGTTCTCTAAGTAGGACAGAGGTCGAGCTTTAATCAGGTAATAACAGGTCGGATCGGGTTGCATGCCCTGGAACGTGCCCCAGTCTGACATGTCCATGTATAAGCATTCTAGCCTGATTTTCGATAGTATTGTGGCATTGAAGATGATCGTTGCTAGGATTCATGACCGTGTCAAGCTCAGATTGCTGACAATCGTCCCAGTGAGTCGTGACTAGACTGGGGCCCAAGATGACACTTGTCACTCGCAATCGCCTCAGTGCAGCTGCGATTATAGAAGTGTTGATCGAATGACATCGGAGTAAGTCTCTGACTTCTGGTAGCTCTGCTGCCAATTTGAGCCTGTGTTCGTATCGCGGATGTCCATAGTAGGAATATCTGTTCCAGTTGGGGTATGGTGCAACAAAAGTCACCGAACTCATGCGTGATCGGATTCCCTCGTGGTTTGACATTTCTAAGAGCGATAGTATGCTTCCATCGGTAAAGCTCAAAGCGTGAGTTTCGAAACACGCATTGAACGTAAATTCGGTCTTTGAGCGGATCGTTCGGGACGTTTCCCGGAACTCCATCAAACCGAAGAACCCAGGGCAAGACGTGAACTCGGGAAGCATAAGGTCTTCTTCGAAAGTCGGATATCGGCGAAGGAGGTATGAAGCGATGTGCTGGAGAAGCTCCGTAGGTAATCTCTCGATCGTCGACAGAGGGTGTAGGTCCTCCATTTCCGATAGCTGTACAACGGTTGTAGGTGAACGTCCAATCTGGGAATATCCGGCGGGTTATTTTGGGAAGTAGGACTAGAGCTGCGTTCTCGAGATGATGGGGTTGATTCCTTGGATCGTCTGGAACGCCTGCCAATTTGGCTAGTCTCAGTCTCAGTCTCGAACGACGGGAACGGTAAAGGTGCGCGAGCGAGCTGCGAAACCCCATATCGAGAAATTAGAGACGTTGTTGTTCTTTGCTGTCACGAATTTTCTAGAAATAGTGTATCAAAATTTTGAGGTGAAAGTGAAGTTCCAAAATAGTGGAGACATGTTCGACATTCACCTCTGAAGTACAGTACTAAAGCTCACTGAAGCGGCATTCAGCGCCGCACCCGTCACTAAAGCGTCCATTGTCTCAGCGCTATGCTTGAAAAAGGGTCAGGGCATGTTGGGTTTTCAGAAGACGATAGAATAACCGCTGCATCATTTTGACGTATCATTCGCCATCCTGAAGACGACATAAGTCCTAGGAACAGCCATTGCTATACAACCCGCAGTGTTTGATCTCCAGCATGTAATCATGTACGACACGTTTGTGCGTTTCGATTTCTCCAGACTGCTCGTAAGCAACTTCCACCAGTTCTACCACATGTAGTCCTGAAGCCAGTTCCCGTACGCCGACTCCATACATCCCCAAGCTCCCTGACATGCCTCCATTGACCGGATATGACTTGCACATCGGCTCTTGCGCACAAAATGCTCAATCCGACCGAGCGATTGCATCCCAGGCGGAGCAGGTGGCAGCATACACAAGCTGACGACCTACTCATCCCTGCGGCATGGGCGTTGTCTTGAAGTTTTGGTTGAACTTGACGTGAGTTAGAGGTTGATGATTGCGCCGCAAGGCGAATGACCGCAGGTAGTAGGCAATAAGTAGAACAATGTTGGAGATGGTACGAGCGATTATTATTGCAGTTGTTGAAGTTGATATCCAGCACCTTCCAGCTCTGGTGTCGTTCATGTATCTGGCCCTGCTCCTGTAGCAGACGTGACAAGATGACCCGGGATGCAGAAAATAGCATGTCTGGTGATGACGATTATTATTTGTTACATTTCAATATGTCTATCTAACAGCTTCCCCTAAACCTTCAGCGCCTTTGCGATCGCCTCTCCAACGCCCGTCGCTGAAGCTGGGTTCTGGCCAGTGATCAGGTTGCCAACAACGACAACCTTCTCGCCCCAAGGCTCAGCAGCCTTGACAAACTTTCCTCCGCTCGCCTTGTTCAAGGCATCTTCAGGCAAGAATGGCACAACCTTGCTCAAGCCGACCTGCTCTTCTTCCGCGTTGGTGAAGGCGGTAACCTCCTTGCCAGCGACAAGAAGGCTTCCGTCGCTCAGCTTGACATCGTACAACACGGCAGGTGCGTGGCACACTGCAGATACAATCTTGCCTGCCTCCCAGAACTCCTTGATCAATTGCTGAGAAGTTGGGTTGTCCGCCAGGTCGAACATAGGTCCGTGACCGCCAACGTAGAAGACGGCGTCGAAGTCTTTGGCTTTTCCAGAGAAGTCGCTCAGCTTCTGGGTGTTCTTCCAGACTTGCTCGTCGTTCTTGAGGAAGTTGACGGAGACGTCGTCTTTTGCTGCTTCGACGGATGCCGGGTCTAGAGGTGCCTCACCGCCCTTGGGTGATGCGACGGTGATGTTTACTTTGTTGCGGAGGACATGGTAAGGATGAGCGAGCTCTGGAAGGTACCAACCGGTGGGTTTTCCGGTGTCGCCCAGCTTGTTGTGGGATGTGAGCACGAAGAGAACTGATGGCTTGGACATTGTGAGAGATTGTTGTGAATTGGTTGATGGTAGAGTGTTGTGATGTGGTGGAATAGCTGGTGGTGGAGTACTGTTAATGGGGACTTTCAATTTCTTTGCATTGATCAAAGTCTATATAAGCTTCTCTATTTTACCAAAAATCAATCTTCTCTACATACGTACGTATGGAGATATGACGCCATGAGGGGTAGGGTAAAGATGGGTACCGTTGGTGGGAAGGCCCGAATATGCGGGGCTGGCATCGACTGGCCGAGATGCGCCGGACTTTTGCTAGTATCGAATGCGTACTTCACAAGACATGACATCGCTATTGGAAGCCTCTAGAAGTCTTCATCCTTACGAAAACGACAGTTTCTGAGTCAGCAACCATATCCAATTAATTTTCGCAACGATCATGGACCTTCCTGGACACCGAACTTTGTCGGGCCCACTACTATACCTGACGTAATATACATCTCTCTTTGCAGTGTCAAACCACTTCGTCTACCCCAAAACGTCATTGAAAGTCGAGATTGAGTACCTGAATGGTATGGTGAGCCGACATCTGGGGCAAGAACCTGAAGCCAGGCATGCCCGCTGGGTATGTATCCAGATGCTACATACATATGTATCTGAATCAACAGAGCAGCAGTATCACCAGGATGGCTGAGGTGGTACGGTGTGCAAATGCCAGTACGCTCTCTACTGTATCTTGTGATTATGGAAGCAATCGCCATAAACCTCCGTTTTCTCGAAGAGCTTGGAGTCAAAGTCATCGATGATGTGATGATAGCGAAGATGAGAGCAGCGCAAAAGTAAGGACTTGAAAGAGAACTCGGGATGCAGAGCGCAGAGCGCAGATACCAAGGCATGCTCTCACGTTGCTGAAACAGCGGATTTTATGTTCCTTGCCTTTGTGTAGACAACTCTACTTTTGTCTGTGTTAAGAGATCTTAAAAGACTCCCTAGAGGTATTTGCAGCTTTTTATGACTATGTTCTATTCGCCTTAGACTATTGTCGCAGTCTAGCTGCATTAGCTATATAACTTCTCACTTCTTCTGTAACTTGACAGACATGCTCACAAGTAGATATTCCGTTCCGTTCGATGTTCGATCTCCGGCGTTTGTAAATTAAACTACCAAAGGGTAATAATGACAGCTTGAGACCAATACGAATCAGCATATATAGTTTGAGTTCCGGGACATCGTTCTCGTCGCGTACGGATAAGGAGCATCCCAGTATAGCAATACATCTCGAGAGATGTGGGCCGCTTCCACTCTCTTCAAACTTAGGAAAGTAGGTATGACCATAAAAATACCCTTCTGCGACTGCCTCGAAGCAGCCAAAGTCCAGTTAGCCCACATCGCGTCCGATTGTGACAAGTATGCAAATCATGAAAGACGATCGCATGGCATATCGTCAAGGGTAGGCAAGCGAACACATTTTAACACAATCCCTAGAAATCAATTGGCTCGTTGAAACGTCTGTCACTGACATTGCATGCGCGAGGCGAAGTATTGACATGGAACCTAGATCTGACTCAGCTGGAAGTCGCCAACAAATCAGGCGGAAGGAACGTAGCCATTTCGACATCCGCGAGTAGGCCGCGGCGAGCTGAAGTGACAGCCTCGCTGACATCGATGTGCTGGACGTGTACATCGAGCTATTAGTGCTCGACAAGTGAATCAAGCTCACCATTGTAGGCAGCCGGCTCTCCGCTGTGTCCTACGCCGAAAAACCACGTGTCTTTCCGTTTGGCGCCTGGTCGGTAGAGATGCGTTTCCGAACGCATGCATCAAGAAAGAAGCGGCGTCGAGTCAGCAAACCTCCGCACCCATTCACGTAAGCAGGGTCTGGAATCTCAAGCACTGTCTTATGCCAAAGTCAAGCTGTCTCACTTCGAGTCGTTTCTAAAAAACTGTTATGTATTCATAAGTCATCGAGTTTATTCAGGCTCGTATATGAGATGACAGCTGCTTTCTAATAGCACATTGAGTGTAAACAGATTACCCCTCCAACTTCCACACAACCCGCAAAAGCAACATGACCCTGCATGTCAGAACTATAAAACTACAATATCTCATTAGAAATAGAACAGCGCAACTCACATTCTAGCGTCCTTCCAGGAGAATTACCCAACAATGACGTTCCAGCGTTTCTCACCACAAAAGACGCATGTCATGTCAGACTTTAGTCACCACACATCACCCGCAAGTCCAACGCCGCCTTTTCTTTCCAAACCCAACCCACCGGGAATCGAAACTGGCACACCGGGGGCGATGCTGCCTGCATGGCTGACAGCGCAGAGCACACACACGTGCGTCCACAGAAGCTGCGCAGCGCGCCGGCGAAAAGCAAAGCAAAGTAATATTAAGGAATTGTTGGGACATGAATGCCAAACACTACCCACTTAGTGTAAAACCACAAGGGCCTTTTGTAATCTTTTGATTTCTCGGTTTCTACCTCCTGCGTGTGCTTGGGATGTCTAGTAGGGAGTGAGGGGGAGGCACGTGATGGGAGAATCATGTAGAGTAGTGATGAACTTGTCTTCAGATGTTATATGATATTGTGATGAATTTGGTGGTAGTCTGTGTCTGAATGAGAGGTGCAGACTAGATAGTGGCGCCTAAATAAGCGCAAGTAGCCCTGCTACAGTGGTATCGAAATATGCATCCTGCATCAACGCCAGTGGTATCCTCGCTATGCCATAAGCCCAAGTGCGCGCCGTCATAATAATCGTCCAATAATACAAAGTTTGTTGTCGTAGTGCTCCCATCTATTTTGTCCTAATCCACGGCCGTGAACAAACACACCTGCCTAGCCATCTGGCTAGCTAGAAGCAGCTCTCTGAACACCTGGTCCATACCGCCCTTGAAGTGAATCGTGTAGCTGTCGAGCTTGCCCTGCTTCTTCTTCTCTCCCCATACGAGCTTCGTCATTGGTCTCGCGTCGTCGACTCGCTTGCCTGTGCGGCTGCCTGGCTTCGCCCAGTCCCTTTGGTACTCGTATAGTGTTTCTGGCATTGTGTCGTCATTTGGGTCCCCCGCCTTCCATACAAATCGCCGACCGCCGTAAGTGAAGCGTCGCGGCGACCACGGGATCTTGTGTTGCCGGTCCGGGTACTCTTTGACTGGCTGTGAGAATGGACCTCGCAGGTGGATACACCGTGACTTGTAGGCGGCGTCCTTGGAGGAGTCGGTTGTGATGCGCTTCTTGTCGATTCCGGAGAACAGGATTGAGATGCAAGGGTTTGGGTACTCGGCAACTCGGAAGAAGTCTGCGGCGTTTACCTGGGTGTCTCCTCTGTGTGACGTTTCTAGCATGTAGAGAGCGTACTTGTCCGAGTACTCGCGCGCTGTGTAGATGTACTTGCGCTGTCCGGAAGAGCCCGTCCATTCCCTTGTGCGGTGGAGGTGGTACGTGGTCGTGGGCTGGTTCGGGTCGAGCAGTGAGTGGTAGGGAATGTCGGGCGAGGGAAGCTCGTCGTAGAGGGGTGTGTAAGAGATGGGTGAGTATGAGGCTTGCCATGTCAAGAGGTTTTGTACCTGCAGACGTTAGTATGTGTCTGACACAGAAGATGAGGAGTGACACGTACTGCTGACAGGCTCTCGCTCTCCTCGTCGAGGTCGCCATTCGCTCCCCACTGGTTGGGTGCTGGCACGAAGATGCACTCGTTGCCATACTCGTCGATCTGATCACTTCCGCTCTCGAGGTGGGGCCGTAGTGCTCGCTGTCGTTCCCTGTGGATGCTGATCTGTGTTTTGATGATGCGCAGCTGCTCGTCCAAGTTCTCGTCGGGCGATATGCTGGCGAGCGACTGTTCGATCTGGTGCTCCAGGGCCAAGGCTGCAGCCTTGTGTTGCTGGTAAGACGCGTCGTAGAGCCAGGCATGCTCCGACTCGAAGGCTGAACTCCGCATCATCTCCAGATGCTCGTGAGAGGGGAGCTGTGTGTTGGCCATGCCGGGCATCTGTCGCGGGGGTGCTGTGTGTTCAAGTGGGGGTGAGTGCCGTGGTTGCTGAGCGAGGACTAGAGCTGGGAGGCCAGTGTCCTGCGGAGACCTTCGCAGAGGAAGCAAGCAGGGTGACGGGACGCAGACGGAGACGGAGAGACGGAGGAATATGCATGGGTGAGGCAGAAGGGCGGGCAGGCTGATATGCCAGGCAGCGGCAGGGCCGTGTTGTAGCAGCTGACGATGAACCATACCCCAGCGGGGGGCACGGGCGGTTCCTGCGGTGTGGGAGCGCGGCTTCCCTGTCGTCGACTACGCCGGGAACGGCCATGACAATCAATTTGGCCTGCACCGGTGGACTGAGGTGGACTAAGCTAGGCGCATGTGGCTAACGGCTGCATCGGACAAGGCGATTGCAGCGACCTGTCGCATGTCTGGAACAGGACAGCGAGTCGCGAGATGAGCGCATTGCTTTTGCATCTGTGTGAGGGAAATTGTGGACATGGCTCGCCGAGCACTCCTTCCTCTCCACCTCTGCAGTCTCACAGTCTCACTGACCGAGGAGGTAGCCCGAACCTTCAGTGTTGGTGTGTGCCCGCCTAGGCATAGCGACACCAACGTGATGCAGAGATGCAATGCAGCTTCACCCATCACGGCCCCCAACCTGAACTGCATCTCCACCCGGAGACCGAACGCTAGCGTTCGACCCACCAGCTGCCCCAGGACCCTTGCGTGGAAACCCGCCGACGGCTTCGAGAAGCTCTTGAGCCTGCCCGCTGCGCACATAGCGCAGTTTGTTTCCTCAGCCAAGCGACAGCACATGCACGAGTGTGACGCCTCTCTGCCTGTCATCCGCCGCTGGTCGTGATGAGACTTCACTCCATCATGCGTAGGCACAGTCAGCACTTGCGCCGGCAGATTCCTTCACGATTCGCTCCGGCGGCACCTACCCATCCGCTTCGTGTACGCCGGAGCAAGGAGGGTGACGCGTAGCCTGTCCATTCCACTGGCACTCACATTGTCTGCGAGGGATCCCTCGACCTGGCGGTGTGAGGCATTCGGTGGAATGTGTAGGGCTGATGACGACCCCTCGCTAGTCGGGTAGATGGTAGATCTTGGACATGAGCTAACGAACGGGAGCCAGTCGGCCGGCGTCCGTCTTGACGAACAATTGGGAGGCATGTCAATACTCGCCCATGCGCCCATGCCACCATACTATCAGGTACAAGCAGCACAGCCAGTCAGGGACACGCCACGGAACCCGATACACTTTGCCCACCGTCATTGCGCAATCTTGGCCAACCGCCGACGGCGACATCATTGGAGCTTGGATCTAAAGTCTGGACAGGCTGCGGCTCCTTTAAACTCTCCTAATGCCCCCCCGGCGCATACGTAGTTGAGATAATTATCTCAGAGCGTGGTGCCAATTAGCTTCGCCATAACGCTGCACTGAATGGCGCTCGGCCTTGGAACACAGTCAGCCTCCTTCCCAAGCGTGCATCCTGGACACATTAGCCCTTATTTGCTCTTGTAAGAGTACACTGCCCATCCTGGAAGATATCCAATCCGATCGCTCGGAAGAGGCATTAGTCCAATCATAGACAGCGGTTTCACGCATCCGCTGGGGAGCCACGCGCAACGTTCCTGCGCCTCGCGCGGTCTTGTGTAATGTTTGTGGCCGTGATGCCTCCTGAGCTAGTCTGATGCATTCTCCGGGGATACTTCGCAAGTCTGCCTCACACTCGACTTGGCTGTTGGTTGGCGACCCGAGGAGGAGCCCATCACCCTTTTGTTAACACCAATAAAGCCTCGCAGATTACCGCGACGTTGAGCCACGGCATGCCTTACCGACTGCCCCAAGCGCCAAACACCTCGCCGAACTGTGGCAGGTGGCCTCACCGCTTGGGTGTCACACAACGCTTGCACTACATCGCATGGAACGACGATCAGCCTTCGCTGTCAAGCTGCAATGCAAGGTACGGGTGTACAATTCGGTTCCAATGAACAGGTAAACAATACTTTTCATCATTGATCATCCCTTCAAACTTGGACTCAAAACAACGGATCTTCTTGCGAGATCGGCTTCAAATTACCCTTGCCTTTGAACACCTCCAAAATAGTCCCCTGTTCGCTCAACATGAACCGACTAGCCTGATTCCCAATGTCTGCCAGCTTTCTCCACCTCTCGAGATCCTCCTTGTTTCTCTTGTCTCCATGAGCTTGTTTATTCTCCTTCCAATGTCCCTCGGAGAACGCGATCATGCTTGTCATCTTCTTCTCTCTTATGTCGTAGACGACTGAAATAATGCTGCCGGTCTCTTCGAGCCAATTGACCTGCCAAAGCTCACCAGGGCGGATACATTGGTAGGTTGCTCGCTGGTAGTTTTGTCGACCAGCCATGGGTCCGCCATGGATTGCGTACATCACAACAGTGTCGGAGACGAACCACATCTCGTATCGCCATTTTTCTGGTTTGCCTTCCCGATCTTGCGCATCGTAGTCGTATACCAGATGGGTATCGCGGATATCTTCATCGAATGATTTGTGAAGTGGGGTGTTGGTCAAAAAGTCGGGCAATGTGTCTCCAGGTGCCATGATGCTGTGAGTTGAGTGACAGTTCTGGAGGATGAGTAGGTATGGGCGAAGCACGGTTTTATATCTGATCGAAAGACGTGGATCGGATCGGATCTCATCTGCATCTGCACGTCGGGACGGCAGTACCCAGATCCATCATGCGGAGACACTTTCGTCGGCTCTGAAAGTCGGTAGACAGGATTACGACCGACATGGCGCCTTCTGTGAAATAAAGCTACAGAATGTCTCTAGTCTGCTTCGTACGAGCTACGGCTTAGAGACTCGGCAGATTTGATGGCCAGGTCTCGTTTCGGTGAGTTCCATGGATAAGCTCGGATAGAGAAACCTATTTCGCAATACCACAAGTCCTCAGATATTCTAGTACTCCTACTGGCTCGAAAGTTACGTCAGCAATGGTCGTTGTTGAACATTGCCTAGATGGTGGATGGGATTCGAAGACGCCCGTGCACGCGCTAGTGCTTTCCGAAGACCTCGAACTTTTCTTTCCCTCTCAACACCTCGAACCAAGAACACGCGCAACGCGCACCATATAGGATCGCAGCCGCACGTTCTGACCAAGGGCTCATCCAGTCCATGCAGCAAATCCTTTAGGCCCAGTCACTAAGCAACAGGACTGTTCGAGCGTCGTCACAAGCACAGGTACGTCGCGACTTTTCTTTCTTCACCAATCACGCTACATGATGACACGTACATCGACCATTACATACTTTAGGAAGAGCCGGAAAAGGTATGGCTAGCATCGACATATGTTACGCCGTCGCTGCTTATAAACTTGGTCTCTGAGAAGCGGAAATTTCACTCGGTGCTTTGCAAGCTTTTCATGGAGAAGATGCTAACGATCGAGGCATAGGTTCATCACAGCTGCTACCGACGCGCGATAGACCACGATGATAAGAGCGCTTCCGCGCATAGGAATTTTGCAGTTGACGATACGCGATCAGGCAGACAACACGGCACCACGATGCACTCCCATGTGCAGCACATCGAGCACCGTACAAGCATACACATGTAGGCAGATAGTCAGAATGATAAACAATACTACGTTGAAGCATAAACTACAATATGGATCGCATCAGAACAAAACACTATCGTATCGCAAGAAGGCGTCTATATCCAGGTCAAGTGTTGACACGACCGGCATTTTCTCTATCGTGGGCCACATTGACGAAGGCGCTGATGCATCTTGGAGAGCGTTGGCAAAGTCGTCGTTTCCCAAGAAGTTTCCTGCAGCCGGCTCATAACCCGAAGTCCACAGCTCATACATGATAGTCGTGTCGATTGCGTTGCCATGACCCATTGAGACCGGCTCGGACGCGCCAGTCACCAGATTATATCCTATCGTTGCACCTGCGTCGGTGTCAAAGTCGACGAGCTCGCTGAAATTGTTGAAGTCGAACAAGTCCCACTCGGCGGCCTCATAATCCACCACACCTGCTGGGCTCGCAGTCATAGCTGGAGTCGTAGTCGAACTACTCTGCGGCGTCATTCTCGCCTTAACCCACTCCTTCGGCGTCACACCCATCTTATCCTTGAAAATCTTATGAAAGTACCTCGGCGTAAGCCCAACTTTCTTTGCGAGATCCTGCAGCCTCAAAGCCTTTGGGTCTTCGTCCTTGACTGCTTCATCAATGAGCACGCATGCTTTCGCAACGGCTACTTCCTGTGGGTCCTCGAGAACTGTGTTGGGCTTGCACCTCTTGCAGGCTCGGAAGCCATCTGATTCTGCTTCCAAGTACGTCTTGTAGAAGCCGACGTTTGCGCGCCGGGCCAGGCGGGCGGGACATGTAGGGCGGCAGTAGATGTTGGTTGATCTGACAGAGTAGACGAAGTGGCCATTGGCTTGTGCATCTCGAATTGTGAGTGCGCGCCATCGGGCTGCGTCGGTGGTGTATGCCATCATGTCTAAGGTGACTCTTTGCGACTTTAGTTCGCTACTGCTATATCAAGCGGAATCGATCGGTCGATCCTTACTTTGCGCTTTGTTGAGATAGTCTGGTTGACTAATCGTGGTCCTGGGTTGCGGCCGGTGACGCTGCAAAGTAACGGCTGTGAGAACAGCTTCGGATGGCTTTCTTGGTTCTCGAATGTCCGGGAATTTTCTACCAGTGCGTCAAGAATGCTAGAGATAAGCCCTGATCATATACACGAACTCATCGACAAAGCCGAGCTTGTGTCGTCAGTCTAACGGCTCGTCAAGCTCTGATTGGTCACATTGGAAGCAGCTTTTCAAGGTACTACTAACGTCTTACATGTGCAGATAACAATGCTAGTACGTCACTGCATGTATGCGATATGAAATGTAACTGGAACAGTATCATCCTGTCGAGCGCTCTGAGACTTTCGGTCCCGTCACATGACGACGTGACCGCGACGCGATGGCTCTTTCCCTCCAAGCAGCCCAACAGACCGTAGAGAGAAGGCACGATGGGATCACTGACTATCCTGCAGCGAAACACCATGGACATCACTTTCTTTGCATCTTCACACCTTCAACCCACGGCATGCAATCGCTTCCCATCTGATCGATGGCAGAAAACCCACCGCCCACTCCGGTGCCTAGCATTGCGGCGCTACCACCAACCACAGCAAGACAGATGGGCTCAGGCCAAGTACTCGTTGATCCTAGCTCGCTCGTGAAAGAGCTCATTGACAATGCGCTCGATGCCAGGGCCAAAAGCATCTTCGTGGACATCACGGCGAACACTATAGACTCTATCCAGATCAAGGACGACGGTCATGGCATTCCAGCTGAAGATCGCGCTCTTGTATGCCGTCGCTATTGTACCAGCAAGATCAGATACTTCTACGATCTGAAGGAAGTGGGAGGCAAGTGGCTCGGCTTTCGTGGTGAAGCACTGTCTAGCATGGCTGAGATGAGTGGCACGCTTGCCGTCACCACCAGAGTGGAGGGTGAGCCGGTCGCTGTGAAGCTCAAGTACGGTAGAGATGGCGAGATTGAAAGGGGAGTCCGGCCTTGCTGAGCACACTGACATGGGAGACTAACATACTATCCAGCACTGAACGCGACTCGCATCCAGTCGGCACTACTGTCAAGGTCACCCAATTCTTCGAGTACATCCCGGTACGCAGACAGACAGCTACTAAGAACGCAGCAAAGTGTCTTGCGAAGATCCGACGCCTTGTGCAAGCATATGCACTTGCCAGACCTGCCGTGCGCTTCAGACTCCACGTCCTCAAAGCCAAGAACAACAAGGGCGACTTCATCTATGCTCCCAAGACTAATTCGAATATTGAAGATGCTGTCCTGAAGGTGATCAGTAAGGACTGCGCCTTGCAATGCGACTGGACAGCCCTTGAAAGTGATGGCTTTGAAGTCCACGCATTCCTACCGAAGCCCACTGCAAATGAATCAAAGATTGCCAATTATGGCGCTTTCATCTCAATTGACTCCCGGCCGGTTTCCAACAGTCGTGGAACTATCAAGCAAGTTGTGGCTGCAGTCAAGGAGCGATTGCGGAAATCAAGTCAGTCCCTCACGGCGGCCAAGGACCCTTTCTTCTGCATGAACATCATCTGCCCACCTGATAGCTACGATCCCAACATTGAGCCTGCAAAGGACAATGTCATGTTTGAAGACGGAAAGGTTGTACTAGATGCGGTCGACAAGTTATTGAGATCATACTACCCTGAAGCCATGGAAACGGAGGTCGAGCCGCCGATACCTGGCCAGCAACATGCGCAATCCGACTTCGAGGATAGTTGGAACCCTATGCCGAATCCTGTACATCTTGAGCCCACGGCAGAGTTGGTTGGAAAGTCAAAGCTGGACCAGCAGTCGAAGGACCCTAGATGGCGTTCCAGCATGTATGGCATTGATGAGGACGATCTGGAGCATCTGCAGGAAGACCAGCCTATGGTCATCGAAGAAGAGGAGGGTCGACGTGCCGCTGATATCTCGAACCCTTGGACCGTTGCGCGCATGAATTCTATCATCAAGCCAAAAGTTTCAACGACCAATGGTCAGCTACCTAGTCCAGTGAAGAGTAGCGGCGATGTAACTATGCAGCCCAGCTCACCATCGGTTGCGAAGACGCCGCTTCGAAAAGCCCAGCCTGAGCCGTTGACTCCACAGACGTCCTCAAGACCAAGTCCGGCATCACTGCTCGACAACGAGCTCGGAAACAGCTTGGAACCTTTCTCCCGATTCGATCCTGAAGACGAAACATTGAACGTGTCTCGTGACAAATACACAGTTACAGGATATGCTGGATTTCAGTCTGGGTTGCCACTTTCTGAGCAGACTGGTGCAGAGCAGGCGAATAATTTCCCGGGAGCCAAACAACCTAGGGGCGGACAGTTTCCTATCCAGGTAACATCAGCTGCCCCAAGAGGAAGACAACGAAAGCCTACACAAAATGATGAAGTGGAAGGGCCAGATGATACGTGGTTCGGACAGCCAATGCGCGGCTCCCAGCCTTCACAGCCAACTCGTCGACAGAAGAGGCGTGGAGAACAGGGCCCTTTATTATTTGCAAGCAATATGACGTCGAGCCCGCGAAGACCAATTCTGGCAACAGCCAAGAGGATATCAGATGGCCAACTGTATTCCGAGGATAATACTGATATCCGCAGCTTCTTTGGACAGAGGGAGAATGGTCGTACAGACAGTGATGGACGTCCCACCAAGGGACCATCATTTACTCCGATCAATGCCCAGCCAACTGCAGCAAGTCCCATATCACAGAATGTTCAAGATCCCTTTCGACCACTCACGATACGGGAGCGTCCAACTTCGCAGCCTATATTCTCTAGAGTGAGCCCGGTCGGTCCAAGAGAGACTAGGAACGAGTCGCGCATTCATGCCGAAGACGCCACCAGCGCTCGACGTCGTAACAATGGCGAACAATTTGACGTATACGACGAAGACCGTTTCCAATCTCCCATGCCTCGACCTTCATCGGCAGGTAGTGAGCGTCCACCCTTAATGCCCATCCGATCCAATGGAGTACGAACAGCCCTAGATCTCTACAGCAACGACAAGCCAACACACAACTCGCGCGACATGACTGCCTACTTCAAAGCATACCAGGACCGCGAAAATGCCCCAGCTAACGGATCTACAAGCTCTATCCACAGGCATGAACCACGCGTCGCTCCACCCCACGAACTCACGAGCAAGACTCGCCGCCAGCGCCGCCGCACCACAGATGGCGTACAACGAACCAAGTCCTCGAAGCTGCCCCTCGAGCGTATTCCACATAGCTACCATATTCAGGACATCGTCTTGACCATACATTCGAGTGTGACATGTATCATTCAGAGCTCTCGCAAGCTAGATATGCGCTGCAATAGTCTGGACTACAACTACTCCGCCGAGGACGCGTTTGACGCTTTCACTGAGCCGGTGTCTGAGCGCAAGATCGTGGCTTGGGTCACGGAGTTGGATACGACGCTGAATGAGTGTTTTGAGCAGGTGCCGTGTGCTGATGTGCGCTCGGTGCTGCATGAAGCTATTCAGAGGGGACTGGATGCAAGGAAAGTGAATGAGGACATGGAGATTGTGCAAGCGCCTGCGCAGACACTGGGAGTAGTTCAGGACTCTGGTGACAACGACCGCAGGGTTGCAGAGCCTAATCGTCGTGTCGCCACGCCACCAGATAAGCCCGACCTCGCGGAAGCTGTGACGAACGAGTCCGGAACAACTCACTCGACTTCACTGAAGGCGGAAGACGAGGGGATGTCCGACTTTGACATGTCGCAATTCGTGGACTTCGACATAGACGCGGTTGAGAATGACGCGGGTCCATCGAAGAATGCCCGCAAAGAGTTCGGAGAGGATGTTGAAGACGACATGCTGCTGGATTTGTGAGTATGGCGAGGGTGAGTAGGTGGTGGAGCTGATCTATGTTGTTCAAATCTGGGGTAAAAACAGAAAGGGGTAATATGTGTATCCCCGGTCGCAATGATGGACACGATTCTCAACGCGTAGCACAAGATACCGGTTCCATGAATGGAAATAGATGATTAATTCCATCGAACACGTGATGCAAGCAGGTTATCATAGTCTCAAGGCCAATCTATCTTGCCTCAACAACCAAGCCGAACAACGCCCCCATGTTCCCCATTCCCTCCTCCGCCGTGAAAATCCTCTTGGGAATCTCAAACTCGACCTCCGGATCCTTCTTCAACTCCCTATTCAACTCGCCATCCAGCAGCGCGGTATAACTATGATCCAAAAAGTCCTCGAGGTTATAACTCCTCTTTGTGAACTGCTCGCTGATAATCTTCGCCAGCGTGGCGACATTGGGGTGATAATGCGCCTGCAAGGCTTCTAGTTCCCACACACTTGACTCGATGGCGTTGGTCAGCACGGGATCTGGCTCGGCCATGCTGAACGGGTCGTCCATACCCATCTCGTCGAGGGCGGAGAGTTGTGCGGGGGAAAGTTTGCGGTGCATCATGAACGTGCACGCCGGGTGGCGCTTGAACATGTTGTACACCCAGGGAATGACGACGACGATGCCGGCGGGCGGACCGTGTAGGGCCAGGCGCGAAAGGCGCTTTATAAAGCTCGCGACGAGCGCGGCGGGTAAGTGCGTCGAGGACATGAATGTGTCCAGCAGGCGGAAGAAGCGGGAGCGGTGTTTTGAATGCAGAAGGCCGTCGTCGAGAAGCGAGTAGAGTTTCAGGTAGAATGATGGGTAGTCGAGGTTCTTCTCTGATATCAGGTAGTACAAGCCTGATAATGCGAGGAGGGACGTTGCGCCGCCGACGTTGTACGAGTCGGTGAGGAAGTCCATGAGCATCTCTGGTTGCTGGAACCATGGAGCGATTTGGTGGGAGAAGGATGAGAGGATGGTTTTGCGTTGGTCTTTCGAGAGGCCGGCGCGCATTGTGGCTAGCCAGGCTTCTTGTGCTTTTTCCTTGTAGGCGCGCAGGGAGGGTATGGGGCTCTTTGCTTTGGACTGTGTGTGGAAGTTTTGGATCTCGGATTGGGATTTGGGGACTTCGGAGAGGGTGGAGAGGAGGGAGAGGCAGTTGGCTGCTACGAGGTGTCTGGTGGGCATTTCGAGGTCGAGATCCATGACGGTTTTGATTGTCTGGAAGGTGTGGTATCGTATGTCGTCGAACTGCTTGAAGTATTTTTCTGCAAATTCGTCTCGGTTGGGATCGTCCGCGGGGAGGAAAAGCAAGGTCTCTACAAGCTTCAATAGTGGTCCATTCTTCACACTGTAGTTCTTGTCCGCCTTGGATTCTTCCTGCACCAAGCGCATCAGCAGTGTGAGTGCGACTGACTGCTTCGCTGGGTGGTCGCTCTGCAGGAAATCCTTCAATAGCAGGCTTAAAAACTCCTTGTATCGCTCCTTCAACCATGATGCAATCACTGCCTCTGCTTCGCCCATGCCCTTGCTCTTTACCATGTCTCCAGTCGCAAGCAGTCGTGAAAATACTCGGCACAGCGCAACGACGGCCAGTATTGGGGCTTCATTCTCGGCGTCGGTCTGTCGGGCTAGCTGCAACAGAGTCGCAATGTTGTTGTAGTGTTTCCGCGACTCTAGGATCTGTGCTTCGAGCTGTAGAATTTCGGCTTGCGGGTCGTCGCCATCTTCGCTGGGTGACTTGCGCCGGCTTTTCGATTTGGATTCGCGGCGTTCGGGCTTATTGGGGTCTCTTTTCCTTTTCACGCCGGCATGGCTGGCTGCGGTTTTACCTGACATGATTCTGTGTATGTCGAAAACGAAAGTTGCGTATATTTCGAGTTCGCGCGGTGAAGTTCAGGAACTTTTTTGATAGTCACCGGCCGAACTTCGGGCCGTGCCTTCCTTGGCGCAGCGCAACTGAGCTTCCAGCGAAAACTGGAAGCTCCGCATCGACGACAGCACCCCAAACTCTCCCCTCTCATCTCCTGCAATGGCTTCTCGTCTCGCTAGGAGCGCGGTCGGTTAGTACAGCCCCTCGAGCGCAAAATTAATGCCATTGGATCCCCTGCTCACCCGCAACAGGCGCCGCCCGTCTCCGCCCATCGCTCCCTCTCCGCAGCCTCCCATCCATCGCCGCGCAGGCCCGCTACCAGTCCAATGTGCCCCAGGAGGACCCCAAGAAGAAGGCCCAGTCGCTGATGGAGGCAATTCCCGTGCCCGGAAACAGCCCCCTCACCAAGGCCGCTGTGCTCTCCGCCGGTGCTGGTCTCAGCGTGGCTGCCATCAGCAATGAACTCTACGTTGTCAACGAGGAGTCCATTGTTGCGCTGTCGCTCCTGACCATCTTCTGGGCCGTTGCCAAGTACGCTGGTCCCGCTTGGGGAGACTACGCACAACAGCAGGCCGACAAGATCTCCGGCATCTTGAACGCTGCCCGTGCCGACCACACCTCGGCCGTCAAGTCGCGCATCCAGAGCGTACAGGACCTCGGCGGTGTCATCGACATTACCAAGACCCTCTTCGAGGTTTCCAAGGTAAGGCCGAATGGAAAGAGATGGATGTGGGGGAAGGACAATGACTAACATCCGCACAGGAGTCCGCCCAGCTCGAGGCCCATGCTTTCGAGCTTGAGCAGAAGACCGCCATCGCTCAGGAGGCAAAGACCGTTCTCGACTCGTGGGTCCGCTACGAGGGCCAGGTCAAGCAGAGGCAACAGAAGGAGCTTGCCGAGAACATTATCGCCAAGATCGAGAAGGAGCTCGAGAACCCCAAGACCCTCAAGCAGATCCTCGACCAGAGCGTGGCTGACGTCGAGAGGATCGTCGCTCAGAAGGCATAAGCGTCCTATAACAGCAATTGGTCAAGTTCGTTCCATGTTACATAAACCTGTGCAATAGTCAAGCTCATTCAATAGAGAGTACCCAAGGCTTGGGAAAAGGCCGCAATCCATCTGTTTTTGTTTTACTTCTTCTTTATTTACAGCTTTGGCACGTTTGCTGGCTCTAACAACCCGCGGATAGTCTCTGCCCATTTCTGTGCAACCTCTTGGCTGATCGCATTCTCATCATAGCTTACCCCAAATCCAACACAGCCAGCAGCATCTGTCGAACTGCCGATGAGGAACTCATTATCCCTCGCCCTCACACCCATCTTCAAGTCCCGATAATCCGCCACAAAGTCCTTTGTGTCATCATTCAAATCGTACTCCCCAGGCCTGAAATACGCCTTCAACGACCCCGTCGAGGAAACACCACACGTTGCCCCATACGTGCCTACCCTCGGCTTCAACGTCCCCTGCGGCGCAACCCCCGTCTTCCTCCCCTCAGGCACCCAACTCTCCACACGCTCCACCTGCGCAATATACCCCGTCGCCAACAGCCTTGCCGGGCGAGTACTTGTCAAAAGCACCCAGCGCCTGACCCCCCTCTTTCAACCGCTTCTGATACACTCGCAACTCGCGATTTGCATGCTTAGCAATGAGTTTGAAGCGCCCTTCAACAGGCAGTGAGGAGGGGAGAAACGGCATTAATATCCCCTCACTGAACGCCAGCATGCAGCTATCTGCGGGCGGGTTTGAGGCGAAAAACGCCCGGGGGTTGAGCGGGAAGGACGCGCCCATTGCAGGGACTGGAGATGCGAGATCACGCATACCGAGACTCGTGCATGGCCATCATCGAAAGGCCCGCGAGTGCGAAACACCCGGATCCGATCGAGACGTGTATGCTCTTGCATAGCGCGATTAAGCGTGCAGATGCGGCTGGGCTGAGAGATGCGGATATGTGTGCGCTGGATAGTGGCGGGAGGGATGAGGGCGTGTAGTTGAATACACGGGCGTATGTTGGCGGCAAAAGGGAATAGGTCCTTGGAGTCTTTCAGCGCGGCGTAAGGGGTTGGCGAAGGTTGGTGGGCATTGTGTGCTGCACGTGGCGGAGGACTCGCATTATGGCCCAGAACCAGCGTTGGCGAGCTGAACTGCCGGTGATTGCTGGGTAGAGATCCTCCTGTGCGGGCGGTAGTCTCGCTTTGATGTCTTCTGGGCATATAGCGGTCTCGATCTGCGAGATGATGGAGGCGTAAGGCGTGTTTAGTATGCGGATCAAGTGACTGAACCAATTATACGCCGTCAATCCATCTGAGATCTGGTGCGCGATTACTATCAGAAAGCGTAATTCCCAAGTCCCGCCCTCGCCCTTTTTCACCACGGCAAAACGTGGATCCTTGACAGATATTCTTCCGGCTGGATAATACGCGCTACATTCAATGCGTGGTGGTGTAGATCCAGCTCTTGCAGCGTATCGTCAAACCCAATGTCTTCTAGCCATATCATGTCCTTTTCGACAGCTTGGATGGCTTCACCCGCAGATCTAGGCGCGCAGACGACGAAGTTTTTCTTCCCGTTTTCATCCTCTTCAACACGGCTTTGCAGTAGGACGTGATTCAAGCGTAACAGACACCACGCCGCAGCCACTCTCTTCCTCAGATCCTCTCGTGACAGCGTATGGCGAATCGCGAGTTTAAAAGTAGCCGTCATGTCAGCACGGCCGCCATAATGTCTGGTTCCATCATTGTCGAAGAAACTTTCCACGATGCCGATTGGGCGTTTAAATTGTGTTTCTCCACTTGTAGTTGCGGATGATTTCCAGGCATGGGCGTTGTTGGCGTAGCGGTCCAGGCAGTGGGTGGTGTTTTTGGCGGACATTTAATGAGGTTGGAGACGTCAAATTCAACGTCTTTTGAATAGAAAAAGGTCTATTATCAAGTAAGCTAAATGCAGAAATGACCACCAAACTCATGCAGGCTGGGATTGTAGTATGAATGTAAAGAAAATGTGACCTGGGGTAATACCCTGTGGCGAATTGGGTGGAGTCATGACTCGTTGTTGGGTTAGTGTCCGTTTTTATTTCCGCCCAGCGTCCAATTCGATTGAAAAGTCTCCAAGTGAACTTGATTATTTCTATTTCTTTGCTATCTCTCATCGCTGGGTATCATTGCCGTACTCAATCTTTATTTAATCATGTGCCACTATGGGTCGGTAATGACCAGGCGGAAACATGGTTATCAACGACCGTTCCGGAGCGCAAAGCGGATTTGCCGGAACTTACTACCACAGAACCTTTTCTGCTTCCTGAAACATCTGGCATGGAATTTCCTTCTTCAGTTCTGCTCTATTCTTCGGCTCAAATGTTTTATCTTTTTCAAACGGCGCGAAGGTTCGCTGCCCAACGCTGTCTCCCTATCATTCATAGTGTCCTAGACTACATCTTCCATCTCCTCTTCGCCATCTGAGTCGTCTCCCACCTGGACCCTCTGGAGCTGCCGCCCGCTTGTTTGCTGGCCCAGCTGACGATCAGTATTGAACATTGGCTGGCGCTGCCAATTGCTAGCAAATGGACCTGACCGGACGAGCTGTGCAATCTCGGCGAGGGTCTCCTTGAGAAACTGCTCTGGCTGCTTGGTCCGCGTCTTGAGGGCCTTCATAGGCCAGTACTGGTACTCGTCGAAAGCAGAATGCAGCATATCGATGAGTTCCTCCCTTGATACACGGGCGGCCTTGTTCTGTTGCGATTTGCCCTTGACGGGTGGCTTGATGAAGGAATCGAAACGCTTCTGGAGGGTGTTGAAGTTGGTAACGTCGTTCTCCTTGGTGATGTTGACTTTGGTATGGTTGCCCTGGATGGCTGTCTTCATCTGGGCGGTGCTGAAAGCTTTATACTCTGATGTTTCGAGAGGAATGGCAGTGTAGTTGCGTGTCGCGTGGCCTAGAAGAGCTGTCTGCTTGGGTATCGCCTTCTTGTACTTGGTGCGCTTCTGTATACGCGACTTTTGATCTTGCGCCGCACCGTAGCCTCCCCGGTTGCCCTGCACCATATCCAGCGGGCTTGAATCCTGGCAAGTCCTTCTCTGAGAATACATATGTGTTTTGGAGTACATTGTCGGCAGTTTTTGTAGGGTCTAACTGGAAGGCAGACGGCAGTTTGGTCTGTGACCGCCATCGTTCGCTGAGGAAGACGCGCATCGGCTTTGATTGATCGATACCACTCGTAGATGGGAAGCCGACAACTTCTCCAATCTGGATCTGGTCGTTGTCGTTGCCTTCGGCCAAGTCGTCCCATTTCGAGACTGTATCATATAGCCAGGCGGGAATGCGCGCCAGCCATACGTCCTTTTGTGGGCCGTCTTTTGGCGGCACTGTCAGCTCTCCCGCCTCCTCGTAGAATTCGTCGTCCATGTAGAGGTCTTTCGACTCCATCTTGACGTCCGGGTCGGGCTTGATTCCGTTCATCGTGGCGGCGCGCGCTGTCTGTTGCGTGTGGGTAAGGAGCGTTTTACGGTGTCGCAGCGAGGGTGGATATAGCTGGAGCTTATATGTCGTTGTGCGTGGTGTGCGAGCGTGATAGGAAGGAATGTGATAAAGGGCGTGGTTTGTGTCGGAAGATCAAAGGCTACAGAGCCGCATCGAGCGCGAGAACCACGGACCGTTCACTCGTTAGCGTGTCGAGCTAGCTTATCGATAACGGAGCTCCAAATGTGCCCCACTGCTGCCTTCTATCATTCATTAAGTTGCAAGTCAACGACCACTTAATCCCCTGGCGGTCAAACTCTGCTGCAGAACAATAAAACCGATCCACGGGTTTTGCGTCCCTCTCACCTACACCACCCAGCTCCCAGGTCAATCCGTCGGCAGCACGCCCATTCATCCACAAACATGGCCTCCCCGGAAGTCGCGTCGGCACTGCAGGCAATCGAGGCAGCTTCCGCCGCAGACAAGCCGTCTCAATACTCGGCACTCCTCCAGCAGATCTCCGCAAGTTCCACAAACCTCACTGCCGACCTCAACGCATACGCACAAACCCTCCTCGATGATTCGCTCGGCATAGTCGTCCTCCGCCCGCTTCTCGCCGCCTTCGTCGAGGCTTTCCGAAATGTGAAGGACCCCGATGTCAAGATCGATGTTGGAGAGAAGGTCATAGGTCTGCTACAATCCAAGGGCGCCGGCCAGTATGAGGAACAGGACACACAGATGAAGCTAGCAATGGCGGATGCGTTTGAATCAGATCAGGTCCAGGACTACAGGAAGTCTGCGCAAACATTGGCGACAATCAACCTGGAGTCGACACAGAAGTCGGTAACGCCAGACGACAAGGCCAAGGTGTGGATTCGCATTGTGAGGTGCTACTTGGAGGAGGAGGACCCCACGAGCGCTTTCACCCATCTGCAACTAAGATCAAGAACATCATCTTCAGCGTCCAGGACAAGGAGACTCGGTTACACTTTCACTTCAACCAAGCTCGCATCTACGACTCACAACGCTCGTTCCTCGACGCCGCTCAAGCTTACTACACCATTAGTTCAGAACCTCTGCTCGACCAGGAGGAGCGTGAACAGGCACTCGCAGCTGCGCTGATATGCGCTGTCCTGGCGCCAGCTGGTCCGCTGCGAGGAAGGATGTTGGCCAAGCTGTACAAGGACGACCGTGCCCCAGGTCTGGAATACTACTCGATTCTCGAGAAGATGTTCTTGGACCGTTTATTGTCACCCGCCGAGATCAAAGCATTCGCCGCCACGCTGAAGCCACACCACCTTGCGAGAACGGCAGACGGCTCTACCGTGCTGGATAAGGCTGTACTGGAGCACAACTTGCTGGGTGCCTCCAAGCTCTACAACAACATCGGCTTCGACCAACTGGGCGAGCTACTGGGTGTCGACTCTGAAAAGGCAGAAGACTATGCCGCGAAGATGTTGGAGCAGGGTCGTCTGTCTGGCTACATCGATCAAATTGACCGTTTGATCTTCTTCGAGGGTGAAGCGAGTGGCGAGCGTAAGACAGGACATGCAGAGCGACAGGTTGGCAAGGAGCTGCGGAAGTGGGATGCCAATGTCGCGGGACTGGCAGAAGAGGTGGAGAAGGTCACCACGATGATTCAGCTCGCGTATCCGGAGTTCTACGCAGCTCAGGTGGTGCACTGAGGGAGAAACAACCACGAGCATCTTCCAAGCAGATGTTCTACGGAAAATAAACACATTCATGACGAAGCTGCGGCATTGGACGAAAGCATGAGAAACGATACCACATTAGCATAGCGGCTCTTGAAGCTACGAGGGCGTCAGGCATGGGTAACTTGAGCATACGCAATACAGAAGAGAAGAACGCAGACTCAAAGTCTCCGACATATGCATAACCACTCAAACAATGATGTACAATTCTCCCCATTCCATTCGATGCCTGCTACCATGCCCGTGATGTCTATACATATCGTACACGCCACATCCCATCCTCATTGCCCCTTCAACAGCCCCTCATACTCCTCCAAACTCTTAACCTCCAACTCACTCACCCTCAGCACCGTAAACCGCATCTTGCTCTTCACATGCTTCGTATGTCTCTGCCTCCTCTTCGTCTTCTCCTCCACCCTCAACGGCTCGCTTTCCACGCCCAGCACCGTCGCCCGACACGTATACATGCGCTCATCCAAATAAAACACCTTCTTCACGTGGTCTGCGTTTCCCTTGACAGGCTCCGCCGCTTTCAACGTGTAGTCCCGCGACCCGATGTGCGTGGCGCGATTCAGCCGCAGCACGTCGCCTGGCTGCACATTGGGCATATTGAAGGGCAGACGCAGCGTGTCGCCTTTTGTGAGCAGGTATGGTCGGCCGTGGAAGTGCGCGGTTATGTAGTGTGCGGGTTGGGTTTGTAGGAGGGGGAGGAGTTGGCGGATTGTGGGCGTGAGGTGGGTTGAGATGACATCTTCGCGGGCATGGGGGGAGGGATTTGCTTGGGGGTTTGCTGGTGTGGTGGGCGGTGTGTATGTTGTTGATTTGGCTTTGGCTTTGAGGTCTTGGGGTATGCGATGGCCGGATTGTATGAGTGGTTCGGGGACGTTGCTGGTGTCGAGGGTGTGTGATACCGTCGTTATTTGAGCACGAGGAGTACGGTGTGAATGATCGAGATATTGACGGGAGTGTTCTCCGGGGCTGTGCGAGTGAGTGAGGCCATGGCGGGGACGTTCAATTGCTGCTCGAGGACCGCAGATGCGGAGTTGTCGAAGTGCACGCGGAAATGTCTGCCAAGCCGCGCTAGAGCGAACTTTTGGTGGAGTGTTCTAAGAAAGTTCGCCGCAACACCAACCTCCAAGTCGAAGTCAAGAACTTCGAATCACCACAGCACAACATGCCTCAGAACGAGTACATTGAGCGCTGGCAGAAGCAGTACGTCTTTACGTCACCTGATCATTTTTTCATGTGGATGTTTACGAAATACTAACCACCCCACAGGCACGGCAAGCGCTTCGACCACGACGAACGCAAGCGCAAGCGCATTGCCCGAGAAGGCCACGATGGCTCTAAGAAAGCGCAAAACTACCGCGGCCTGCGCGCCAAACTCTACGCCGAAAAGCGGCGCAAGGAAAAGATCCAGATGAAAAAGACGATCCGCGCACACGAAGAACGCAACGTCAAGACCTCCGAGCCCGCAGAGCCCTCCACCGAAGCCCTGCCCCAATATCTTCTTGACCGCAGCAACGAGAAGAACGCAAAAGCTCTGTCCAGCGCCATCAAGCAGAAGCGCAATGAGAAAGCAGCCCGCTTTTCCGTCCCGCTGCCCAAGGTCAAGGGTATCAGTGAGGAGGAAATGTTCAGCGTCGTTAAGACGGGAAAGAAGACGGCGAAGAAGAGCTGGAAACGTATGATTACCAAGCCCACGTTTGTTGGGCCCGGGTTCACGCGTCGACCTGTCAAGTATGAGCGCTTCATTAGGCCCATGGGTTTGAGATACAAGAAGGCGAACGTCACGCACCCGGAGTTGAGCGTGACGGTCCAGCTGCCGATCATCAGCGTGAAGAAGAACCCGCAGAACCCGTTGTACACGCAGTTGGGCGTGCTGACCAAGGGTACGATTATCGAGGTCAATGTGTCTGAGTTGGGACTTGTGACGGCGGGTGGAAAGGTTGTGTGGGGAAGATATGCTCGTAAGTCTTCATCGTTATCTGAGAACAGCTCAACGCAATACTAACACTTGGCAGAAATCACAAACAACCCCGAGAACGATGGCTGCTTGAACGCTGTTCTGCTGGTTTAAGTCTTTGGGATTGGAGAACATTGCATCGACAGGCGTTTCGGGGACCTAAAACCAATTCACGGCGTTCGGGCGCGGCAGCCATATGTGCTTACGGCTTTGCGAGGCAGGACACCTGCTTATGATGCAAGATCCACGATTGTCAGATTGAAGATCATGTGTATAGATCTATGATACCAATTCGAACTGAGTGTGGAAGTCTTGCGCCTTCTTGTGGAGATGCGTTTGTGCACCACTGTGTACCTACGGGTTTCGCATGCATACCAGTCCCTCAACTCTCAAGACCACCTATTCGGATCCCTCCACCCCTTCTCCTCCCCCCTCTCACTCGGATCCCGACTATGTCTCTTCACCCAGTTCTCCGTCAAATCCCTCGCCACGCTCTCCGTCGCCCTAGATGCCTTCCCGCCCCCCATCTTCAACCTCACCATCTCCCCAATCAATTCCTCCCTCCCCAACGCCCCCAACTTCTCCCTCTCCCTCGCCTCCGTTGCCTTCGTCCGCCCGTGCTCTCTTACCTCCTCCTCCCCAAACATCTTCCCCAGCACCCCGCGACTCCGATACTTGAACCGAAACACCGCATACGGCTTTTCCAAACTGTCCAGATACTCGGGCCGCCCGACGACGTGGCCGTACTGCGAGCCAGAGCCGAGTTGGACTTGGTGCTCCACCCCCTTGGCGCTGGCACGGGCGCTGCTGATTTTCGGGAGCGGGAGGGGAGGAAGCGTGGAAGTGGTTGATGGTAGTTGGTCACTGGATGGGGGTGGGGGGAATTGCCAGTGGGGTTTTGGGTGGGCGGAGGAGGGGGTGCGGTATTTGGAGAGGGATTTGGAGGTGTGGCGTTTTGAAGGAGGGGAAGGTTTGGGGAGTTTCTTGTTGGTGGGCGAGGGCTTGGTGGACCATTGTACGTCTTTAGGGGAGGAGGTGGTGGTGGCCCATGGGGGGTACTGAGCGGAGGTGCCGCTGAAGCCGGCGTCCCAGCCGCCGGGGACTTTTTTATCTGCGTTTTCGAGATCTTTTGCTTCCCAGCCGTTCTCGTCAGTAGCCCAACCGGTCTGTTGTTCTTCTGTGACCCCCCAGGCACCCTTGGGCTTATTGCCCTTCTCTGTGACTTGCCAGCCGTTCTTCAAATCATCGCCAGTGGTTTTCCCCTCCCAGCCATTATCGCCTTCAGCATCCCAACCTGGCTGCTGGTGATCGTTGCCACTGCCCCATGAGTCTCTCGCTGCCGGAATCCCATCATACTGGCTGTTCATAGACTTGGCTGTCTTCTCTTTGCCCCATTTCTTCTCCTTAGAATTGTCCCAAGATGTACTTGATCCACGGTGATCTAAAGCTTCTCCGTTCACACTGAAATGACCGGGTAGTGCATTTGATGCGGCAAAGCTTGGTTTATGATATGTCTCACTTGGAGCTGGGACCCAACCAAGATGTGTCTTTGGGATAGTAGCTGTGGGCTCAGCATAATTGACGGATCTGGCTTGAAATTGTGGCTGGTACGCAGACTGCTGCGTCGGAAGTGGTGCCTGCATGACTGAGGGAGAAATACCAGATGCCATGGACATGGAATTTCGACGCTTGCTGGTAGTTTCACTGCCACCACCCCGATCATATCTTGAGGGTCTCCTCTCTTCCCCATGCGCAGATTGCGTACGATGTGATCTTCTTCTAGACTGACTTCGATTCCTTGAATTGTGCGTATGGCTGCGAGACCGTGGGCGCTGCTCCCTCTCGTCAGTAAGCTCCGAGGAAGCGAGCGAACCCGAACTTGCCTCTACGCGATTCCAACCATCGCAATCCTTAGAAGAAGAACTGTATTTCTCGTCTCGTCTGGAGCTCCGTGGATGCGACTTTGAGCGGGTCCGCCGTGACCGATGACCTTCGCTGGAACGATGCGATTGGCGTGTGCGTGTTGTGAGGGGAGACGAGGCTCTCTCATCGAATCTGCTGCGAATCGTAGGAGCTCTTGAAGTATTCCATTTACCTGCTCGTCGTATGTCAGGTTTTCTCGCCTCTAAAGTCTTGTCACTGTCCCAGGTATCAGATGCCGTTTCTTCCACTCCATTCCACCCACCAGCATTCGTCTGGCTTTCCCACTTGGATTCTGTGTCCCAGCTGACATGAGCTTTGGATTTTTCCTTCGCCTGGCTGTTACTCCATTCTCCTTCTGGGCTTCCCCACGTGGCGCCACCGTACTCCTCAGTGTCGTGATATCCACCTCCTGCGTCGGGAAACTGCACAGTTTGTGGCGCATCCGGAGCATATGGCGACTGAGGCCACGCCCCTGGGAGGCTGACTTGAAGTCTTCACGTTCATCACATGTTGCTCCTGTGTTTCTGAGGCTGCTGGTTCGACCCGCCGCGCCTCTTCCACACCGCGCTTCACTGCCGTAGTCAACATCTCGCTCAGCCATGCCGGATCAACTCCAGGAGCGTTTGCCGCCACAGCAGTTGTAGGTCGATTGTGGTAGAAGCTACGTTCCGACCCCATCATTGGCCCTGGAGGTATAGGTCCACTGCCATACTGGAAAGCTTCAGACGGTATTGATGGTGGAGGTCTTGCACCAGGACTTATAGGCTCGGAGAATCTTGAGTGAGTTCGGTGTTGCCCGGAGCCAGCAAACGGCGAAATTTTGTTGTTGTTGAGGATGTGCCTGTTTCGATGTCCCCGATGAAGCGTTTCGTGGCTACGCACAGTCTCAGCGTAAGGTGAGCGGTAGGAAGAGATCGGTGGCGGTGGTCCATGATTATTGCTGCCACCACCGAAGAATGGCACACGATCGTCGTACACAGAGCGTATATTTGGCGTTCGAGGCTGGCCGTCGAAGCCAAAAGGTGGGGGAGGTATGTCACCTGAACCATCCAGGCTCATTGCTGATATTGTTTGGGCGTTGCGAGGCCCAGCACACCGCAGGATGAGGACTTCGATACAGCCAATGTTATCGAGGAAGTTTGGAGAACACGCATCAGGTGCCTCATCTGCGGAGGCTATCGAAGTCAGCATACGTAGAACTCTAACGTGTAGAACAACATACTGGTGTTGAGCTTCTCGAACTTCCATTCCCTCGCAATCATCGAACCGTCCTTCTGCTTTTCCTCCTTCTGCCGCACCCGGAAGTCCACCACCGATCGACTGTCAGAACTTTTTCTGAGCTTCAGGTCCTGTCTGTTGCGGTTACACTGATACACGCCATCCACGAAGACATACATCGAGATGCCAGGAGCGATGAATTTGTCGGAGGTGAGGTGTATAGAGAATGCCTGCGGCTTGCTGGGAACCGGCACGAAGGTTTCCACGCAGCCATCGCCATAGGTTGTGCCGAATTCCTGCAGCGCTCGCTGGCTCTCTGAAAGCTCGATCGAGCACTTGAGGTCCTTGAGCGTTGGCATTGTTGATTGTTGCGCAGCGGTGGACGACTTTGTGATGCGATAATCTAGGTGCAGATAATTACAGAGAGTGAGAGTCTAGGTAGCAGCGCGAGGTATCGGCCAAGTCAGTGAAGAAAGGTGTTGGGTTAAAAGACTGGTTGTCAAGGCGACCCGCGACGTCGAATTCGCAGACACAAACAGGGGCCAAGAGACTTTTCAGGCTGGCAATCGGTCTCTACTCATAGGAGCCTAGAAATTCTGGTTTGAGACTATTGTATCAGTCCGGTAGATGCTTTATGTGAAGGGAGCTTAATTATATGTCCGAGAATCGGCAATGTGTGCCGGCGGTGCAAACCACCTTCACTTTCCAGGAACTTCACATCGCAGACAAGCAGCGTGTTTGGCGCCAGCTAGCATCTTCACAGTGCTACATTCGGTATCTGTTGCTTGTTCTACGGGATCCGCGTTCGACATGTCGCACACGTTGCCAGTGCTCACAAACAAGTAGGGTGAGGGCGCGGGATGTGACCATTGCTGTGTTGGCATGTACCATACTCAAGTTGTAGCCAGCAGGCGTGTAGTCGTTCTCATTTATGAGGCAACATGGTATTATGAGTAATTTTGGGGGTACGAACACTGATATGTAACATTACTGATGAGTCTTGTGAAGTTCAGACATGCGCTAGTAGTCTCGGTTCCGCCTTCCGTTTTCGTGTTTTGTCAAGTGGTATACTCAATATAAGTACTTCATGCTCAACGTAGAAAGTGGATTTGGGTACCTACTGACAGGGCCACACAATCAGAGTACTGAAACTCCCAAGTTTGTGTGCTGTCTAAGCCATGCGCTTATGCAGAATTGGTAAACTGCCTTTCACTTCGGCCAGCCGTTAATTTGTGGCATATCATAAGCCTCCTCTATCGCCCTAATCATCCTGATCCTATAGCATCCACAGGCTGCTGCGCACACTCGGTGATCTCATACTACGAGTCCACCTTAATTGTGCCACAAAGAGAGCATGCCCACCACTCGTTCTCCATAAACGTCCCACACTCCAAGCAATTCCACCCTATCCTTCCCTTTGCCGGCTCGAACGGCGTAGCACCCCGGCCTCGCAAACCCGACTGCGGCGGCGGTTTTGGCAAGCTAGGAGTTCCGTTTGATGACCCAAATCGCTTGTGTTGGGGTATCGGCTGCGGAGGCTGCTCGAGGCCACAGGCTTCGCAAGCTAGGTAGTCGAGAGGATTATGCAACGTGCACTGTGGACACGCCCACTTATCGGGATCTGAGGGAACAGTGATCTGCTGTGGCGAGGTGGGTGAGGGAATGGACGGAAGCTGTTTGTTTCGTAACTGCGCTTCTTCTTGGCTGATCAAGCGCGAGGAGCCATACGATGTGCTTCTTATATTCGAGACTGGCCGTGATGTGGATGATCTGGGCTGCGCTTGACTTATGAGTCGAGATATGGGTCGCCCATTGGCATCCACACGAGGCAGCGAGGACTGACGCGATTGCGGAGTCAGCGATGTCGGAGGGCCGAACAAGGAACCTGTGTCCCTGGCCCGTTCCAAGCCAACCGAAGATTTCTGCGCTGGCGACGCTGCACGTGAAGGCGGGTTACTGTCAAACGAAAGACCGTTCTCCCGATCCCAAGTCAGTCCTCCTTGCCCGGTGGGGGCGCCGAGTCGGTGCATCTCTTCCTCATACATGAGATCTTGAAGGGCTCGTGCGATGGCCATATCATTTGCGTCGTCCTGCTCAGCCGTTGTCCTGAAACCGTCCTGCTCCTGCTGGTGAACTAGCCTTCCGGCTTCTGCACTGTTGCTGGCACATCCTTCTGTGATACTGCTTCTCCGTGATGCAGCGTCGGCGATGACCTTGCGCATGTCCACTCCGCGTACCACCGATGAGCCTCCGAGCCTGTGGCCACCAGCATTGGCATTTGTACTTGCCTTGCGCTTCTCAGCTGCAGATCTAGCCTGTCGACGCATCTCATCCAGCGGCACTCTCTTGCCACCCAGCTTCTTGCCTTGCGTGAGAAAACCTTCGCCCGAGTAGCCCTTCATAAGCAACGACTGGTGCTCGTCCCGTAATTCATTCCAGAGATTGTTGAAGTCTGCATTGTGGGGTCCGAATACGATGTGTGACAATTCATGAAGCAAGGTGTCAGTGACCTGCTCCATGGACAAGAATTGCCGCGAATCATGGTGATATCTGAGCCTGATGAGAATTCTCTCTGTGCGGTTGATGTTGAGACCTAGAGCTGCTTAGCTACAAGGCCTAGTACATGCCTCAAGTGTATCTACCTAGTAGCTGCGGCTCGTCTGGTAAGAATTCAGCCAGCGTCCCGACCTTCCAGCCGCGTTTGCGCATCATCGGTTTGACCATGGACGCAGCCTTGCGAAGCATGTGCAGCGCTTCTGCATCCCTTGGTAGATGCTTGAGATGCTCATAGGCGTCAAAGTGTGCGTCGATCTCGCGCATGTTGGAGTGGCTCCTTGACCTGGCTGGTTCAGGTTGTCTTTGCGGCCCTTGCGGCGTGGTTGATAGATAGCAAAGAGAGGAGTGGTTTAGGTTGTGACCAAAATAGCCAGACCAAAGATGCGTCTGCGCGCAAGGATGTAAAGAAGGTGATAGAAGCAAAAAAGAAACAAATTACTCAAGCGGAGAGGCGAAAGACGAGGTCGGCCGCGTCAGCATTCACGCGTCGTTCACAGAAAGTTAGTGACAGACGTGGGAGGCTGAGATGGAGCTTTTGCATTGTGGTAGCTCGCGATTACCCGCAGCAGCTTACGGGCGAGTGCATGTAGTGGATGTGAGCCGTCTGCAAGGCTATCAAAGCGTGCAGTCACGCCCACTGAGGGCAAAGGATGCGGTGCGCCTGAAGGTGGTGGCGCACTTGCGCGTGACATGTGACCTGGCGCGACGCGGCGGGCGGGAGTGTAAGTTAGATCGCGGAGACTTGACGTAGGCTACGTGGGATATAGATCTGTGTCTCGCGACTATGGTGGCCAACGCCATTTCCTCGCCTGCACGTTCAACACTACATACAAGCGACAGTACATCTTTCAAGGGCGATGGCGAACGACGATCAACACATTCTCGAAGTCGTGAGTCGAGTCCTGCGTCAGCCCATCTCTTACCATGCGCTGACCAACATAGCTCACAGAGTACTCCAACGACGTCCGTCACTTCACGGGCTCGATTTGGGACGCAAGTGACCGACACTTTGCATCTGTCGCAGGCTATGTCAAGAGACCAGCTGCCAGAGAGCTGGCTGCCAGCGCGTGCGCGACCGCTTTCCACCACCACCTCCACCCCCGCACCACCTCACCAACATACCCTACATAAATCGAGTGCAGGACTGGATATCAGAGAATCGCGCACTCACAGCCGCCGTCGTCGCATTCGCCGGCACGGGCGGGCTTCTACTATGGAGAGAAAGGCGGAACTACAACCGGAAACGAAGGGCACGACGAGCAAGCAATGGCGCGAGGAAAGAGGTCATTGTGATCGCGGGTCCCCCCAACTCGTCCATCACTCAGTCATTATCTCACGATCTCGAGCGTCGCGGCTTCATAGTATACATCGTATGCTCAACCATGGATGAAGAACAGCAGGTCCTGGGCGAAGCGCGAGCAGACGTACGGCCACTGCATCTAGACGTCGTAGATACTTTCGGCACCCAAGAAGCCATCGAGCGGTTCAACGAGACGCTGGCAAGACCACATGTCGCCTTCTCAGGAGCAAGCCCACACAATCTGAGCTTAAAGGGCGTAATCTTAGTCCCTGACCTCATCTTCCCTACGGGTCCTGTGGAGACGGTGACTCCTGAGCTTTGGTCGGATGCGCTCAATGCCAAAGTTCTGAACACCATCGCCGTGACTCAGGCGCTGCTGCCAACAGTATGCGAGTCCAAAGCGCGCATCCTGATGCTCACCCCCAGTATAGTCGCGTCGCTTAGACCGCCGTTCCACTCTGTCGAAACAACTATTGTAAAAGCACTCGAAGGTTTCTTGGCCTCGCTTAGGCAAGAGCTCGGGACCTTGGGTATAGATGTACTGCAGTTTCACCTGGGAACTTTCGACTACTCGCACGTTGGCCCGAAACATCACCTGCAAACACGAGCGGCTGGAAGCCCACACGCATGGCCGGCTACGACAAGAACGCTCTATGCCCGCAACTTTGAGACCCAAACGCGTGCCGGCCTCAATGCCGACAGCTCGGGTAGTCCATTAAGGGAGCTGCACAACGCCGTTTTCGATGCTCTGGTGCAGAGACGGCCCAAATCGGTATGGCGCGTCGGACGCGGCAGTGTGGCCTACGATCTCGTGGGGAAATGGGTTCCTGACAGCCTGGTGGGGTGGATGATGGGATTGCGCCGCGTGTCTCTCGACACTCACACGGCACCAAAGCTCGAAGACAGCGTGCAGTCGTGGGAAAAGGTCGAGGCATCTCCTTGAGCGGAGATTGTACAGGCAAGCAATGGGCAGAGAGCACACAAGGAGAGGGAGCCGTCGAGGGAGCCGTCGAGGGTCTGCATCAGATGCGGCCACAACGGACATTAGTACGATATTGGGGTGTGTAACAGGCAGTGATATAGGACTACTGCTCGACACGACAAGAGTCAGTGTACTGCAGACTACCAGGTACGAAGGAATGCGACTAGGATGTCGCCGTCGCAGTCGAAGCCCAACGATGCTGCGTATGGAACTGGAGCTATTGAATGGGCAAACCGTTTTCCTCGTAGTCCATGAGACAGAGGAAGAGGCGATGGTTAAGGTTACGCCATGTACGAGTACGAGGCCTTGGCAATAGACGGTGCGAGTCTAGCCATGTGTTGGTGGGGATTGGGGTTGCAAGCACGCGACAGGTACTCTCCAGTCGTTTCCTGTAGGGTAGTGCAAAGACAATGGGGCAAATCTCAGCTCATGATGTATCTGAGCCCGAGCAGCGTGGTTCGTGGAGTTTGATTAGGCCCATGTGCTGCATCAGGTGCGCTCGCCAAATGAGTGCGGTTCGGAAAGGAGCCACTAGCACGCTAAAAACGGCAGCCAGCTGAAACTGGAAGGAATCCGAGAGGGCGGGTGTCACGAGACGACTGAGCGTTCGGCGGAATTGTCATGGCATCCCGCTGCAGCTCGACTGTTGTGATGCGAGAGTGCACTGTGGACGGTAGCACTGAGCACACAGCATCGTGGAGTTGCGGCTCTCAGGCTAGGGCGCCAATCACTGCCAGATGGATGTGCAACGAAGAAGGCTGCAAGGCGCGCGAGGGCCACAACGGCGTGCTGCAGGGCCGGCCATATCCAGCTCTCTAGCGCGCCCGATTCGCTGCATCTTAAATTTAGCAAGGGGAACCCCACACGCTACTTGGTTTGATGGGCCCTGTCCGTGCCAAGCGCTTCAGGAGGTGCAGAGAAGTTTGGGCCATTGGCACGCGGGCGACAGCCGATCCCTTTGACTAGAACATTGCGAGGCCTGCTGTGTCTGACCGTCGACAAGTCTCTGACTGCCAATTCCCACGCGGCTCTTGCTGTCGTATCCGCTCCTTCGCTGCTGCTCCCCTACTGCTAGACGTACCAGAGATCTGCGACCTCACGCCTAACCACCGCCCTCCACCGCCCACCACCACAACCACACTATTGGCACTGCCTCTCGGGCCCCGGCACCCTTCGCCGCCAGCGCATTCCCACCAGCTTCGACCGCCCGACCTCTCTGCGCCAGCTCGCACGCATCATTCGCACTATTTGGCCGTTTCACTGCACGCATGAAGACGCAGCGTCATCGCCCGACCACCGCCCGCTCCGCTTCCATGACCCATCCTTGCTGAGTGCATCATCACCGTCTGCCTTCACCATGGCAAACCACCCTGACCGCCCCGGCGGCCTCGAGCGCTCGCACTCCTTCGAGCCTCCCCGCTACAACAGCGACGTTGCGACCCTGGCCAGCTCCAGCATGAACAGCCTGTCGCTCGCCGACCTCCCCAGCCCGCGCGCGGGAGAAGTGCCTCCCGCGCTGTCTCCGCTCGACGCGCTCGCGCTCCAGGGACGACTGCTCGCGAAGCGCTTCGAGCAGGCCGACAAGACCGGCCGCCGTCTCAGTCGACTGGCGCCGCTCACCATCCAGAACGAGTTCGGGAACCGTCCCGGCTACTTTTCCAGCCTGTCCTCTGGCGTCAACTCTCCCGAAGATGCAGGCGCCCCCAACGCCCAGCACGCGGAGCCCTCACCGCAGTTTACCGTGCCGGACAAGCACAAGTCCTTCTATCCCCAGTTTGGCGGCGACGAGCCCTACTATGGCCAGAACCTGCTTGCGCGCAACCCCATGGGCACCATCGAAGAGACCAGCCCCATGTCGTCACCGCACCAGCCACAGAGCTACTTCGACATCCCCAGGTCGCGCTCCCCAGATGCAGCCGAGCCTCGCATCGGCGGTCTGCGCGAAGCCACGCCCATCACGCCGAGCGCGCCTGCACCGACATCGCAGCTCTACCTGAGCCCGCAGAGGCAGCCGTCCACAGGCTCGCTGTCGAGGTCACAGCCGCGAGGCAACCTGCTGCCTCCCCGCTCCTCGAGCTCTGTCCACTCTCAGCGCTCGCCGCGCATGTCACCAAGCATCCGATCTGTTACCGGCGACAATGGCTCCGACGTCGAGGACATGTCACTGAGTGGCTCCTATGACTCTATCAAACAACATCGCAACCTGTCGCCCGCCTCAAGCCTGTCCCGCACTCACTCGCCGTTCACGCCTGCAACAGGTGCGACAATTCCGCGTTCGCCCTCGGTCTCTTCCGACGTCTCTGCCAGCAGTCACCTTCCGCGTCCTTCTTACAACTTCTCGCGACCAATCAGCAGACAGAGCACACGACCATCTATCGATGTGCCGTCACGACAGCTTTCTGAGGACAGTGTCTACACGAGGCCATCATATGACAGCCAGTCCATTCGTCAGGACATAACTTCCAGCCCAAACACCAGCTATGCTAACGAGACTGTACATACCCCCGTCAGCATGGCCAGTGAAGACTTCCGTCGCTCTGGCGACTTCACCAACAACCCCGCGCCGTCTTACACATACACCAAGTTCAACCTGCCGCGAGGGCGGCCAGTGGACCGACGATCTGTAGGTATTGAAGACTTCTTTAAGAGTCAGATTACCTGGGACCAGCCCAGCTCAGGCCAGGAGCGACCTCCATCTCCGGAATCCCCACCCCGCTCCTTCGAGTCGTCCCGGATACGACAGGACTTCGCGGCTGCCCGCGATGCCTCGATTGACCACGGTGCCCCATCGCTCACGTCTAGCAACAGTACCATCCGTGGTCGACGAGCTGGTTCGGCAGACACTACTGCGCAGGAGCACTGCGATATCGGCCTCGAGCTCCACGAGGCTGGCGAACTGCTCAAGTCCACCTATCATCTTCGCCTGGGCCGGCCCGAGCAGGCCTTCCCGAGGCCATGTTTTGGTACGGTCTGGCCTGCCGACATGGCTGGGGCATGCGCGAAAACAAGGCAGAGGCCGTGCAGTGGCTCCGCCGCGCCGTCGACTCTGGTCAGCTAGAAGTTGCCGAGGACGAGGACACCTCAAAGCCAGCAGATCAACTGAAGAAGAAACAGCACCGAGCACAGTACGCCGTTGCCATCTACGAGCTTGGCAAATGCTATATGAACGGCTGGGGTGCCGCCCAAGACAAGTCACTTGCTCTTCGCTGCTACGAGATTGCCGGTAACTGGGGCGATGCTGATGCCTTGGTCGAAGCCGGCTACTGCTACGCGGAAGCCGTTGGCACCAAGAAGGACATGAAGAAGGCTGCAAAGTTCTACCGTGCTGCCGAAGCCAAAGGTGTGAGCATGGTCGGCAACAGCTGGATCCACAAAGAAAAGTACATGGACGATGGCTCTGCAGTCGACTCACGCTCTGTCCGCTCTGGACGATCCGCCAAGAAGGACAACGCGAAGGACAAGGCTCGTGACAAGAGTCGCACGCGCACCATCTTCGGCCGCAAGAAGAGCCACACCGCGACCTCGACCTAGTCCTGGCATCTCTGTCCACGTGTCCACGATCTCCTTATTTGTACATTGGCGATGGCGTCCTTGGATCTGCGGCCGGCTCCTTGCTTTTGCATATACCACTTCGACTTTTGCGTTTATACTCCCTCTCATTCGATTGTCACTATTCTCCACCTGCCTGGCGCATGGCTTGGCTCCTCTACATACCCCACATTTCGACACCTCGACATAGCAATTTCCTTTTGAGTTCTGTTTTTGATCTACCTTTTCCTTTGTTTATGATTTCCCTTACTCTCCTGGTTCGAGCTTTTTGTTTTCTTTTATGCGAAGCGTTTCGATACCGTGCTAGCAAATCTTGCACATAATTCTGATTTCGGCACTGGTTGTTTGCCTGCTGGGTGTCTCTTTCGCGCCCGGGTAATGAAGATGTGCAAGTAGTTAATTTTTTCGTGTCGTCGTCTGGAAAGTTTACGACTTTGTGTATAGGGTGGACGATGTTCGTTCGGGAAAATAGGAAGCTGTGTAAAGGAGTAAATGTGTGCGCATTTAGCTTCTGCTGTAGAAAGAAAGTCCCTGGGAAAAATTTGCGAGGAATGAAAAATACATTACACACAACTTTATGTGCACGTTGCTTTTTGATGCTTGGAAAGTGGTCAATATTTGTGACCTAGATATGGTCTCCAAACAGTCTTCAAGCAGCAACTTGAGGCTGTGTTAACGCATGGAGGTCAAGCTTTGGAGTTCGTGGTATTCACTTGTATGCAGAGACGCGATGGCGAGTGAGATAAATGCCATCCGATATATGGGAATACTTTCATGCACTTTGAAAGTCTGATGTCTATTGAAGCAGTAGAGTAGGAGCAGTATTGCTTCATTAATATGACATCTGGCCAATGTACTCTGAAGAGTCAGCTTGATGTACTTCAAAGTGTTGCGGGTGGCTACCCTGCAGTGCCAGGTCGTGTCGAGACACCTCCAATCACACCTTGTCCCTCCAACATATATCGGAAGTTCAGTTTCGCTCAACGCGCACCAACATAGATCCATCAGCGAAGTAACGCAGAATTGCAAACGACCTGGAGGTCAGTCGCAGCACGGATATGGTTTGTCGCTTTCGCTTCAAACATTTCTAGAAAGTGCAGAAAGTCCGCGTCGCAACATCGAGTAGCTCGAGGCGCATTCGACGTGTACGAGAGGGAAGCGGCTTCGGCGTTGATCTGGCGGCACACGCTGATGGAGCCGTGCCATGTCGCTGGGGCTTTGATGTCCTGTATGGGGAAGCCGCTTCTCTTCTAGGAGATAAGACGTCTCTGTAGAAGGCGTAGTTGTGAATATTTCAGTCGGAGTTCTGCAGGGAGGCGCGGGAGGAGAGAGGTGAGAGAAATCTTGGCCGTGCTGATGGCAGTCGGTGATCAGGTAATGACGAGTACGTGGGAAAGATTACTTACATCTCTTCGAGGGTGATCATGTTAGATGACAATTCAGCTGTATCTGCTAACCGATGGAGTGATGACAGCAGAGGGAGTTGAATTGAGGGTGATTAGAGGGAACAAGAGAAAGCTCGCCCCAGTGGTAGCCAATATTTATGGTTGTTAGGTACGTCTCAGCGTAAATTGCCTGGAACTGCAAACAGCGAATCGGACGCTCTTGCCTTAACACCCAGAGATTTAATTGAGCCAGGCATGGCCACAGTCATCGTCTCGTCTCTATTGCGATGTTGCTCGGGATCCCTAAAACCGACTTTTGCGTCGTTCATTCACACTATCGTACTCATCATAACAAGATGATAGGAGTGTACACCGATGAAAGAAGAGGAGGATACAACAGCACTAGAAATCATTAAATTATAGTATACGATAACCATTGTCAGAGGAAATAGTGGCAGGTAAGGACTGGATAGGCACTAATTGTAGGATGTAAGACGATCCGGACGTCGTCTCTTTTCTCGGTTACTGTGCTCTGAGGGCATCCCGAACCAGAGAACGAAAAAGATCGGCCCAATGGATAAACATGGTTGCTGGACGTGGAAGCCGGCGCGATGAGTGATAGCACTTTTGACAACAAAGGTCGAATACAGCAGCATAGCGTAGAGAGCGAGATGGAGATAAATTCTGACGCCAGAGATGATTGGTTCTTGAAGCTCCGCATAGCAGCCTGTCTCGCCACAGCTCGCTTTGCATCCTGCCTACTCCATCTGTCAGAATTAGCCTATAAGGCTACACTATCCAGGTGCCACACACCCAAACGGGTAACCGCCTGAGAACAGCGAAGTCAAAACTATGGGGACCTCTGCATGGGTCGGCCCATGGTCGCTTGCTGCAGGCAGAATGCAGATGTGGCTGCAGGATTGGGCCACACCCACAAGGTTCTCTAGCGTGCTCAAACTTAGCTTAAATATACCGCTGATAAAGGTGGGGGGTGGGATGGTTGCATATGTCTTTTTCCCTCCCTCGCAATGAGCAGGAAGGCGTCTCGTCCATCAGGTATCATGCAGTTCCGCTTTTTTAGTTGTGGACTGGCATTGGCACCACCGTCTGCTTTGGCCTTGAATTCACTCAGGACTCTTTCATTTCTCTGCTTTCGTCATGCTCTCCAAGACCTTCTCTATATCATCTAAATCACAGTCTGATTCGTCTAGGTATGCGCCTCTGGCGGCACTCGACTCTTCTCGTGCGCTGTGAGCTGTTTGGCGGTGCTAGATACCGCGGCGACTCCGAATAGCACGAAGTCGAGTTTTGATGTCCTAGTAAACGGTGGAGATGAGGTGTCAACGTGTGGTATGCCATAAGAGTTTGATTTCATGTTGATATGGCGCCGAGCTTCGGGTTCGATTTGGCGCGGAGGCGAGACCTAGTGAAGCTGAGTGATTGTATTGCTTCCGGTTGTAGAAATGTATGTATCTTTTGATGACCTGTCTCATCAATGTACTGATCATTGGTGGCGTCATATACGATCTCACTTTCCAGAGCTTTCGAGTAGCTACAAGAATTCTTAGTCTTACGAGTTCCGAGTTACAGTTATTACCAAAAAGGGTTAACGTGCCCGTGCGCGACGCGATCGGAGTCGCGTAACGATTACTGAACACTATATAGATTATCTTAAAAATAAGGCTACAATAACGCGTATAATAGCTATTATTATAAGATTTCTTAGTAGTTTAGTAAATAAGACCTTGCGATTATTTTATACTATTTAAATTTACTTAGGAGCTTAACGTTGCAGCTACGTGACGTTACCTAGGGTAGTAGAGGAGATAGAGCAGGTAGAACTTAAATACTACCTATAGCATCTCTAACGCGTTTCTAACGCTTCTCCTTAGAGGAGACTGCTTATAAGGCTTTGCGCTTACCTCTTTAGGATAATTATATAGCTTTCTTAGCGTTACGCTGCTGTTTTTAATGCTTACGTTTAGCCTGTTTCTTAGCCTTCTCCTTCTCTCTTACTACCTTAGCTTTCTCTTACGCTACGCGTCTCTTCTTAGCCTCTTATTTTTTAAGGAGCTTAGCAGACTTATAGAGCTCTTTAAGCTTTAATTTCTAGAGTTTCTCCTCTATCTTATCCTTCTTGCAGCAGTGCTCTTGTACGTAAGCGTTCTTAACCTTTTAAGGAGACTATAACACTGCCTCTCTATAGTACTCCTAGCTCTCCTGCAGGGCAAGGGCATAGCCTTTTTTATGCTTCTTTTTAGTAATAAGAGCGTCCTATAGACTCTTGTTTTCGTAGTGTAGTAGCTTATTTTTAATATAGAGATAATAAAAATTAAGGTAAAGCTTTTAAGCTGCTTCTTCTGCGTTATCCTTTACTATAGAACGCAGTAAACGCTTAGATTCTTGCTAGCTATTTATATAATTATCTCTCTTATCTCTTTCTCTTTATAGTGTTTACTTCTTAAATCTCTAGAAGATAACGTTAGCGTTAGCTAGTAAGATGCCTGTTGCTTTAAAAGACTTAAAAATAGTCTTCTCCTTAAAGCTATTTACCTAGGCACGCTAGAATAGGAAGAAGAAGTTACCTTTCTTTATTAGTACTAGCTCTTAGCTGCGTTAAACGTAGTAAGTAAGCTTCTGTAAATAGGCGTTAGAGAGTAGCTAAAATATAACTATATTAAGCAGCTGCAACGTATAGGTTAAATAAGAGGGAAATATAAGTAATAAGATGCGATTATAGCTATAATACTTAATAAAATCTATAGTTATATAGCTTCTATAGCTATCTAAAATAAGCAGTCTCTATAAGCGTCCTACTTTCTCCTTAGTATACTAATTAAACACCTATTTAAGCTAGGCTATACTAACATTATTATTGCTCTAACCTAATAGAGTTGCAGTAATAAACACCTTATACTTACTAGAGTTAATATCCTTTACCTAGGATAATTATATTACTCTAGAAGCAGCACTAAAAATAAGGCCTAGAGGCAACGCTAAGCTATCTGCATAGACTGTTACTATAACAGTTATCTACTTACGTAATCTATTCTAAGTAGCATAAATAACCTCTTTCTTCTTATATATGCGTCTGCTAAATACTTATTTTGCTCTATTAATTACCTTAATTATAAACCTCTTTTTATCTATATTATATATATAACGCGTTTCTATATTATATTAGGCGATCTTTAAGTATAGCAGCTTAAAGTAATAGGTATACTTTACTTTAGAATTAGCTACGTAACGTATACAGTCTATAAGTTAGGTCTATTAAGAGATAAGATAGATCTTATAGCAGTAGATAAAGCGCGTAACCTAGCTCTCGCTAACCTTCTCCTTAGCTATATATAAGGCGAAATTTTATATTATCTTCCTTATAGGTAGAAGCTCTCTCTTTATTAAGTTTTTAATATATTATATAAGCTCTAACTCTTGTTATAAAGTAAGCTTTTATTAGCTAGAGTTTTTAACCTCCTAAGGTAGCTAAAGACTCTTATGTTAGTAGGATAAAGTAACTCTGTGAACATTATACTAGCGCGCAACTTCGCTATATATAAAATTTTCTCCTAGTTTGCGCAAATTAATTGCTTTAATCGCAGCTTAGATTAGATCTATAGTCGTGAAGTTATAGCGTGTTAAAGTATAGTATTATTCTCGCGTTTTAGTGTTTAGTGATTATTACGCGACTCCGATCGCGTCGCGCACGGGCACGTTAATGAAGAGGCTGAAACGTGCATTGACGTGCAAAGACTTCATCCATCCCCCCAACCATCGTCTGCCTCGTCAGATGCCTTGTGCCCAACGTATAGCGATTATGAAATGGCTACCCAATTTGATGCCTTTCTATCACCCGTGTCTCCATACATGTCCCCACCCACTTCAGCATTCGACGCTCTCCAAGTCTTCACCGCCTGGTGTTGACGCAGCAGTGGAGCATCCCCGCTGGCTCCAAGGTGCTGGGACTAGGATACGGACAAGGTTATTACACAACAATTCTTGCTCCCAACTTGGGCGAGCAAAGAAAGATGGTAGCCATTGATCCAGCGACACAGAGTTGTGATACGTATAGTCCCTCAATATTCTTCTCTTGCTGAACACACTGTAGATCTGATTGAACAGACTAACGGTTCATGCAGGTGCGCCATATACTCTCAGCCAAGCACAGGATTACATGTCGCAAGGCCCGCTTGGTCAGCGAATCAACTGGATCCAGGATAACCCTAATGGACTACCTCACTTCATTGGTCGCCGGCACCAGGACCCTTATGGCAACAGTCCTGGTAGTTTTCCTCACCCATGCTCATTCTGGACACGTTCCGCGTGCTCGAGCATTCAAGCGAGGGTCCAATCCTTGTTGAGTGGTCTTTGGCAGCGAGAGACCCCTCTGTACGACCCCACGTCCTAGCCGCGCTTGTCCAGGCGGCTTTGGAGTGCTGTAAAGCCAAGAGCTTCTCCAACGTTCGTATCGTATTGACCCCAAAGAGGCTATCCGAGCTGGCCCTGGCTTTTCGATGGCAAGTGAAGCGTACGACCCGCGTTCCAGGCGGGGAGGGGTCGTTGGATGGGCAGTGCAAGGTGTCTACTTGTCTTGCTTCCGCGTTCACAAGGCAAATATATGAGCATGCGAATGATGGAAGGGAGCGCGGGGTGATTCTTGCGTTGAGCGACGCTTGTGAGGTGAGCTTGGAAGTCGTGCTTGGAATTCGCAGTGCAGTTCAAATGAAGGTTGTCCGAATTGATAAGTCCTTTCGATCAAGTGATCTAATGCTTGAAGACTTTTGCACTTCCAGGTCTAGATGAGCGCCACAAATCGTGTCTCCGCGGTTCCGAAACCTTATACTACCAAAGACGGCATCATACCCACATGATGAAACATGGAAGAGCTGGGCAGGGTCCTGTTAGCGTGGCCTCGACTCAAAAGAGCAGAGCAAGTGGCTCATTAAGCCGAGCTCTTGAAGCCTGTTGCTGCAATTAATCTAAAACCTGGGTAGCTCGTGGGTGCGCGAAGCATTAGCGCTTGATCCTTTCGTGAACGAGCTTCCTGCAAAGAAAACTGCTAATTCAGGGCAAAAGACTACTTTTACTAAGAGGGATTGGCTACGCTCAAGGCTGCTCGTGCATGACCTGATCGTAGACGTAAATCTCCAATTTTATATATTGGTTGAGGCTGGCATACCTCCTGATTGCTGGACATGTGGCGGGGGCGGGGTCGCTAACATTCTGGTCGCGGGGCTAAGTCGGCCTCCATCCGCCCCTCCCCTGTTCCTTCACCGTCTCGGTGCATGCATTAGTGTGCCCAGGGAGTGGTATAATACTACCGACGCGTGCCCACCGCGGGCTGTAAAAAGCTCAAAGGTCCTGCTACTACTCACACTCTTTGGTTCCGTTCACAACAGATTCGAGTGCATTTTGTAGCCATGTCTTCTGCAACAGAACAGACGATTGACGCACTGGTGGTTGGTGCAGGGTAAGCAACATGAAATCGCAGGTTTCGTGGCATTCTCATGCTAATGCCATTGTGACTAGATTTGGCGGCGTTTACCAGTTGAAAAAACTCCGCGACCAAGGCCTGAAGACAAAGCTCATCGATGCTGCGAGCGATGTAGGCGGAACCTGGTACTGGTATGTCACCGAAGTGCTCCAGCGCAAGCTGGAAGTCATACCTAGGTACTAATCAAAATTCGTATTGCAGGAACCGTTATCCAGGCGCAATGTCAGAGTGAGTTCTCATGCAAAGTGACCCGCCAGGTCTTTTCCTAATACACTATAGCACCGCATCTTTTATGTACCGCTACTCATGGGACCTCGAGGACCTGCGAACATATCCGTGGAGTAATTCGTATGTGTCCCAGAAAGAGGTACAGGGCTACTTGCGACATGTCTCCGAGCGACATGATCTGATCAAAGACATGGTCTTCGAAGCTGCTTTAGAATCGGCCGATTGGGACGAGGCATCTTCCTCCTGGATTGTTGAGACGTCGGCCGGAATCACTTTCCGAACGCGTTACCTGGTGACAGCGCTTGGCATATTGTCAAAGCGAAATGTCCCTGATATCGCTGGACTGTCGTCCTTTGGTGGAGAAAAATTCCACACCGCCGCATGGCCAGAAAATGTCGCATTGGAGGGGAAAAGAGTGGGTGTTATTGGTAATGGAAGTTCTGGTGTTCAAGTTGTCACTGCAATTGCCAAAGACGCCAAACACAAACACCTCATCTCTTGTACGTCGCTTCCCTATGAAGAGTTACTTTGGGGACCTATACTGACTTGTCCAATTTTGAAGTCCAACGCAATCCTCAGTACAGTGTACCAAGTGGTCTGCGCCCGGTACCATCCTCAGAGCGCCAGGAGATCAACGAGAAATATCCCGAGATTTGGAAAGAAGCTTTCGAAGAGAGCGCCTTTGCCTTCGGCTTTAAGGAAGCGAGTCGAAAGACATTTGACGTAGATGAGAAAGAGCGCAACAGGATCTATGAAGAAGCATGGAACAAGGGCGGTGGATTCCGGTTCATGTTCGAAACATTTAGCGACATAACCACCGACGAAGCAGCTAACAATGCCGCGGGCGACTTCATCAAAGCCAAGATCCGAGAGAAGGTCAAGGACCCCGAAAAGGCGAGGAAGCTTATGCCATCAGAGTTTTACGCGCGGCGGCCGCTCTGCGACACTGGCTTCTACGAACAATTCAACCGTGAAAACGTCGACATTGTAAACCTCAAGGAGACGCCCATCGAACGCATAACTGAGAAGGGCATACTTACATCGGACGGCAAGGAACACGAGCTGGACGTTTTGATTTTTGCCACAGGCTTCGATTCCGTGGACGGTAGTTATACACGCCTCGCCATAAAGGGCAAGGAAGGAACCTTGAAAGATTACTGGAGCGCTGAGGGTCCTACCTCCTACCTTGGTGTCAGCGTGCCCAGCTTCCCGAATCTTTTCATGCTCGGTGGTCCAAACGGCCCCTTTTCCAACATCCCGCCCGCCCTTGAGGTTCACGCCAGATTCATCAGCGATCTGATCGAATCCGCGGAAGCTAAGCGCAAAGCGGAGTCTGCCCGAGCACCGGTCATCGAAGCCACACGTGAAGCTGAGAAAGGTTGGACAGATCTGTGCAACCAAGTGAGTGCTGGGAGTCTTTTCCGCAAGACCGAGTCGTGGATGTTCGCGGCGAACATACCAGGGAAGAAACGTTACATTCAGTTCTGGCTAGGAGGATTATCGGGCTTCGGAAAACAACTGCAAGACATTGCAGCACAGGGTTGGAAGGGCTACTCTATCACACCTGCGGCATCATGAAGTCTCACCAGTACGATACGGAGACCAATTCAAAGTTTGTGGGTCATATTGCGAGAGTATTGATAGACAGTGTAAATCATGCGTTCCGTGAAGCTCTGGAACAAGTGCGGTTGGGCAGCAGACTGCGATGTTTTGAACGCGGTTAACTAAATCTTCTTCTATCAAGGTATTTGACCTTATAAGCAATAAATCAGATGATATACATATATGCTCAGTGTCAATAGGTGACAGGATTCAGTCGACGTTGCCCGACTGCAACGCAGATTACACTTGCCTGTGAAATTAACAATGAGCACGTCATGATGTAGAACACCCTGACATGCACGGCATCAAGCAGTGTTCTATCATCTCCTAGCAGCGCAACCTGAGAATAAGTGCTGGGAACGCGGACACATCACAAGTGAAAATCACTCGCAAGACTTTGACTTTTCAACAACAGGTAGCAGCACAGCTATAAATCGCTTATCCTACATAATAAATTAATCTTCGCCCGCTTTGGCTTTCCTGTGGTATGAAATCACCCACGAACTTCCTATCGTCGTTGGCCACAGCTCTAGTGTCATAATTTAGACAGCGCAAGTCAAGTCTGACGATGTTTGGCGTTCCTGGATTCCGGGAGCTTGTGATCTAACACGTCGAGTACAAACTAGGTACAGTATATACTAGGCTTTGAGTGGGTCGAAGGCCAGAGCCGATGACTAGCTTCGGGCGATGGCGATATGAAGTCTGGCGCGGGTGGAAGGATGGACCTCGGAGTGGGGTTTCTTGAAGATGACGATCCATTGTTATAAAGATCCTCAAGTTCCGCATTTGTTGAAGCAATCCTCTTGCGAATCCAACAGCTTGTACTCATCTCATCACCACACTCTCTCATTACAGCTTCACCTTTCAACCCATATCTTCAACATGGCCGGCGCTCAAGTAATCGTCGCTTACCCGCGCAACAAAGATTCCACTTTCAACAAGGAATACTACCTGTCAACCCACATGCCTCTCGTCGCGAAGTACTGGAAGAAGCATGGTCTCAAGTCATACGCCGTGACCGAGCTCCAGGCCGACGCCCCATACAGTTACTCCGTTGTCATGGAGTTTGAGAGCTACGAGGGCTGGGGAGCGGCTGGCGGGGACGCCAACACCAAGGAAGTCATGGAGGACATCAAGAACTTCAGCAACGAGCACCCGGTCCTACTCCACGGAAACGTCATTGGCCGAGAGACTGTTTAAGAGCTGATGGATTGGTGATGGTGCTGACGATGCTGGATGTGGTGGACGCGGGGTACTGGAGGGGTACGGTAGCTTCTCTCCCGAGGCAACTTCGGATGGGAAGCTGCATGTTCAAACTAGGAAATGATGACAGCCACGTCGACTCTGGTAGATAAATGCACATCTCTATCCAACTGCGTGTAACGCACTGTTGGTCTTGCACGCGCCTTGCATTGTGTTTCCAATCGCTCCGGTACCCTCATCCACCAGCCACTTCAGTCCTGTCATCATGCCGTTTTTGGCCGAGGAGCATATTAGCATTCCGGATCAAGACCTTTTGTCATGGATGTTTGATACACAAACCTATGATCAGGATGCACCTGTGAGTGATCAATCATGTGACATTGGTACGATCGTGTCTGATTATTGCAGATTTACATTGATGCTGCAGATCTGGCGCGTACCATATCGTCACGTCAAGCCAGAGACATCACTGGAAAACTATGCGCAGGCTTCAAGTCGATAGGATTGCAAAGCGGAGACTGTGTGTGCGTGCTTTCATTCAATGATGTGAGAACTTTTTGGCATCACCGCACCGTTCATCTCATCAGTCAAACTGACAAGGTCAGATCTACTACTCTATAGCATTCTTAGGCATAGTTTCCTTCGGAGGAGTGTTTGCAGGTGTCAATCCAAGTCATACACCATACGAACTTACACACGCATTTCAAACAGCACAAGTCAAAGCCTTGATCGTAGAGCCTGAACTACTCCCAAATGCTCTTAAAGCCGCAGCACAAGCCGGCATACCGCGTTCACACATATTCGTCTTTGACCATCATACTCCCGTCACGGTAGCATGGAGTGCTAGCGAGGTTTGGGGAGAAGGCCTTGGCGGCGAAGAGCGATGGGGTGGATGTCGAAGCTGGAGGTATTTGATGGATCAGGGAGTACACCAGTGGGAGTGGTGGGACGACAAGACTAGAAGCAAAGAGACTGTCGCAGCAAGGCTATTCAGCAGCGGAACCACTGGCATGCCGAAAGCAGTCGAGATGACGCACTACAATTTTATTGCACAGCACACCATGGTGCTGGAGTGGAAGCCTCGAGACTACGAGGTAAGTAACTTTTGTTATTCTTATGTGGAACTACACGCTCATGTATCACAGGTCAAAAGACTGCTTTGCACACCGATGTTCCACGTGAGCAACATACCCAGAGCTCACACAAGTCCTCTCCGCGGTGGTATGAAAACCTACGTCATGCGCAGATTTGAGCTTGAGTCTTGGATGCGTAACATTGAACGCTTTCAGATTACTGAAACCGGTATGGTACCACCAATGGTGATACAAGTGATCAACTCGCCATTCGCAAAGAAGTACTCTCTGGCCTCGATCCGCAACACTTGGGTTGGCGCGGCGCCACTTGCTGCCGAGCCTCAGGCCCGGTACAAGGCGCTGCTGCGGCCCGAAACACCGTTTAATCAGGTTTGGGGAATGAGTGAAACGAGCTGTATTGCGACCATGCTGCATTACCCCGAGCATGATCCGACTGGATCTGTTGGTAGGTTTCTGCCAAACCATGACGCCAAGCTTGTCGATGATGAGGGCAACGATATCACTGGTTATGATGTACCAGGCGAGCTGTGCGTTCGCGGCCCGCTGATAGTCAAAGGATACTTCAACAACCCAGAAGCGAATCGTTTAGCGTGGGATAGTGATGGCTACTTCCATACAGGAGACGTGGCATTGCGTCGAAAAGAGAATGGACTGTGGTACATCGTAGATCGCAAAAAAGAGCTCATCAAAGTACGAGGGTTTCAAGTTGCGCCGGCCGAGCTTGAAGGGGTCTTACTATCGCATCCGCAGATTAGCGATGCAGCAGTCATCGGCATTCCTGCTGTTGGCGCAAAGGCAAATGCAGGTGACCAGGGCACTGAGCTACCACGTGCCTATATTGCCCTAAAATCGGGAGTTCAGCTCAACGAAGCCGAAGTTCAAGCATACATGAAAGAGAGACTAGCTGGATACAAACAACTGGTTGGTGGCGTCAAGTTTGTCGATGCGATACCGAAGAATGCTTCTGGCAAGATATTGAAGAAGGACTTGAAGGCAGTAGCGAAGGCAGAGATAAATGCCAAACTGTAGTACAAAAGAACTCTATTTGTGACAGCAGATCACTTCAAAAATCCCAATACCAACTCGTTGAACGTGTCAGGCTTCTCCCAATAGCACCAGTGGCCCCCCCATTCCACAGCCACACCTTTTGCAAGTCCATCCTCCTTGCCGCCATTAACTAAATCGACCACCTTGAGCGGTCCAGCAGCAGGGAAGCATCCACTTCGCGTACTCGCGACCACCAACACTTGGGTCTGACTTCCGCTTCCTGGCCCGAAGTTTTGCGCAATAGCATCTCGCCAATCTAGCGATGTGTGATCACTCATCAGTTTACCATACCACCTCCCATCGCCGTTCATCGCCTCTCCAAGGAAGAAATCTTCGTCTTCTACCCACTCTTTGGATCCAATGGTAGGGTCGCCTGGTTGAGGATGCGACCTGTAGCCTAGGCATGCAGAAATTGTGCCGATGTGTGCAGCCTTGGGTCCGAACTCCAGAAGGTGTTGAACGCGATCCAGCGCTTCTGCGCTATTACACCCGCGGTTTCCAAACTCTTTACCCCAGTCTGATGTGTAGTTTTGCAGAGGTGCTTGGTCGACGAAGATGAGTTTCTTGAATGTTGAAGTGGTGAAGAGCTCGGCGTAGGACCTGACGGGATCAATTCTACTCAATGCAAATATTCGGACGTGGCTGACCAGAGAATGGCAGCCCCCAGACTTGTACCAATGGCAGACACTTCACCCTCTGTGAACTTGAGGTGCTCGATGAGATTCTTCAGGTCCATGGCAAGGCGCGAGACATGATACCCAGCCTTGGGCTTACCGGACAGGCCATGCCCGCGCAGGTCGGGTACGATGACATAGTAGTCCTTGGATAATGTAGGCACGTTGCGCGTGAAGACTGCGCTTGATCCCGTGAAGCCGTGGAGCTACATCGGGGCTCAGCTTTGAGACGCAACACGAGTCGTCACGCACTTACGAGTATCAGTGGCGGTGATGATGCTGAGCCATGTGTTGAATATTGCAGTTGAATTCCATCGTTGGCTTTCAGTTCAGGCATGATTGGATCTGTGTTGAGAGATAGGTGGATGTTGGGGTGTTCGTCGTTGTTGATCTTGGACCCCACTTCGGCAGGGTCTTCCCCAACAGTCAACTGCTGCATGCAGACTGTATACTCGCCCCTCGCACCGTGCTCTACATCTTCAAAGTCCTTGGGTAGTCTAACAGAATCAAAGTATTCTTGGATAATACGAGTACAAGCGACGAATTCCAGTTACCATAAACAGACTCGCCTCATGCATCAAGCTCGGCATTCTTCACGAGGTGGCATGTCTGTTAATGCTTATAATATCTCTTCAGCGATATCGCAAAGTAGCCTGACTAGCTTCAGGATTGATATGTATACTGCGTATATCGACCGAGACTTCTAGATACGTGGAATGCTTCAACAGCATACCTCGGTCGTCGTGGTCCTGCACCACTGCTCCTCAGTCTTCCTCAAGCGAAAGCTCTTCTTGAAGATCCCCCATACCGCCCCATTCTTGCTTACCGCGAAACTCATATAAATTGTCACCGCCTAGTCCTTCGTCTTTACGTCGCCTTATTTGTAGTTTGCCAAACATCAAGTATGGCTCCCACCGATCTAATCGACCAGTCCGTACAATATGCAACGTGAGTCGCTCCAACGGCCGTATCTGCACGCGCGAGATGTCCTCCATGATCTTGATGGCAGCTTTTCTTGATCCTTCAATGTCGAGTTCCGGTGCGGGTCTTGTTCCCATAGCATCTTGTGTCAACTCTGCAGAGTAGTCGCTGGCTTCGTCGGGAATATGCAGAAACAAGTCAAGCTTTTCAAGTCGCATGCTTGAAATGAGCTCCAAAGACTTTTCGCGCATTTCCCACGAGACGTCCCAACCCAATCGCTTGAGGAACGGAAATTCCTTTACTACCTTTTTTAGGCAGCTAACCTCAAGATGCACGGGATAATCCCATGACCCAAAGTCTCCTCTGAGTATCAAAGTCTCCAAGGTTTTATTATGCTGTTCAATTGCCGGCCAAAGCGTATCGATGGTTGACGCGGAATGATCAATATCAAGTGACTCCAGCGCCCTGACAGACTTGATGAATTTAGACGCAGCTTCGCCATTTGCTCCGCGTGGGATACCGAACCGAAGGCTCTTGAGCTCTGGTAACAGCCCAGTGAAAACAGTGAAGAAAGCAGTAGGCATATCGCTAGCAAAGTTCAGTGTGCGTAAGTTCGACCAATCCGTTGAATCTCGGAGCATTTTGCAATGCTCTGTATCCCATAGATAGCTAGAGCTGCCATAGTGCCGCACTTCATGGAGCGTGAACTCTTCTAAAGCAGGAAAATGTGTTTCAGGCGACATGTCGAATCGCATCAACTTTTGTGGCTCGGTATCGTTTAGGACCTTGATACCACGGTATTCATTACCATCCTGTTGGCTTTGAATCCTCAGCATACGAAGGTTTCCACCGGCTGCAATGGCGCGAGTCAACTTAGGCCATTCGGAGCGGGCAGGCTTATGCGCTTCGTAGCCTTGGAAGAAGGCGTTATATGTCAAATTCCTTAAGAGCGGAGATGACAAGAGTTTTTCGTCCATTTGCCGATGTCTAACGTCTCTGGCATGCTCCCGATCAAGGACGTGTACCAATAATTCGAGCTTGGGCCAAGTCGCATGAAGCTTATCGAGAACAACTTGCGAAATGTGGACAGTAGTTTCCCAACTGTTCATATTAGCTGCTGTCATGTGTGCAGTGTCGATATAGTTCACCTTAGTTTATTCAAGACTCCACATTGCGAAATCCTTGTCAAGATCATCATCAGATCTTCCGGAGGCACATCGTCCTTGACTGTGATACTGCGTACATGTCTTGCGACGCTACATTGTTCCTCCTTACGGAACAGCTCGATGAGATATTCGTATCTCTGTGCTGTCTTGCTCCTGTCCTCTCCTCTTTTGAGCACAATGTTTCGGTAAACGAGCGACACTGTAGCTTGTCGCAAGCTCTGTGATGACTGACTCAGTGCAGAGACTGAAGCCTGGGAGAAGCTCACAAGTTTGGAAGCTATGAGATGTTGAACATCTTCTGCGATACTATCGAGATCTATAGGCCTAGCAGTCGCATGCTGGGTATCCGCTTGGGCAATCTGATTGTTCATTGTTTCTAACTTTGCCGTGTTTGCCACGATGATGAGATATGATGATAGTAGATAGAGCCAAATGGTGGAATGAAACGAAGGCATTATGTGTTTCGCTCGAGTTTGGGATGCTCTGGCGATATATATACAGCAAGCGTCAGGCTGTGAACACGAGGCGCCTTGAGGCTGTTTCAGGATGTGGCTGTGCAAGTAATTAGTACAGGGGCCTGCCAGGCTGCACGAAATTTGATACCTCAAGGCACAAAAATTCTTTGCGCATCGCCTCTAGTGTATGTGTTTCTGCATGCTCGCTCAGCCACTGGCAGTGATTGTGATGCTGAAGGCTGCAAGCTAAAAGCTTGAGGTGTGTGTGTGCACAGGCACTGAGCCACGACTGCTGCCTTCGCGAGGCAACACAATATTCGCGAACTCAGCAACATTAGTGCACTGTGAATTCTTCCTTCGCAGCACGCTGGTGTGCTCAAGTAGGATAAGTTGAAATATTGCCTCACCTGAAAAACTCTGAAATGGAGGAAACGTAGTTGCATGGAAATTCGAAATGGGTATTGAACGCTAAAACTCAGAAACTACCTCCTTGGCCCATGATACAGAACGTACTGTACACCTATGCGAGCCAACAACCTCTATATGCTTACGCCTTGCCTTTCGCCGATCTTGCATCATCGTTATCGACGACGACGATTGTAGGAGCAACACCCGCCGCACCAGCTTCTGCGTCGCTTTGCTCGTTCTTCTTGCTCTTCTTGAAAAGCCCGGCAATTTTTGAGCAACCCCGGCAGCACAGCCTGTACGAGATAACAAAGGGCTTGCAAGCGTGTCCAGCAATGACTGCGAACCACGCGTCGGGGAAGTATCGGATGCCAATCGCCCAAGGAATACACACAAATCCGGTAACGATCGAAATGGCCCATTGAACACCGTCAAGACCGCCTGACTTGATCTGGAAGGGGCGACCTCCAACGTGAATCTGGTGGAAGCGTTAGTATTTTTAATATTGATGCATGGCTCTGGCTGTACTTACGATAGCTACTTGTAGACCAATAATGAGGAAAACAATGGCGATGAAGAAGTAGTTGCGGAAAATGCCTTCGAGGACGTTGAGCTTGTTATCCAGACGCCTGTTGTTGAAGATATTGAAGATCTGCATCCATACGAAACTGTTGAAAATGACAGTGTCTAGCTCAAGTTGCATGTTAGGATCCGACAGATCGTAGCCGAGAATGTCGCCACCAGCGAAGTAGAGCACGAAGATAACGGTGAGCTTGTAGATGTTTTGCCCCATAATCTGCTTCCACATCGTGATGGTGATGAGCGGCTTGTCCTTGCCCTGAGGTGGGCGGTCCAAGATCTTCTCCGTTGGTGGGTCTGTGGCGAGCGCGAGGGCGGCGAAGGTGTCCATGATCAAGTTGACCCAGAGTAGCTGGACTGCACCAAGTGCAGGCTTCATCTTCTCGCTGTAGACAGCGGTGACAAAGGCCAGGATGACAGCAGTGATGTTGACGGTAATTTGAAACTAAGTTTGGTAAGCATCGATGTTGAGAAGAATCAGTGAATGAAGCAAACTTACTTGAAGGAACTTCTGGACAGCGTCATTGACAGCACGACCCCACATAAGGGCAGTAATGATAGATGCGAAATTGTCGTCCATGAGAATGATAGATGATGCCTCCTTGGCGACCTCAGTACCAGAAATACCCATGGAGAAGCCAATGTTTGCGGCCTTGAGAGCAGGCGCGTCGTTCGTGCCGTCACCAGTGACAGCCACAATTTGGCCCATAGCCTTGAGGCGGGTGACAAGGATTCTCTTATCTTCAGGCGATGATCGCGCCAGGACTTGAAGACGCGGCAAAACCTCATCCATCTCTGCTTCAGACAGTTTGCGGAATTCAGGGCCCTCCATGACAATGCCACCTTCAGTGTAGATCTTACACTCAGTAGCGATGGCACGTGCCGTCTGCATGTTATCACCAGTGACCATACGGACCGTAACGCCAGCACCTTGTGCTTTACGAACAGCCTCTGGTACACCAGGACGGACGGGGTCTTGAATACCGACTATACCGAGGAAGTTGAGGTCATGGAGCAAGGAGCTGAAGTCAACACTACCGCCTTCCGTATAGCTGGCGTGAGCTGGCGGCCATTGTTCATAGTCTTGGTATACGAGACCGATCGTTCTCAGTGACTTGTTTGCGTATTCATTGATTGTGTTGGTCAGGGACTGTCGGTCGGCGTCGGAAAGAGACCGAGTCTCAAGAGTGGCGAAGTCCGCCATGGAGGATGCGAAGCCGAGAAGGATCTCTGAAGCACCTTTGACTACAAGTCGGTATTCTCCAGACTTGAGTTTAATGACAGCTCCCATGCATTTCTTGCCAGAATCGAATGGGAACATATGGGCGACTTGTTCGTTTGCACGTGTCTCGGCCAGCGATAACAATCCGAGGTGTTCCTGAGCGAGCTGAAGCAGAGCGGTCTCAGTCTTGGATCCAATGAAGACCGGCTTGCCCTCTTCCTCGCCTTCGAAAGCAGTCGAGTTGATCGCGATGGATTGGATAAGAATCTCCTTGGCGGCGGGTGTGATTGTAGAGGCCCAAGAAGAGATGGGCTGAGACTTGTCGGACTGCGCGTCGGCATGAACGAAGCTGGTGGAGCCGAATGTGCCGGCGACAACCGTCATCTTGTTAGTTGTCTGTCTACGCGTCAGTGGAAAGAACAATGCTAGAGTTGGGAGGTCAACTTACGAGAGTACCAGTCTTGTCGGAGCAAATAGCTGTAGCATTTCCCATAGTCTCGCATGAACGAAGCACACGGACAAGGTTGTTTTCCTTCAACATCTTCGTCGTCGCGAAAGCCAACGCCAACGTGACGGCCAGCGGGAGACCTTCTGGAACAGCGACGACAATGATGGTTACAGCGACGATGAGAATGTCCATAAAAGCTGAACCCTTTGCGGTAGGCGTACGAGTATCACCGGACAGACCAGCAACGAAGCGGAATAGGAGTACGAAGAACAGAATGCCAGATGCCGTGGTTCCGATTTTGGCGATGTCCATAGCGAGACGACCGAGCTTCTCCTGGAGAGGCGTTGGGTCGATATCAGCGCGGACAGACATCATGATCTGACCAAAGCTAGAGTGAACTCCGACAGAGGTGGCCATGAAGGTACCAACGCCTTCGAGCACTTTGCTTCCAGAGATGATGAAGGGATCGAGGTTCTTGACAGATTGACCAGACTCGAGTGCCTTCATGACAGCGGCGGCGGGAGTTTTGCGAATGGCATCAGACTCGCCAGTTGCAGAAGACTCGTCACACTTGACGTCGGAGCCATCGACGAAGATACCGTCGACCGGTATGACATCTCCGGGTTCCAAGTGTATAATGTCTCCGGCAAGCACATCGTAGATACTGATCATGACAATCCTGCCGGAACGTGTGACTTTAATCTCTCTTTGCTCCTTCTTAGCGTTGAGGCGCGCAAATGCTTGTTCCTTCTGCCAGTCATTGATAGCCGTAACGAGAACCACGATGACGATGGCAATGCAAATTGCGAGGCCTTCTACCCAGTCGACGGGAGTGGGGGAACCAGGAGGATGCTCTGCACCAAAAGTCTCGTACAAACCGAGCGCTAATGAGATAGCAGCAGCGACTGTGAGAACGATCAAGACCGTATCATTGTAAGCGTTCCAGATCAACCTCCAGAGAGGTGTAACCTTCTTCGCTGGAAGGACATTTCGACCATGTATCCGTATCCGATCATCAAATGGCTTTCCTTCACCGGCCGGCCGGCTTGTTTCTTTTTCTTTCGGTGTGAGCTGTTGATTTGTGGCTTCATCGAAGGAGACATGTCGCGGCACTGCCGATTCGTCAACGCTCAGACCGCTCTGTAGATCGGTCTGTAGCCCAGTTGCGATGCCTTGAACGCCGCCTAGAGCTTGGAATGTGACAAGTGATTTTGGGTTGAGAAGCTTGTTGAGTTGCTTTGGTACAAAGGCGAAGGGGTTGTTGGTAGCTTCGGCATCGGTATCCTCGCGGAGCTCCCGTCGTGTTTGATTTACGTCTACATCTCCTACGAATGTAGAAACATCGCTAGTAGATGCGGCGCTCGGCGAGGTCGGTGTCAGGAATGGATTTGACTTTGTCGAAGTAAGAGTTTCCGCTTCGCTGAGGGCCCGTTGCCGGGTGTTGACTTGTAGCTCAGGAGGGGCTAATTTGCCCGCCTCCATTTTGTTGAGAGAGTCCTGGATCGTTGGGAGAATGTGTAGTAGTAAAGAACAGTGTTGTATGAGATGTAAGGGGCAAGAGATAGAGTGCTACTACACGTGATGAGATGTTGATGAAGGACGACAAGGGCAAAGGGCGCCTCCTCAAACTCCATATACCAATCCCCGCGGGGCTGTGTATATTTGCCTTGTCTGGAGCATCGGTCTTGGTGCGTCATTTCCAGTCTGGCCGAAGCTGAGACGTCCCTCTGCCAATGCTTTGCTGGGCGCTCCGCCCGCTGCCCAGCCTTCAGACTTCAGACTACAATCGTGACATGTCCGCCTTGGTCGAACCTACCAGATCTCGTCGATATCGACATCGGTCCGTTGTCGCATCGATCTACGCGCCTTCCCCAACAGCAACAGTGAAGAACGCGGGCGTGGTCGTGGCAAGCGACATTCAGTGGTGGGTTTGCCCAGGAGACAAGCAGACCGGCGTATCTTGGAGGGGGGCAGTGCAAAACTTGGAATTCGTCACACCAAGCACGGGACGTCCATGCCTGAGGATCTATGAAGTCTGTATCAAAAGGTGATTCAGATGGTATGTTCTAGAGAAGGAATCCGGTGATGGCGACGACGATATCCAGCGCATCGAAGCGAAGGCGAAAGCTGGACTAGGCTTTGAGCCAAGGAGTGAACTAAGCCACGCGCCACATTGCTTCGCCACAGACTAGTCTTTATCCGGAGCATCCGCCTCATGTGGCTCCCTTTACGCCACAGGACGCGTCCAATGAATACACGTAGTAGCATGGATGTCGTGGCATGCGGACAGTAGTAGTCCTCTCAGTTATCTCTTACTCCGGTAGGCTTCAGACAACATATGGCCCAGAGGATGCGGAATGTGAAGCATGGTATCTGGATGCTGCGTCTCATTAGATGGCGTCTTGGAACGATGAGGCAATCATTCAGACCGGTCATTCACCACCTTGCGGCTGTGTAGAAACGATCCTTCTCACACTACGCATTAGGCTGTGGTACCCCTAACGAGCCTTTATTAGATGTGATCATGAGCTACGAACGCCCAAATCTTGAAAGTGACGCTCTAGAACCCAGTCAGCATTTTGTGACTTGTTTCTGTGAACATATCTGCTTCCAAAACTAGAATGCTGTGTTTTGCCTCTGCATGCTGCGGTCTTTGTGTATGCGATTGTTGAATTTGAAAATCTCAAGTCTCACTCCTCCCCGATACTACTACATCGTGTCAAATACGACGGAGACTGTCCCGGGTGTAACAGGTGAGAGCTCTACTGGTATGACCTGAGGCAATACGCAGTTCCTAGCTGTTATCAATTCAATCCTAGCGATGCTGTGTACAGCTTCAGCCGGTCAAATACCCCCGGTTACTTTCCATCGTAGTTGACAACCCGCAGTGCCTCCCAGTCAGCCTTGTACCGCATCTCGGGTTACCGGAGACGACCGAGAAGAAGTTTAATTACGCCGAGTTCTTAGGCATACGAAACCTCGAAACCGGAGAGCTATGCATCGATTTGAGGGAATTTTGACGGGCCAATATGGAGAGTAAAGTGCTCACTCTACACAGCTGACAGAGCCGATTCAGTCTGCCTTGCAGCAGGGATGCGACTGTTTGCGTTTCCAGCTTTCGCCGAAAGTCTATGTGCGTTGGTGATCCGCCGAAGTAGTCGGCGGCCAAAGCGACCGAATCAACGGGGACAGATTTGCCCACTGAAGGCGGGTGTGGTATCGCTATTGGACCCAGCGATGAAGCGCGATATTCAAACTTTTATTGTTTCGTCCTCGAGGCTGAGGAGTGATATCGAGATGTCGTAGGGGATGGAATATTGGCCATTACGACATGGGGGCGTTGGGTGTCTAACCAAGTTCGGCGTCGTCAGCCCACCAATGTCCCAGCCTCGCATAGCCAAAACCAACTTCTTGCCTTCAAACTTATCTAGACCTGATGCCAACGCCCAGAAATGGCCCGAACGTTATGTTTTCAACCTCCTGAGATCGCCCGTCACATGAAAGCGCTGCTAATTGAGTTGTATACACTGGAACAGCGCGCGACTGCAGTGTCAAGAAGGTATTCATCTATAGTCTGCGGTCGGAACATAACTCATCTATATGGAAACAAAAGTCTGTTAAAAATCGTGAGTACGAGTATGTACCTTTCCTAACGATTAGTACCTGCACTGTAGTTCCAGGACCTTTGGAGCTCATCAAGCCGCCTGTGGTCTGTAGACATGGCGGCCTAGTTGCACAGCCCTAAGCGCTAGGATCCGTTCTTGCTCAGGTGTTAGCTACTCAACTGCCCAGACCGGAGTGGTCCTTAATGATGAATCATCCCAAGCTGCCAAGGTGACAATGCTTACTGCTGACCACCTGCAATTCAGGCGCCGTACCACAAATCTAGTCGCGCGGGCAAAGTGTGTCTTATCTTACAAGCCTAGTCTAGACATTCAGATCGCAGTCGTGATCGCATTACTATGATAGGTTATGGTCAGCACGTCAGATAAGCACACCATCCACCCATGAAATGCTGCGCCCCTAAGCTACGCACTCGCACACTTTGTGCCCTTCATTCGGTTAGAGTTCTCAGTAGCAGATATGTTCCTCAGGGCGAAGAAAGGTTCCTGACAGTTTTCCTACGGGCACGTTTACGCCTTCGAGTCATGTTACATTTTTGTCGTGGTAGCATTTGCCTATGCTCGTGCTTGAAACCGTCCACGCACATAGCTGCCAAAAGTTAGCATGGATGCGGCAGTGTCGCAGTGTTCCTCACCAATGAGCGGTACCGAGATCATTGCGCCCACAACCTTGTAAGCCCGATGGAGGCTCTCGGGAAATGGCACGAACTTCTACACTAGGAATATCATTGCAGTTACTCACGTTGCTTGAAAATCACTGGGATGCTCGTTAGATGAGACATCTACCATACATTTTCACTTACGGTGGAATCGAACAGTGTACCTGAAGCTATATACAGAGTCTGCCCGTCGCAATCGAAGCCTAGCGGTAATGTGTATAGCTTCGAGCTGTTGAATGCCCTTGGTCACCTTCCGTCTTAGTCGACAACCTGTATTACACTAGTTCTATTCAAAGACCACCCAGCGATTTTGGGTGTGGACTATCTTCCGAGACCGTCATGGTTGTTTGACCAATATAAGTTTTCATTGCTAGAAATCAGCTACGTTGTGCCTTGCTTCACAATTCCCGCATTATATCAAGCTCTCTTGACCATTCCATCTACTCTCGTAGTCGTTGCAGCAATCGTGGCCTTACAAATCGTCAAGTCGACCTAGAACGCTCGCAGGTGCTGGGTCTAGGTAGACACCATCTTTGGATCCCTGTTAGGCTCCAACAACCAAACTTCAAGCCGGACACCAGCCTCGACGCATTTCTCCCGCACCGTCTTCGGCAGCTTCATCTTCTTGGTCAGTTTTCCGTGCCGACGACGGCCCCAAGTTGCACACCCATGTTCTTTCTCCCGCAAGACAACTTTCGGAATACCCATTTCCAACAGCCGTTTCATCCATCCGAATCCTTTATCCTTCACCGACTCTGGCAACTCTTTGAACTGGGTATGGTAAGACGCGCCCGCGGCGAAGATGCTGTTAGGCCACTCGAACATGATCTCGAGGTTGTCGAGATGGGGTGGTAGATGCTTGAACATGGCCTCGCGTTCGGACTGGTCGAAGTACCATATGAAACCCGTTGTAGCGTTGGGGGGCATATCACACGGAAGCTGCTTCAACATAGCGCTTGAACCAATTTGCAGTTCTCGAAGTGTCTTGAAAGAGCCAAAGTCTGCTGGTTCAAGACCTTGAGCTGTGGAGGACCTAGCAAAACAGGCATGCTCTCGACGAACGTGGAGGGTGCGTAGCGTGTCCACCGGCTCCAAAGTGCGTGCAAGCTCCGCCGGAGATACGGTGTCTCGTAGCCACAGAGTCAAGCTCGAGATTTTCGGGAAGTTTCTGATGAGTTTTCCAAGGGCTTCTGCGTCTGTGATGATGTTATAACCCAGGTCAAGGTTTGTCGTGTTTTGCAGAAGACCCAGGTGTGTGAGGTACTCGATTTCCGTCTCGCGGACAGGCGGGCCCCGAAAGGCTTGAGGTACAGGGCTATCAAAGGCTATTGAAGTGACCCGAGGAACCTTAGCGAGTTCAGTTATTGGCCCTGCGTATACCCCAGCGCATAAGAGACGGATTTCAACTGGACAGCTGTGCAAAGCGACGCGCAAGAGCCTCACGAAAGCCTGTTCAAGCTGGCGACTGCAGGGATTGCCTTTGATATAGATCGTGACTGTGTGTAGCGAAGGAAGGCTTGCAACGAGCTTCTGAACAGTGCGATTCTTAATCCAGGAGATCTCTCGCAAGTACACTTTCCGGTCCTCGATAGAAGGACGCCTGTGGAATCGAGGAAACTCGCCGTTGTCTACAAAGCCCGAGGTGTACTCGAGCTGAAGCTCGTGGACATAAGGACGAAATGACGCGCTTTCCAAAGCCAACTCCAAGAAAAGCTGTAGATCTCCAAAATCTTGAGCATCCTTGTTACGCTGCAACGGTATGTAGACGCGCTTGTACAGACTCCTTCGGGCCGAGTGTTGGAAGACTCGATGTGTCTTGCTCAAATTGAGGATGTCGTTCATGTTCAGATATGAGAACGTCAGATCCCAAAGTTCGTTCGGCACGTTCAGGACGGATGCATGAATATCCATGATGGAGAGGCGTGGTAGAATTCGGTAGTTTCTTAGAGTGGGGATATAATAATTGTTGGTTGATATTGCCAGAAGTTGTGCCAGTCGAGCTGTGAGATTATTAGGATCGGTCCCGTGGAAGAAGTAGGTATCACGGAGAGCGGGCAGTGGACCCTTGTTTGCAACGCACGGTCCGCAACTCCTGCTGCCTTTATCTTGCGCTAAAGATACCTGCGCCGATGAAATGAGCTCAGGCGACACCTCAGAGGAGTGAAAGCTTATGCTATGGTGTATATCAATCACTTCTAGTTACAACAACTCACAAGCTTTGCTGTTTACCCGACAGCTTGCTGCGCAATCGCAAATCAATCACTTGTATTTGTAAGCTACATTGTGTAGTGAAGTATGTTCGCTAAAATGTACTTGGATTTTGGCTGAGCACATTTCAGAAGATCTTGGACTCCGGGTACTTTTGAGAACTGTCAGGACGTAGATTTGCACCTGTATTATCGATGAGCATCAATGAAGGTGTTCATAAAATTATGTGTCGTACAGGCCATATCGCGCTAGCCTTACAAGGGCGACAAGGGTGACAAAGCATGCTAGACAGCAAAATGCTTCCTAAGACATCTCAACGAGCATAAATAAGATCTCTGTTCGAATCCACGCGTCCTTATCCGACTCTCGCTTTGCAGAGATAGCAAGTTACAGCAGCTTCGACATACAGTATGGGAAACCTTTATCTCGATTGACCAGACATGAATACGTTTATTATATCCACCTCCGGGAACACGAGAAGACACCTTAGAGTCATTCCCAGTAATCTTTTACAACCATTTCGTATTTCTTAGTCTATCATCGCAGTCTCGCTATCAAATTACCACGTCATCAATCTCTTTGTTTCCGCAACTTGAGTACCATCATCCATACCGCGCATTCAACTTCCGATAATCCAACGCCCGGACCTCGACCTCCAACCCTGCAGCCCTCAGCCTCTCCCTCACTACCTGCGGAATCTCCACCTTCTCGGGTGCCAATACCTTATCTCTTTCCTTGATGTCGTAGATGTTGAAGCTACATGAGCCACTGCACCCATGTTCCGACTCGGTGAGGCGCACAGGCTTGAGTGTGCTATGCTCACCCAAGTTTTCGATCCACTCAAATCGCTTTGCGCGCTCGGAGACGGGGAGATGCTTGAATTTCATGTGATCTGGCTTTCTACGAGCGAAGAACATGTGAGGATAATGTAAAGTGATTTCGAGTTCCTGCCGGTTGGGTGGCAAAAACTGACTGATGATGCTGCGATTGTCGTCTTCCAATTTTCAGATAGAGTCCTTTGGGGATCTAGCGCTCCGGCCCTGGAGGCATGAATACTGGTTGAGCCACGTGTTCGAGTGAACGCGGAGAGTCTTCAAGGCCGTGGATTCGCAGAAGGAGGCAGGGACAGCGATCTATATATCTTCCGGATTGGAAACGCGCTCGCATTGGATATCAAGGACTTCAAGAGTGTTCTTGAGTGGCAGAAGGGCCTGAGCAATTCCGGCCGCACTCAGCTTGTATCCAACCCAAAAACGAAGATTAGCGAGCTTAGGAAAGACGTTAACGAGAGCCCTGAGATGCGCAAGGCGCAAGACTATTGGGCTGTCCGAACAGCTGCATGAGGCGACTCGCAATAATGACGACTGCTTGCACCCTGTGTCATGGCGTAAAGAATCAAGCAATCCACAAGTCCTCACACTCATATGCTCGCTTCTCCCAGACAATCCCATTCATAATGCCATGCACATAGCAGTCGCCAACGAATTCCCACGTGTCCACCATCTTATCTTCTTTTGCTTCATTAGTCACCATTCCTCGACCCTTTGGTCTCAGCACAAGCGGCGTCCTCAAACCCTGTACCAACATGATATGATCGTTGGGCGCAGCAAGGCCAGGCACAAGCGCAAGATACTCGGTATCTCTGGTCTCTTCGACTGCGCATCTTGCCACTCTGCGATTGAGTACATTGCTCATCATCATTCTTAATTGGATCTCAGGATTTTCGTATCCAAAGATCTTCAGGAAGCGCTCCACGAGAATGAGAAGCATATATACTCCTACAGAAATGTGCCTCTGAAAAGTAGGTATGAGGCGGAGTATTTTCTGGCGTCGCTCAAATCCAGCATACGCGGCCTGTCTCGTTTTCAGGGGATAGTAGGCTGCATCTCCTAGGAGTGTATCGTATACCGCCTCTAGCTGAGACTGACCAGTAGGGCTGTAATGAGCTGGCGCTGCTGGTGGGCGAAGAACAGCCTCCCACGTTGCAATCTGCTGACGGTATCTCTGGAGATTCTGTGCTTGCGCAAGCAGTGTTTGGCGACGATCTCTGAGATAAGGGAATGTCCATGTTTGCGTTAAATGCACTATCCTGGCTACTGTGAAGCCCCTCAGCCGAAGCATTGTCGGCAGTGCCTGAGGTGCGTAACTGTCTGGGTCTTGCGAACTGTCTGCAAGGAGATTGAAAGCAACGTCAAGTTTTGACTCACCTGAAGCACGGTGCTCCCCGGTGAACGAGCCGCGTAGAGAGTCTTTACGACCATAAATCAGTGGTTGTGGCGTCCGATCTGTGCACTGCCAGTCTGGAACCCAGGAAGGAAGGTTGATCAGTACGAGCTGTTGGCTCTCATAGTCTGTGTCGCTGGCTCGAACGAGTCGTGGTATGTGCAGCACTGCAGCTTGACCCTCTCTGAGGGCGTTTGTAGCGAGTGTAGTATAAAGATCATGGACTGTCATGTTCTTGTAGTCAGGCTTTATACCCAGCTCTGTTAGTCCATCTTTGCATTGTAACCCGTAATAAGCGTAAACTTTGTCTCGAGGGTCAGATGCTCTAAGTCCACGAAGCCTGACAAGCACCTTTAACCAGTTCGAATTCGCTGGGTCCTTCCAATCATCGTCGGTATGCTTGAGTGTATACAGTAGCAAAAGCCTGTTGGTAGGGTAGAATTCCCATATCCATGGAGTCGCCATGATGAAATACGTAAATGCACCGAGAAAGTGCTCCCAACTGATGACGGCATCCCCACAGACCAAAAACACGCGGTCGCTGACAACCACTTCTTGTACTATCCAAGCTCGCTCAAAGTAAGGTCGATCGAGTATAGCAAACAGTGCCTCAAGCTTGGGGTCACCTAGAGTTACTTTCGTAGTAACATGACTCGCTTGATCGTCTGAATTGGACGTTTCGCTATTCTTTGACATGTGCTGCCGCAAGGAATGGGCCAAGTCGATAGCATAAGAAATCGCATCATCGCTGCTGTCCTGTTCTGGACCGAGCCAGCTGATCGTACTCATTGCTTTCGAATAGATTTCGCTCATCTTCAGCACCTCCCTACTGCGCTCTTCGGGGTCATTTTGGTTGATGCATATCGAATCGATCCATAAGATCCGGGTCTTCCGATTATGTTGGCCTCGGGCACAGTGCAGAAACGGTATGATGGATCTGGGGACTTGGAGAGCAGCTCCGACAGCTGAACCTCGATGTTCATTTTCACCCGTAACGTAAATGAAGTCGCGATCAAGCAGCGCTCCCCAACAGTATGACACGGCCTCGAATTCCGGCACTTTGGAGAGACGCGTAGTGATGAGACTGCATTTGATGTCTCCTGATCTTGGTCCTGAGGGAAGACAGAGTAGGCGTATATAGACATCATCAGAGCCGTCGATCGTTGGAAGACGTTTGTACTCGTAACGCATGCTGATGGTGCCGTGAACATTTGCGTAACGGAATGTCGACGCGAAGTGCTTTGTGCTCAGCCAACCCTATGTACCAACGTTCTGGACCGGATGATATATCAAACAAAGGACGCTGAATGTGAATGCTGGCATGTTACGATCACGTCGCAAAGTAGTGTTGCGTACGCTACGAGAGGGGTAAAACAAATTGCGCACGAGCGTGATCAAGGTAGAGGAAAAGAATGTTTGCTGGAAGGATTGGCGTCACTCATTGTCGATCAGAGAAACATGTTCCTGAGTTGTGTACGTCTGCGAGGCGGGCATGCTCATGCATCGTGAGCTACGCGTCCGCCTCGCTTGAACCCTTGATGCTTGGCAGGCAGACAACATTTTACATTAGAGAAAAAACCAGAGACAATCAGGATGCAATGCGGAGGACCAGAAGCGTGAGAAGTGAGTTCAGTGGAGGACGGATGGTAGTACTCGATCGGAAGGTGATTGCTCGGCAGGTGGGGCAGACGCCACTTCTTACACACATGCCAGGAGCACCAAGGCAGGCGCACCAACACTTCGAGCATGAAAGATTCAAAGAGGTACATGAAAGTGGTATTGTTATCCTATCCGAAACTATGTCTCATATACAGTGCCGTCGCGGTGGTGAAATGTCCGCAGACCGATCTCACCAATATATCTATCCTAAAATTCGCAAGTTGCACTACCACAACCATGAAAGGGTATGATGATACTGCTCCACGCTTCGATGGATATGCACCCAGTAGAGAGGTGCTAACGCCGGAGTAAATGATGTACTCGCGGAAAACAGGGGGTAATCAAGTTCATGAACGGGCGTGGAAGGTCGTGTGCAAGCTATGAGCAATGACACGAAGGACTACCGATACTAAGGACTATCGGTTGCCGGCTTCAAGCTGGCCAGGAGTGGGCTGTGGCGCAGGGGTAGCGTCCGAGGGAGCAGCATTTCGGTTACGACCAAACCAGCTTCCCAAAGCTGGGCGGGGTGCGCGAGCCGCACGAATGCGTGACATGAGACCTTGTTCAAGCTGCGCATTGGCATTGGCACTTGGAGCGCGTTGCTCTCGGGTAGGACGGCCTAGACGGCCGAATCGATCGACAGATTGGGATTGTGGTCCGGCAGGGTTGGACAATATGACGACTCGCGAGCGCGAGAAGGGGTTGCCACGGGTAGTGGTCCACACAGGTTGTGGCGATGTGGGTGACCGTAGACCAACGCGGACACGACCGTTCTGGGTCTGCTCAACTTCCCCCTCTGGTCGCGGCTTGGGTACGTAGTAGTCTGCTTTGCACAGCGGGCAGCAGGCACGTCGACTGGTCAACCATGGATCAACGCAGCTGGCGTGGAAGGCGTGGCCGCAAGTCAATCCTCGCACCTCATCGTCGTCCTCCAATGTGTCTAAGCAAATAGCACAGGTGTCACCGGGCTCAGCAAGCATCTCCGGGGCGGCAGCGGTGCGGATCGGGTCGTCGTCGTCGTCATCGGATTCGTCGTCCTTGCGCACATTCACCTGTGGTGAATTCTTGCCAACCTCGATTGTCTCGCTCGTCCTGGTAGCGGGATTGTGACCCACTGGTCTCTTCTCCAAATCCTTGTCGTCCTCGCTCATTCTTGGCGAGGGCGGCAGTGGTTGCGATGAAGAGTTGGCAGCCGTTACGTCCTCGCGGGCCATGGAGAGCGCAGTGTCGCGCGTCGGGCTCGATGCGCCTTCGTCCTTGGCTGAGATGACACCTTCGACGTCCTTCATACTGGCTGCTCGACTCGCAGGTGCAGTTGCAATGCCTCCACTGGCTGGCAGACCTTCCGTCTCCCGAGTCGACTTCCATTGCTTGTACTTGGACAGAGGAAAGCGCTCATTGACCTCGTCCATGGTCATCAGCTTCTTCTCTCGCCTCCTCCTGTGCGGTCGCGGCATCTGGGTGAGGTCGATGGGCTCGCCATCTGCGGCAGCGGCTTGTGCTGCGCGACGGCGGTTATATCTGAAGCAGTATTTTACACCAACAATGATCCTGCAGAGGGTGTTAGCAAAAGCAGTTATCGGGGGTCGCGAGCGACCAAGTTGCCGTACCAGAGATTTGTGAAGACGACACCAAAGCCCAGGGCTACAAAAAATAGCAGCGGCGAGCTTGTAGGTCCGCTGTTGTTGCCATTTGATCCAGAGCTTGGTGAGGAGGATGGGCTGGACGCGGAAGGGGGCTCAGATGCAGTCGACATGGTGGCGTTGGAGAAGCTCTACAGTTCCATATGTCGGTGGGTTGGGGGAGAGACGCAGCCGTTTGCGGGAGGTGAGCCGTTCAGGTACACTGCTGGCTTCAGGACCAGGCCGTGACGGGTGCGACAGTGTCTGGCAATGATGTGAAACCGCAACGATGGCCACGAGTAGCGTACGTCGAGGCGAAATAGGGAGTAGAGTCGTTCGCCCGAGCAAGTGGCTAAGCAGCTTGTCGAAGTGGTGGTGACGGCAACGACTGCGAGCGTGGCGACCAGGGGACAGCCGGCACAATGACAGGCCGAGAACGGTGGTTGTGAATACCAGTGGCTACAATAGCTAGCGGTGAATGCAGACAATTGCCTCGTTGGCCATGCGATCGAGAGCACCGCGTACCTACTGAGTGTCGCAGGGAAGGAGGCTGTGCAGTGAATGCTTGCAGTGGATGCGGGCGCGGGAGGTCGATATGGGAAGGGAAGGTGCGCCCGGGCAGGATGAAGGCCGCGCAGTCTGGGAGGAGCCAACGTCAACCGCCGGGCTGGGGTCCGCTAACCATGACAATTCCCGCTATGCCGGAACCACGCCTACGACCAACTTTGATCGTTTCACAGCTCGCTCCGTGAACATGTGCACAATGCAGTATCATCGTGGAGAGCAGGTACTCAGCGCAGCACATGACGACGCATCCGCTGCGAATGGTGATGCCTCTGCACCTTCACAGATTCAGGGGTTTCACGGCACCCACCAAAACCGCCTCGATGCGCGGCCCACCACATGCAGGACCAATATCGCAGGGGCACCCACCCATATTGCTTCACGCGCAAATACCAAGAATCCAGCATCGCTTCGCAGACATTCCACAACCATAGCCCACGCCTTGCGCGGGATGCGTGTCGCGTGCACACGGAACACAGTCTGGCATTCCTAGATTCAGCTGTCTGCGAACGCGATGCCGACACCCCTGCGGCCGAGTGGATCCTACCCCAGCGCTAAGCATTTTGCTGCGAGGTTATTCTGCACATGCAACCACTCGTCTCCCACACCTAAGTGAGATCCTCGCTGCACTCCACCTCATCGGCTTCTGTGTGCTCCGGGAGACCCTGATAGAGGATTCCCTTGTGAATTGCGCAACGTCAACACCAACGTCATCTGCTCTTGCAAGAAATCTGCGACCCCAGCTGCTGCAAGATTCTGCACAGCCGCAGTCATGGCCGAGGCTACGGAGGAGAACCCAATAGTCTTCTTTGACGTTACTTTAGGAGGTATGGCTGGTCTACACGTGGCGCGGGAAACCCTTCCTCCCCGCATCGTGCACATGTGCTCTTATTAGCTTGATCACGTGGTCGACACTGCCGCTATGCCAAATAGATGACTGACATAAGCATGCAGGGGAGAAGTTAGGCAGAATCAAGATCGAGCTGTACAAGAACGTAGTACCCAAGACTGCTGAGAACTTTCGACAGTTCTGCACTGGCGAGACCAAGAACAGTCGGGGCCAGCCGCAGGGCTACAAGGGCTGCAAGTTCCATCGGGTCGTGAGTTACTTGTGTTGAAACCTGACTCAGAGCACACACTGATACCACCAGATCAAAGGTTTCATGATCCAGGGAGGCGACTTCATCAATGGAAACGGCACCGGCTCAAGAACCATATACGGCGTCGATAAGTTTGCGGACGAGAACTTCACGCTGAAGCACGACAAGCCAGGTCTTCTGTCAATGGCAGTAAGTACCTCTTCACCATGATATCCAACCTATTCAAATTTGCTGACAATCAACAGAATAGCGGGTGTGTACTCGAATGAAGTCATGCCATTAGCATACACTGATAATCCAGTAGGCCCAACACTAACGGCTGTCAATTCTTCATCATCACTTGCAAGAGCGGCACACCTCACCTGAATGGTAAACACGTCGTCTTCGGCAATGTCATCGAAGGCATGGACGTGGTCACCAAGATCGAGAACACTAGGACAGTGGCCAATCCTGAAGGCAAGCCGGCGCAGGACGTTGTCATTGCACAATGCGGTGAGATGTGAGCAAGTTCAAATTGATCACTCAGACTCGCGACTATTCTATGGCATCATGCATAAGAAGAAGAAGATAGCCTGCTATTAGAGACAAGCAGTGCGAGGCCGCAGAGATTGAGCATAGTCTCACTAGCAGAAATGACCCAGATTTGTCCGCAGATTGCGGCATGACAATCGCCTGTGGAAGAGACTAAGCAGAAGCAGAGTGTACGTTCCAACCAGCGGCGATAGAGTGTACGACTCATCTAAGGAACTATGTGAACGGTGGTCTCGTAGATACTCGAATCAATCAAGTCTTCAATTCTGATTGAAAACGGCAGTTCAGCAAGGTATTCAGCCATGTGTCACTGCAAAGGCTCTGCTGTGTTCTTGTCCGCCATGCAACGAAGCTACTTGATGAACATGTCTATCAATTAACCGACGGTTGCACAAGTTGCCACGGACCACGCTGAATTGACATTTGCGACCGGGCATGTCCAGATAACATACCTAAACCTTTCAGAAGAACCTTGAGATCATGTGACGACCATCATGGTTATACATCATTCTTGGGAACTCGCCAAGCTAACCGTTGTTGGGTGAAGGTGAGCTCCACTGAAAAGTTCGGCGCCAAGACCTGCTAAATCTCACTGTCGCGTGCAAACCGAACCATACCCCCGCTCACCTCTGCGCACCGTCATTTTCTCGAGCCCTACAGAACCCGCCCTCGCCAAAGACATTCTTCTCCACGGGCCAGATGTAACAATCACGACAATTCACTCCCGTCAACATGGTTTCTCTCGCCGCAAGCAACCGCGGCAGCCTAAAGCGCAAGAACCCCGACGCCTCGTCCGACGCCGAAAACAACAACATGAGCGAGCTCAAACGCCGGCGGGTCGCATTCAATCCCGAAGTAGATGTACGGATACTCAGAGACGAGGATGAGAAGAGCTTGGAACTGGTGCACGAGGAGGTGAGACGTGCGATGGAGAAGCACGCGGCAGGCGAGAAGGCGGCATACGATGTGATCAAGGCACTGTTCAGAGAAGATCCAAGGACGTCCGGTTCAACTTCTACCGCACTCCTCCAGAAATACATCATCGCCCTGACCAACCACGTCCACCTGCTCGACTTCACTTGCAAGGGACTGGTACACGCTATTATCGACTGTAGCTGGGTAGCCCGCCATGAGAGCTTCGTGCGCTCATACCGCGCCTTCCTACACTCCCTTCTCTCAATACAGTCAGGCTTCATGTCAACAGTCTTACAATCGCTCAACGGCATGTTTCTCAAGATGCCTTCCGTCAATTCACGGCAGCGAGACGATCCGCCCATCGAACGCGTACGGCTGGAATCGCGGATACACGATTGCCTCCGATCAATCCTGCGCCACAACCCCATGGCCAGCTCATTCCTGGCACCATCTCTCGCCTCAAACTTTCCCTACCCAGACGACGATGCTAAGACACATGTGCAATACATTCGGAACATTCTGAGGATTGCCGAATATTGTCCAGAGCTCAAGGGCGAAGTGTTTTCGCTTGTTACGGACAAGCTGGTCAAGATCGATGTGCAGATACAAGTGGACATGGAAGAGTTAGAAGACGACATTGAAGAGCGCTTAGTCGGAGATGCCATCAACGAGGCAGAGGACGATGACAGCGACAACGAGTCAGTCTCAAGTGAAGAGAGCTTAGACCCAGAAGAACAGCGTCTGAAGGACCTGCGACAGGCAGTCAGCAAACTTGACACCATCATGGACCTTCTCTTCACCCACTACGACAACGTTTTCGCCGCAGACCGATTTGAAGCTGACGAGCTTTTTGAGAGTCTGCTCTCCCAATTTGCAAGCACTATTCTCCCCACCTACCGCTCCCGACACACGCAGTTCCTCCTCTTCCACTTCAGCCAAACCTCCGCCGACCGCACCGAGCAATTCGCCGGCGCATGTTCGCATCTCGCCTTCGACCAAAACCGCCCACACATTCTCCGCGTCACCGCCGCCGCGTACCTCGGCTCCTTCATCGCCCGCGGCGCCCACGTCCGACCCGACACCGTCCGCGCCGTCTTTGACCTTCTCTGCCACCACCTCGAGATCCAGCGCGCCATGCACGAATCCTCATGCAAAGGCCCCGACCTCCGCCGCTACGGCACATACTACGCCATCGCACAAGCCCTGCTCTACCTCTTCTGTTTCCGCTGGCGCGACCTTATTGTCACACCCGACATGACAACCCCAACGGACGAAGACATCATCTACCACGAAGGCGATTTCACATGGTACAACAGCACCCAAGACACCATCCGCCGCAACATCTTCTCCAAACTCAACCCCTTGAAAATCTGTGCGCCGACTATCGTAGCGCAATTCGCGCGTGTCGCCCACCATCTCCGCTTCCTGTACGTTTACCCGCTCATCGAAACGAATAAGCGCGTGCGCCTCGCGCGCAGTCTGGCAAGTGGATATCTCCACGGTCTGGGCGGCAGAGAAACGGCGCTTAGTACGAAAAAGGGCGAGGAAACGTTCTTGCTCGATGCGTATTTCCCGTTCGACCCGTATGTCTTGCCAAGGAGTAAGAGGTGGCTCGAGCAGGATTACGTTACGTGGAAACCTGTGCCGGGGATGAGCATGGACAAAGAGGATGACGATGAAGAGGAGGAAGATGATGATGATGATGATGATGATGATGATGACGATGATGATGAAAGCGACACGGATTTAGACTCTGATATACAGGAGCCGGATGAGGTGGTGAATGAGGATGTGGATGACGGAAGTACCGAGACGAGTGTTTGATCTACCTACCTTTCTCCACGACATTTTGTGGAATCTCCGGCGTTGTGAATTTACGGCATAGCAACTGGCGCTATGGGTTACGGGCATATAGCTGGCACAATCTCTTTGGGAACGAGATGGAACAGCGGATCTGAAATATTTGCGGGCGGGTATATGATTTTGACTAACGACACTGGTGGGATAACATGACATGGCTAGCTAGACGATTTCTTGAGCATCTATACAAACATGGCACAATAAAAAGTTGATACAATGTACTTGATTGCATTTGCATTCGCATTCGAGATTCGAGATTCGATATGCTGCCTTGATATCGATCCATTAATATTGCCGTCAATAGTCCCAGATATCCCTACAAGTTTCAAATGCATTTGCCCATTCGCCTCTCATATTCCAGCTCCGCTCCCATTCCTCCCCACCATCCTGACTGTCTCCGTCTCTCCTGCCCCAGCGCCTGCATCCGCATTATCTGCTTCCTCAACGACCTCGCTCAACCTCATCGCCCGCAGTAAATCCCTGCCCGCCCTCGTTCCATCCCTCAGCTCCACACTACTCTTGAGCAACAACTCGGCCAGCCCTTCACCGCCGTTACACAGCAGTTCCGGGTCGACGCCGCGTGGGACAGGGAAGTCGAGTAACGGCCGACCATTCGGGCCGGCACTGACTCTGCTCTTGCGGAACTCCGAGGGATTGAGAGGATAGTCGGAATCGGACGAGTATGGGTATTCGGTATCATCTTCGCCGCCGACGCTGAGCCCAGAAAACTGGCTGTCTGTGCGGCGGCCAGCTTGACGAGATTTCTGCAGATGACGACGTTCGAAAACATCCCATAGGTCGTCGACGTCGTCTTCTTCGAGGGAAGTGTCGGTTGTGACACTCATGGGCGGCGATTGATCGTCTGAGCCAAGGTTGTATGCGTGGCTGTGGGACCACCCATCCCAGAGCGAGGCTTGAGACCTCTGCCCGGGACGATGTTGTGGTGCAGAAGAGACGCTTTGGGGTGGGAACTCTTTTCGGACTTGGCTGGCAGAACTAACACCTCTCGCGTGCATCTGTCCCATCTGGCCATTGGCATCTTGTTGCTGTGGCGTCAAGAGCCCTGGTACCGTCTGGTTTGGTTCCGACTTGCTCTGGAAGTGGTAGCTCGTGCGCCGATTATTCTGCGAGAGTTGGACTTGATCTTCAAGGTTGAAGGGATTATCATTGACATTGTTAGCAGTATTAATTGCATCAGAGCCGGACGTGGAGGGTCTGTAAGTGTCGACCATGGCCATGTCAAGATCGATCATTGAGGTACGCAGCGGGGAATCTGGTGAATCGGAGACACGCGGAAAATCATCTGATTCCGCATTGGCGGGCATAGTCGCAGCTTGTCGAAGACTGGGCCGGAAGCCGGGCTCTAGAGTGGGTGAAGAGGCAGCTTGGCTACCCGTGGGACTTCGCATGGGGAATGAGAAGTCTTGAGTCTTGCGACTGTCCTCCTCGATCTTGGGGAACTTCCACTCTCTGGTTTCGCGTCTCGTTGACTTTCGGTTCCGGGAAGCATCGTAATTTCCTTCAGCCATTGCGGCATCGAACGTCCACTCCACTGTGCGTCTGTTCGGCTTCGGAGGCTGAGCGGCGGCAAACGTCCACTCCATAGTCTCTCGCTTCGGCTGTGGAGGTGGCTGTTCGGCAGCAAAAGACCACTCCATCGTCTTGCGGTTTGCTTGTTGGGACGGGAACGACCATGCCATGGTATCACGTTTTTCTGACCCTCCCTCCGAACCAGGATACTTCCAGTCCCTCGTAGCACGCTTTGTGAGCTCTTCTTCTTGGATAAGAGCATCACGCGCCTCCTCTTCCGCCATCTCACGCAAGATGCTCTTCATGCGACCTGCTCGAATCGTGGGGACTTCGCCCAAATCGATACCGGGCTCATCTGGCATGGGCATGGAGAAGTCCAGGTCAATGACTGTTTCGCGGTTGGGTGCGCCAGGGTTGAAGTCACGGAGCACGAGATCTGAGGGTGGTCGGCCATTCGTGACTTCCTCTCCGTCGACCATGCTATATCGATACGGGGTCGTGTTCACATCAAACAGCTTGTTCAGTCGTTTCTGGCCTCTCACAATCGACTCCTCTTTGAATCGAGCCTGGAGTTGCTCGAAACGACCCATGTCTTCAATGGGAGGAAGATTGATGCCTGCAAATTGTCCAGATGCAGCAAAAGGATCTGCAAATTGTGGTGCATGCTCTTGCTCGAACTCTTCGGTTGTGCTGAAGGACCAGTCGTCGTCGTCATCGTCATCCTCAGACGAAGAAAGAGGATCGGGCGCTTGAGCGCCATATGGATTGAACAGCGATGCACGTGCACCACCTGATTGCTCCCACCTATAGTACTCCTCAACAAGCTTGACCAGTGTAAAGGTCGGATACAGCTTAGTCGACCCCGCAATGTATGGGTGTTCGAGAATTTGATCTGGAGTTGGTCGCTGCGTCGGATCTGGTTGGAAGATGAAGGCAAGAAAATCTTTGAGATCCTGCGAGAAACGATCGCCTTCCAGTTCAGGAGCGCCAGCATTTGGTAGCTCTAACTGGGCAATCTTGTAATGCGGTGGGAATCCACTGGCCATCTCGTGAATCGTGCACCCATACGCCCAAATATCAATTTCGTTGCCGTAATGAATCTCCTTTGGCTGGAGTGGGTTGCGCGGATCGGCATCTTTGACCCACTCTTGTTGGAGCTCCGGAGCCATCCATGCTGGTGTTCCAACAATGGTCGATCGCTTCGACTTTTGCGGTTCGAGCGTACCCGAAACACCAAAATCACACAATTGCACTCGACCGTCTTCCAGAATGAGTACATTGTTCGTCTTCAGATCTCGATGCAAGACGCCAGCTTCGTGGACATATTTCAGACCCAAAGCAAGTTCGCGCGCAATCGGAATGATGAACTTCTCCGGCAGGCCTGGTCCAGGGTCCTTGATGGCATGTGTTGGCTTCATCAGGGTGTTGACACTACCACCACTGGCATACTCGCTGACAATCCACAACTCATTGTGCACTGTCCGCGCCTCTTCTATGATATTGACGTATGGCCGCGCTTTGCTGTCCCGTAGCTGCTGCAGAATGTCAATCTCCTTGATGGTCTGTGCCAAGTTCTCGGTCGTCATCTCCTGGTAATCCTGGTTATCGATGTCGATGATCTTGATCGCAACAAGACCACCATGCACCCTGCTTCTTCCTTTGTAGACACGCCCATAAGCACCCTTGCCAATCAACTCGAAGAATTCATATGGCGGTGGTTCCTTGTCTCCAGCACGCTTAGCACGTTCCGCTACCAGCTCTTCCATCTGCTTGGCCTCTGCCACTGCGCGCAGCTTGGTACCTCCCGTAGGCGGCTGTAGCCGCGATGGCTCGAAGCTCAGGCGTGCGGGCTCCATGCTTTTGCTTGTGCTCGTGAGCCACTCTTCAAGATTGGCAATACGTAGGGCGTCAGCCTGGCCGTCTTGCTCGCTGTCCGACTCAGCGATGCACCAGAGCGGACTATCGAGGCCACCAAGGCTACTGGTAAAGCTTGGTATTCTGGGTATTGGTGGAGATGCGCGGGCAGGAGGACAGGGACTGTTATCGGAGAAGAGTGGGTAGTCGTTGGTGGGATCAGACCACGAGCGTCGGTGACTCTTTGGGGTGGCCTCGGGATCTGATGGGCGCAAGCCGGGGCTCGAGTTCGCAGTAGGAAGGCGCGATGACGATGACGAGGTCGGCTCCGAGACGTCTTTAGGCGAATATACCGGCGTAGGAGGACACAGCGGGTTCGTGGGGTCTAGAATGGGGCTAGAGATGCTCGGTCGTGCAGATCCAGAGCCGTGGGATGATTTCGAGGACGGGCCCTTCTTGCCTTTGATAATTGTATCTGTCAGCTTGGTCCATGAGAAGGATCGCGACGTTCTGGTGACAGGCACCGCCGTCGTCTCTGGCTCTGGCGAGTTCGGCGGGGTGTAGTCGCCCAGGGGGATCAGGTGGTCGACATCGCTGTTCGACCGCTTGAGCTTGAGGATGGCCTCGTTCTCGAGCATGATTGCGCGCGTAGTTGAGTCGCGGACGAGTGTTGTCAAGGGCGACACACGGTGGTGAGAAGAGGAAACGGCATACTCACAGGTCTAGCTGAGTTCACTGCGTGCGCTGCACCAGGTGAAAGCTCATGGCGAGGGGTCGCGTGCGGTGAGGGTGAGCGTTTGCCAACATTCACGAGCCTCGACTATCACACTACAAACGTCCGTTATCTTACAAGGAGGAAAGCAACAAGTAAAAAGACACTATCATTACAAAAGGATCATGAGGAGAAGGGAACAGATGTCATTGCGATGCCGTCCGGCGGAGAAACTTTGGCGTCTTCATATGCGAAACAAGGGTCTCGATGTTCGTCGTTGCACAAGTTGCCGATCACGCCAAGCCAAAGCGGCAGCGCCAGTGCAATCGAGACTGGCGCGCCCCGCCCTCCACCGTTGAACGTTGTGCCTGACATCATTAGCGCCATCATCGCCCGCCTGGCCAACTTTCTTGTTATGAAGACATGGTGGTAGCCATGATGATGCATATAGTCACTGTTCACAAACACCATCTTCTGGTACCCTAACTCACCTGGTCCACTACCACACTCCAAATCTCCCGCTCGGTCCCATAGTTCATCACTATATCAGACTCATCTAGAATATCAACCACATACCCGTCAAGATGGTCGCCCAACCCATCGGCACCAAGAAAGCCGTCCCAGGCACCGTCTCCAAGAAATCCACACCAACACCCGTCCGCAAAGCCCCCATCGCCTCCACTACAGCAAAGAAGCCCATCACTTCAACCGTCACAACCAAAAAACCCATTCCAGCTACAGTCACCGCGCAGAAGAAGAAACCCATCCCAGCAGCAGTGACTGCACAGAAGAAGAACCTGCCTGCAGCAGCTAAGAAACAACAACACATTCCCACTCCACCATCCCAACAATCATGGCTTACTAAAGCTACAAATGGTGCTGGTGCAGCTATATCGAGCACAACATCTGCTGCAGCGGCGGGTGTGGGGAAAGCTGCTGGTGCTGTTGTGACGGCGGCTGGCAATGGCGTTGCGGGTGCTGGAAAGGGGGCTGGAGTGTCGTAAGTGTTCTCTTGTCTCTCCTGTACCGATGCATTCTAACATACCTACCAGCATCGCAAATACATCCCGTTCATGGGGCGACATGGTTCGCGAATACGGAAATTCGCTCAAAGACATGACAGGTGCGGCAGGTAGCCGAGCACCAACAAAGGGGAATCCTTTAGGCTTGTCGACGGGTGGAGGAGGTGGAGGTGCCAGTACGGCTGTGAGTTCGACGAGAGGAAAGGGGACGGCGAGTAATCCTTTGGGGTTGTGAGGAAGGACAAGATGCTGCGTGTACGATTAAGATGAGGTTTTGAGCAGTTATTGCATTAGGTGTTGGGCATACACAAGGTTTATCGAAAAGCAATACACGAAGTTACGATTTCACACCGCTGTTGACTTGTAGGCTCGAAGAACTCCGCGTGGAGTTGTGGATATGGCCATATCGTGACGACTACCTCGTGTAGCTGCCCAGCTCGTATTTGATCTAAACCATGGAAGCTTCGTCAAGGTCACTGCATTTCTTTCATGTTCTGTCGAAACTCATGTCACTACAAGCCCCTTTACTTTCACCGCGCCTTGCGCAAGTGCGGCACAGGGCCCAAGCTCATCACCTCTGGCGCATAAGTACTGTTCTACCCCCCTGACATCTGCCACTCAACCTCACACTCGATGATCTCTCAACCAAATTCTTAACTCTCGACACAAGGATTTGAATCATCTGACCTAGATCATCAACCACTTCTGCACTTTCGCGCAGCTTTTGAGATATGTTTGCTTCCCACTAACTGACTGCTACCACACAATACATACCTGTGACAAAGTTGGCATTATGCCGCAGGCCGTCAATGCCCCCGCAACGTCCACACCTTAACAGTTGGGTTGCAGCAAGTTTGCATCGCACTCTATTCAGGTGGCGCAGCGTCTCTGCGTTTGGATCGAGCGATACTCAAGAAGTGGCTTCCTCTTCTGATTTCGCCTGTCCAAGTCCCTCGCAACCATTCAAGGCATTCTTATCTCGAGGTAAAAACCTTCTGGGTCCTTGGGCGCATGGTTTGAGCTGGCTCACATGTAATTCGGTTGTAGACGTTATGGTGCGCCGGCGTACATAGTCTTATCCAACTGGGAATAGCGGGAGTCCGCCAGAGGAGCCTCTGGACGAGTGTGCCCGCTGCCGAGTCGTTGTGCAGATAGCAAGTCCGTATCGCTGTAGCAATCCTGCAACCGCCTAGCTCTGGAAAACAATCTCTGTGTCATCGCCCTCAGTGGTCTGCACACTCAACGTGATGAAATCGTGCCAGGGCTATAACGACAAGTTCTTCGGCATTCGTCCACCGTTTTAGAACATGATGTCATCTTCCGCCTTATTTGCAATGACGACTTTTGTCAGGCCGGGAAACCTAGAGCAAAGTAACCATCCCAACGGTCGTAGACTTGCTGATCTTTGTCATGATGCGAACTGTCGTTAATGGCTTTGTTGCGCCATTTGCTTCGCGTTTGCTCGGAGCCATCGTAGTTGCGCTGTCACTTTTGCGAAAATGAAAGAGGAAAAAATTAAGGAACAAAGGTGTTGTAGAAGAGTGCAGGCCTTCTATAACCACCTCACCCATAGCGGGAGTGAACGTGCTATCACAATAGTAAAGGCATCCTGGGAATGCGGATATATCCGGCGAGACATATGATATTTTGAGTTTCAAGTGTGCTAGAATTTGAATGCCATTTGCGATTTCCCCTCACCAGCAATAAGATTAGTGAGACTATAGACACTGATAGTACCATGGGGCTGATACACCCTTACATGTATACGGCGACTGCGTTGAACCTTCATATTAGTGGCAATCATCAACAAGGAGCGCGAAAACTTACTTCGCAAACTGTACAGCCTTTCCAGTCATTGCCACCACACTGGTCCCAATGTTTACTCCTACACCCACCATTTCCACCACCCGGTGTACTCGTAGGCGGTCTTTGCGTTGACGAGGGACGGTTCGGCGGCGGCAGAGAAGGTCGTATCGTGGTCGATGGTCTGGGAGGTGTCGCAGGACGAGAAGAGCTCGGTATAGGCATCGTTGGTGGTTTCGAAGGCCTCGGTGGGCGGGTGCCTCCAAGAGTCGGCGTGTTAACATAACTGCCGTCGCAGTAATACGTATCGCCATCCAATTGCAAGTTCTTCAAGATTGTGCTGGTGCCATTCACGCCGACACTTGTGCATGAGACGCCCTTTGCCGCCTGTGCGTTTAGAGGTGTGGGGTATTCGATGTGAAAGACCGGTTTGTTCAGCGCGAGGAACTGTTCGTATGCTCTACACTCTCCAAGAGCTGCACATTGCTCGTTGACTGCAAAGTCTACTGTCGAAGCAAGGCTGCTGACGATGTCCAGGCTGTTTTTTAGGCCGATCTTCATGTTGTATTTTTTGGCTTCAGCTTGCATCCAGAGCATGTAGTTGATTGCGTCCGAGCTGGTGAGCTTCAGGCCATTGTCGTTTTGCTAGACTTTGTCAGCTAGTTGATTGTAATATCTTCGATTTGTGCAACATATTCAGCATCCCGGTCAGCGTGGTGGGGGCGCGTACATAGCCATCTGTCTGACAGTCAGCAGCATTTATAGTGAGAAGAGCATCGTAAGATGCGAATGGTTGAATGCGCACCTGTGTTATCTGGATCGATGGCATCGCAACCTTTGTCCGCTGCCAGCTTGATACGCTTGGCCATGATATTGCGGATCGATTGCGACCCTGTACGTATCCATTTCTCGTTCGGCCATTCAGGCAGGACCTTGCCCAAGTCTGCGGCTGCAAAGTCCCTGTAGTCGTCTCTCCAGTCTTCCGCGGTACCGGCACTAAAGTAGCAGACGACAATCTTTCCTGAAGCCTTCAGTGTTGCCATTGTTGACGCCGGGTTATCGAAAAGGTCGATGTCCCAGACAGGGGCGTCGGTAGGCGCAAGAGGCATTTTGGACATGTCCGGCACTCCAAGAAGAATAATTTGGAACTTTTGTCCTCGTATGAATGATGCCACATTCTGTGATAACGTTTGTGACATCAATAGGGCCCAGATTATCAGCAATGGCGTACCTAAAGAGAGGAGCAGGTAACATTTTGCCATTGCGGTGCAAATGAAAATGGTGTGATGGCAACACGAGGAGTTGAAACGAATTGAAAGAACAAATGCTGTGCTAAGGCAATACCTTAAGACGCGATCTGACCAAGATCTAAATCATATCCCATATTGGCCACATGGAAACCGATAGCCAATGGAAGGCGCCCGCTCGTATGCCATTTTACGTACTGTTGTCACCAGGCGCCGGCAAAATTACTATTCGCCTTCTCCGGCGTCGAGAGGTAGCCTGTAGATATTCAAAAACATATGTAGGAACTATGTAAAGTATCCTACAGTAGCGCATGTATTCAGGCTCCTTTGTAAACTTATGGGTATGCTCCTGGAGACTTGTTTGTCATGTTGTGCAGGTGCAGAGTGGACACGAATTTTGCCGCTGCCTGGCGTTATGGACAAAGCTCATTGTTCAGAAATTGCCAGTGTTCAGTGTTGGTTAGTATTGGTCGAGGCTGGACTTGTGCAATATCGAAGAATATTGCCAGATCCCAGTCATAACGTGAGAACGATCAGAGCAAGGTATCATGAGTTCCGTATCCCATTGCGAGGCTGAATTCCTCTGCTTGTACTATGTTCCGATCATTAGTGAAAGGCTGCGCAAGTTCCTTTGTCTCTTTCCGAAATCGAGCAGTGCAGCCTGGGATAACAGTAATATCGTGCCGTATACTGGCAGGTAAATCACACAATGCATGCAGACCCAACCTCAGATACCTCGTGGCGAGTTCCGGACCATTCTACGGGTATGAACGTACGGACCTGCATCCCCGGCAGATGCATACATGGCGGGGAAAAGCTTGTTTACTGCACCCCAGAGCGAGCCAACGAAGCGGTCCTTCTGGCAAGGTTTTGTAGCCGTAAGAGCACTGAGCGCGTTTAGGGTTGCGGCTAAATGCCGAAGCAATTTGAAAATCCCCGAATATACAAGTTGGAGTTGAGCACAACCAGTCAGGTCATCACGGGCGCAGCAGAGAATTTCTTGCGTTACCAGTCGGAGCTCATTGTTTCGAAATGTGCATGCATGTGGACTGCTTCATCCAGTAAGTCGAGCACGCAACACGGAGAGATTGCAGTCGCATAGAGTGCTGGTAAGCCTAGAAGCTTGCACGGTGAGCATCGTGATCGAGCAGCTAATATAGGGATCTGTAATCCAGCACGCCGCCACGGTCATCTCTTGAGAAGGCGTAGAAGGCCCATTTGAAGCGTGACGCGTCTGGATTGCGTGACTTGAGCCCCGGAAGTCCGTTTGAGTCTGGCAGATACGAGAGAATTTTCGGCAATCTAAAGCCAGCTTGCTCATTGCATGGACGGTATGTGCGATACTGTTCAGTTGTTAGCCCCCAGCGATGGTTTTACATGGAGATCCCACGGTACGCACCCGAGCGGTGCACAGTAATCACTCTATTGAGACCGTGGTGTCTAGGAGTGGTATAATTTTCGAGGTGATCACATGGTGCGAAGAGATGGCTGCCGCACGATGTTGCCTTCTCTATATTTAATCTTGGTGTTGCATTGAAGTTGACGATGGATGAGGTCATCCATTCTTATCGATAACGCGCGTTTTGAATCCGACATTTTCAGTTAACTCGAGACTGCCTGTTTAAGTCACAACAGAAGACACAGAACACCAAGAGATTTTCATCTCGCATATGGCTTTGTAGCATCTCTCAACATCCCAATGGAGTGCATGAGCAACTCCCGCCGTTTCCTTAGCCCGAGTCTTGATCACGCTTGCTGATGCTTGCGCTTTGCCGACCACGATGCCTACTCCACTCTTCGCGATTTCTTCAAACTCGCACGTTACGTACCGTTCCTCGACGCGTTCCCACCTTTATCAAGTCATGGGATCCGACTCAGCATACGCCCGCACGTCAGCCTCAAGCATCGATTGAGCCTGATCCAACTAGGGATACAATATGGAGCGATCTACACGAAATGAACCAGGCCCAGGCACATAATATGTCGAGTACGGAAGACAACAAGGATGGTGGTAACCCTCCGAAAGCGATGCGTCCCTCATACAAAAAGCTCAGACACTTACTGCGGCTTGCTTCATCACCCAACATTGACCTCGTGGGCATGCGCCGTCATATATGGAAGGCATATATTCTTACAAAACTCGAGGACCCGGATTCACTATCGAACTTGACTTTCGGAGAATGGGACATAATTTGGGAGTCGCAATCTATCAGACTGTACAGCAACCAGAACCGAACGCTGCATCTGGAGGAGCTCTACACTGATTTGTGTTCTTCGAGGATTGCACCTACTAAGGCTCAAAGGATTGAGTATCTGGAATGTCACTTTCTGAACGGTAAGGAGGTCCAAGCGCTTCAGAAATGGGAGGCAGATCGCGCGGAAATCGAAAGTTACCAACCCTATCACTGCGAGCCGGAACACTTGAAAGTTGGGGTCGAGATGTATGCGCGAGCTGGCAATGCGGATCGAGCTGGTCAACTGATGGAACAACTCTTCGCGGTGCTACCTGAACCAGATAAGTCACTTATGCTCACTGTGTTTCGAGCACATACTAGTTCTGCGGAAGCAAGACACCACGAAGCTGCACATGATATGTACGAACGGATGAAGGCCCTTCCGACAATCCTAAAGATGAGAGATTACGACGCGTGCTTCACAGGCTTCCTAGAAGCGAAAAACATAGAATTCGCGAAGGAGGTCTTTCGCGACATGGTCTCAAACGGTATTCTTGCAAAGACGGGGTTTGCGAAAGATGTGGAGGAAGTGCTGATGCGACTTCACATGTTGTACCGTCTAGCCACAGACTTGTCTAGCATGACTAGCATTGCTCTTCATGCCATCGAACTACTACCACAATCTTACTACGGGCAGGTGTTTGGAGATTGGATGAAATTCACCGTCGTCCAACAGGCTCCTGAGGCTGCTGCACAGATCCTCGATATGATGTATCGACAAGGCTACCCTCCAGAGACGTTTCATTTCAATATGCTTCTCAGAGCTTTCATACGAACAAAGGAGTCTCCAAATGTGCTCCAGGCTGAGAACATTGGTTGGCGCATGATTGATGAAGCCCGAAAGGCGCACCGGAAGAATACCAGGCCATTTTTAAGCCAAAAGGGTACCAGCCACGAAAATGCTCCGACGCCCGAAGGTCTACAAGCTGCGCGAAAACTTCCGGTCGCCGATGTCGACACCTTCGCACTCATCATGCACCATCATGGCAAAAGCCTGCAGTGGGAGCACGTCGAATATTTGTCGCGTCAGCTCAAAGAAACGTCGATTGCTCCCAACGCGACCATCATGAACGTCCTTGTCGACAACAAAATTCGACAAGGTGCATACGCAGAAGCCTGGTCCATCTACAGTCAGCTCACAAACCCAGCTAAAGGCGGATCAATCACGGGCGTTTTCCCCGACGGTGCATCTATTCGTTCTGTCTGGAAGATGCTGCGACTTGCCCTCGGCGACCACGCTACAAGGCACGAGTCCGGGTTGCCAAGACCTCGAGAACTCCTGAAAGAGACGGTGGAATGGTGGGCACTGGTTCGCGGCCGCTACGATGCTGAGCGATTCCGCATGGGACTTGTGGGCGGGAATTACACTGCGATTTCCGCGCTCATGTTGCATTGCTTCTCATATACGCAAGACTTACCAGGTTCACTCGTCGCATTGCACGTTCTGCGACACAATTTCCATATCTTCCCTACGACCAAAGACGTCAACATCTTGCAGCGTCAGATGGCTTGGGTCGACTTAAGTCGCGAGTCAGCATCCTCTCGGTCCCAGTACTTCCACAGCCGCAGTAATCGGGTACGCACTGACAAGATCGGCAAAATCTACCTGATGCTGTTGCAGCAGCGCGCGGAACGAATGCAATTGACTCGGGATGGCGCGAAGGCTTTGACAGAAGAGCAGAAAGGTGACATAAATCTCAATCTTCTGAGTGAGTTCACTCGATCTGTAATGAAGAGGGAGTACCCAGAAGAGCTTGTGGAGGTGATGATTGATGCAGCGAGGGTGAGTGTTGGATGTCCGGACTTGCCGACAGGGGATATGACTGCGTTTGAGGTGGCGTAGCGCAAGCTTGTACAAATCGAGGAAGTTTATTGAAGCCGATGATGGGCTGTGTATAACATTGAAATGCTTACTATCAAACCCATAATCTTGCTTGCAAGCTGCTTCTTCTGACTGCGACGGCAAGCGCGCAGTCAGCCTGCCACCCTCGAGTTCTCCTCATTGGAGCACTGAGTTTGATCTATTCATTGCGTCTCTCTTAAGTCACCACCACCACGTTTGATGGAGTTCCACCAGTTGTGTTTCCACCATGATCCTCCGTTCCCAAGAAGAAGTGCTTCCGTTTGATGGAAGTGAAGCTTGCTCCCGTTTGCCGATAGCGCCGCCATTACACCGCTTGAGCCGGCCTCTCACTCTCTATAGTGAGAGTTACGAACCTTATTTCATGTACAATGCAGCTAGGATTCCCAGAATAAGTCCCTGTGCTGACAATTCCACATCTCCTACCAACGCCTTCACCTGATTCCTAGCAGTATATATCCTTCTCTGAACGCACGCATCACGTTCCACCATTCTCTTGCCCGGTCGGACCCCATCACCCTGCTCGATGACCTCTAAAGACAAATTGATGTTCGAAATACCAGGCAGGTATGGCAGGAGGATAAGACTATGCATTTGAACATCGTAATTCCGTATCTCCCCAATAATTCGACGAGTCATATGTGCGTACGATTCGTATGTCTCGAGCTTATATTGCAATTCCACGTGTGTTATTGCGGGGTGTTGCATGTGTCCGAGAGTTTCGAGCCATCAAATAAAGTCATCCGCATCTCGGAAGCTGAATGTAGACGAGTAAAAGCCAACAGGTTGGCTTCGGAGTAGATTCCTTGACAGGTCCTGGTAGACTTCAATGCATGCTACAGGTCAAGAAATACGGGCTTGCATGATGCGCTGGTTTTGCACTTGGAGTAGGCGAGGCTGCCTGTGCAGAAAGGTAATTCGGAGGTGTAGTTCATCACTCAGATTTTGTCGGGCAAGAGTTGTCTGTAGATGCAGTTGCGAAGCTCAGCGGGTAGTCGGAGCAACGGTGGGGCTGGTTCTCCCCATGAATTACCGTTCTATCATGCTATTCTTTCAATTAGCGGGCGCATGTGAACCAGTACGTATGTCTTGTCCCCATCCATAGCGCAGGAGTAATAAGAGTCCGGGGAGCTCGTGGTCAGGTACCTGTACGAACAGTGAGGTGAAGAAGACATCTTTGAGTGAAGAGATTAGGGCTCAGGGTCGAATATGCTGTACGATGGAAAAGGGTAAGTGGAGACATATTAACCAATTCTCTAGCCCTGGAGATAAGTAAGGGAGGCCGCTGCAGCCTGGCTTGTACTGCAGAGTATCTTAACTACGACGCAACATGGACAGGAGCATACAATTGCCTGAAGCTGTACGCAATATTGCCAGGCCTCAGTTGCGACAGCAAGTCCTCGTATGTAGCTTTAAGCACCTTGTTCGCTTTCCATCGCAAGTCGTAACTTGTGATACGTAATGCTATGCCCACACAACTTGACTGACAGCTCTACAAATGTTTCGGATTGTGTGGCAGGAACACTGGGAGAAATCTACTTGTGCACTATACAGAGACGATGCATGCTTCTAATGCACTGGCCGTGATCAATCTAGAGTAATCTCAAGTAAGGCGCGATAGAGAGTATTTCAAACGACGCAGTGGCTCTCGAGAGATGCTGGAGGAAAGTTGAGCTAGCGAAGATTTTGCGCATTGCGGGCTTTGCGAGCGCGTGGCTATAATATCGCACGCCCTTCGAAGGGATGAAGTGACGTTCAGGGTAAATGCGTCTGATTGGCCATCAAATAGATCGCGAATGTCGGTCGATGTCTTCCGCGGCTCCGATCGATGACGTTCCAGTTGTCAGCATCCCAAACGCGCTCCACACCCGTTTGCTATGGCCATTATTTCTTTGATGACGAGTGCTAGTGCGCATGGGTGTTACGCGACTTTTGCACGCGGTGGCTCTTGTTCCGTCTTTCTCCAATACTTGACCGCGATATCTCGCATATCATAAGAATGTCGCGCGGTGAAAGAGCACCGTTGTTGCAGGAGCGCCTTAGTGAAGAAGGAGAATCTCGGGAAGTACGTATATTGAAAATGCAACATGCTGTGTACTACGACGGGGAGCGAGCAGCTCATCCCACAATCTGAAGCTATACATAGTATCGACAGACTTCGATTGCGACAGCAACACCGTGTGCATAGCTTCAGAGGTAGTTACCCGATTTGCATCTAACATATAACAGATCCTTCGCCTTGAAGACTTCCCAGAGGAGAACCCAAGAACATGGGCAAAATGGAGGAAGATGGCGAACGTGGGCGTGATCGCGTTGATGTCAAGTAAGACTAAACTCGGCTACGTGTACACGGAAAACACTGCTAACACGCAGTGCCTCCAGTCGTTAGTCCACTCGTCAGCTCTATGTTCACACCCGGTATCGACGAAATCGCAAAGGACCTGAACTGCTCCACCACCGCAGTCATTGGCACAACGACCGGCTTCGTGGTTATGCTAGGCATCGGGCCACTTCTACTGGCTCCGTTGAGCGAAACATTTGGACGGCGTGTCGTCTATCTGACTTGCTTTTCAATCTTCACGCTCCTCCAAATACCAACCGCACTTGCGCCGAATATCGCCTTCCTTATAACGGTCCGAAGTGTTGCAGGCTTCTTTGGGAGTGTTGGCATCGCGAACGGTGGAGGCACAATCAGTGATATGTTTGTGCCTAGCGAAAGAGCCGGTGTTTTTGGGTGGTATCTTTTGGGACCATTACTAGGACCAACACTTGGACCCTTGTTTGGAGGGATCATCGTCCAAAGACTCGGTTGGCGGTGGGTTTTCTGGGTCATGACTATCGTGTGCTTCGTCAACACTTTGGCCGGATACTTCTTCCTACGCGAGAGCTATGCCCCCGAGATTCTGAAGCGAAAGAAGGCGAAATATGAGGAGGAAGCTTCCGACATGGAGGGAACGAAATACTCGTACGAAGGCGAAGATGAGCGCCCATTTAAGCAAAGAATCGCGCAATCTTTAACACGCCCGCCGAAGATCTTCGCCCAACCTATCGTGGCAACAATGGCCGTCTACCAAGCACTCATTTTTGGCACAACGTACAGCATATATACCAACATGCAGCCAATTTACCAAGACCTATACGGCTTCGACACCGAAAAGGTTGGACTCTTATACCTTGGACCTGGTCTCGGCTTCTTGTTTGCCGTTTGGTTCCTCGTTCCTCGTATCGATACCGTCTACAAGAGCCTCACAGCCAAGAACAACGGCAAAGCCAAGCCAGAATTCCGACTTCCGCTTGCCAACATTGGGGCAGTATTCATCCCAGTATCGTTGTTCTGGTTTGCATGGACAGTCGAAAAGCACGCGCACTGGTTCGCTTCGATATCAGGCACGTTCTTCTATGGCATTGGACAAGTTATGATACTGAACTGCACGCAAAATTACTTCATTGATAGTTTTGAACAATATGCAGCAAGCGCTATCGCCGCGGGCGCAGTCTTCAGAAGCTTGGTCGGTGGTATCATCCCGCTTGGTGCGCCAGCACTGGTTCCGAAAAGCTAGGTTATGGGCTGGGGGCATCCAGTGTCTTTGCTTTTGTGAGCTTTATTACTTGGCGCCTGCGCCCACTGGATGTTCTACATCTTTCGGTGAGAGGATACGCGAGCCGCTTTTAAGGTCAAACCTGTAAATTAGAACGGGCTAGTGGGTGGGATTCAATGTGCGGCGCCGTTAATCTCGCCGACAGGTGATAGTCTATCCAATAACCTGAAGGTATACACAGGGCTTTTTCGATGGTTTCAGAGCGCAACGACACGGTGGGTAGCTTCAGGGTATGAGTTCATCTACAAGATCCTGTCTACTTTAACTTATAGTTGACGAACATCATACATTGAGCTCATCTCCTAGGTCCCGCAATGAAGTTGAGGTGAAGTAGTGTTACGATCGCCGTTGCCTAGGAACCCACTGTTGACATGTAAATACATCGTCCTCAACCCCGCTTTTTCGTACCACAACATTTGCATTCTGAAACTTGAAGGATCGTGGGGGTGGAGTCGTTACATGATGTCATGCCTGGTGTGAGGAGGGTGCATATACGTTTAACAGAGTGTTTGATTGTACAGTCTGGGATGACCGGAGGAGGAGGAAGAGCAGATGATGCAGATGAGAGACGATCACGAAACTGGTTGCGAGGTAGCAGTGTGAGGAAAGGTCGAAGTGCCGGTCTCTGGATGAGCCGAGTGAGTGAATCAATCGGAGTGGACATATAACTTGAAAACCGACAATTTTGCACGGCCTTTTAATGGATGGTTTAGTTTATCCTTATGCTCATTTACGTAATCACTACTCAGGCTGTGTTTGTACTTTGGCAGGAACGCTTTCCATGCCCCACACCTTCACCCTTCCATACCTACCAACTCCCCTCCAGCTAGACAACGATAACCCGCACACACGATACCAATCTACTGTTAAATTCAAGAGTATAGAGTATATTGATGTGCCCTAAGACCACCAAGCAGACCTATATAGAAAAGTCCGCAGGTTGTTCATGATAGCCGACGGTCTGATGTAAGACTCCAGTCCATCGCACCACGACAATTCTAATAGCGAACAGTGACACGCGTAACGCCCGCGTCTCACCGCTCCTCCTCCTACCCTCTGAGCTGCGCAACCAAATCTACAACTACGTTCTGGCCTCCGACAGCATCAAGATCGTCACTCCAAGAGCGACAAAGCGGAGCGGATATTCCATAGTCGAAAAGGCGACCAACGTAATAATCGGCATATCCCGCGTATGCCAGCAAATCACGATCGAAACGATTTGCATGCCATGCGCCACTGACACAGTCCACTTCGCTAGCATACACGTCTGCGAACAAAACACTTCCGCGCTCCGTGCCTCGCAACGTTAACGCTGTGGCACCTGTGTCGCACCAGTAGGACCGAACCTTCTTACCAACGTCTTAGGAATGACGTTGAGGCCTCACTTGTCCTCATATGCCCCTATGATCCTGAGGACAGGATGGCTGAGCTTTATGTTCAAGAAAAAAAAAGAGACGTGTTCCATAAGGACCTTGAATTATTGATAGGAGAGCGTGAAGGGGAAAGGACAAGTTGAAGATCTATAGGACGAGGAAGTATGTTACATGGCATGGACCAGCTGAATCGCTGAGATGGCAAGATACCTACAATATATTGCTTACTCACTGATTGAACTATTCTCTCGACCATGCGCGACTCTCAAACACTTCCTGAAGCCAACTGCCACCCATACGTGTTATAAAAGTCCATGAAAACCATGTCTTAACTTTGACGTCACTGTCCACGAGCTACCACAACCCACTCCCTGCGGAGCTGCGGAATCACATGTAAACCCATGCCTTCAGCTTCAAATATAAAAATTGATGATGGTGAATAAGACGCAAGTCTAGAAATACCATGATGCTCCTCTACTAGGCTGTGATGTTATCCACGAGATTTGGCTGTATTCGCACAGTCCGCTCGGAGAAGCTCGTCGGTCGAGGTAGTAAAGGTACACAAAAAGGGCACATGTTCTTAGTACTACCCTGTATATCTTGATAGTTTTTGGATTTGATCATTGGAGCACGGGGACAAAACTCACAAGCGGGTTCTACTATGATAAAATTGGGTATACGCTCATAATGCTCTGTGCTCCTCTTTGGCCAGTTCCAGTGACGCCATCCTATGCTGCTCAGACGAAAAAAACGTAGATCGATCCAATCTACTCGCGCCCGCTATGCTAATATCGTACACTCATGCCCCTTCCACAGCCTATGGCCCACCTCTGGGTCTCTGACTATGATCCACGAGATTATAAATTCCAGTCTTGATGCTAACATAACGCCCTTGCTTGGGGTCGTACCACGCCGCGACATTCAGAGTTATGCGCGCCTTTTCGCCATAGATGTCGATGAGACCCATGACTAGGAAACTGCCGCGGGGCGGCGGCTGCCTGTATGGCTTGGAAGACTTCTTGACTTCCTGCTGGAACTTGGTGAGGTCGAGGGTGAAGTTTTTGGGATCGGGGAGATTGAGGCCGAGCTCCTTGGCCTGTTGGGAGCTCAGAGACGAGGCTGGGTCGGCTGCATCGGTACTGTTGACTGCTGGGGCTGCTGGAGGACTTGAGGCTGCTGGCGTTGCAGATACGCCTGTAGTTTCGGGCTTCTTTTCGCCTCTTGCGACGAACTTTGCGACCTCGTCTTGTATTGAGCCTGGTACAGGGGTGGGTCTAGGCTTGGGGTTCTGCTCTAGTCCCACAGATAGCTTGAAGCTCTTCCATGATAGAAGCGCCTTCTGCTTTAAGTCCGCGTAGAGTGCGTTCGAGACTACGCTTGGGAAGAGTAATTTGTTCAAGCGCTGGTGGTGCAAGTCTTCGACTGGGTGAGTCGCTTTCCGCCACTCCAGGTCTCCGGTCAAAGCAAGGCCAGGCTGTTCGTATCTGGGCGGAGGGCCATCGGGAAACTTCAGTTCAATCCATGCTTTTCCTTTGCTGGTATCGATCTTGCCGAGACGTGACGTCCAGCCGGTGTTCTTCTCAGCCATGTTGCGCATCATGAATATCAGTTCGTCTGTCAAGATGTTAGTCTCTACCCCGTAATCGGAACATGGCAAACGTACTGCGTATCTTCTCGACCCTGGGTCGGTCCGTGGCTAGTTTCTTAAACTCCTGCCATTCTGGATCTGACCCCTTGTAGAAGGTTCTGGGACTCGGTCGCGAGAAACCGGTGGGAAGGAACAGTAGAATGTCTTCGGTATCGTCGTCATCCTCCTCCTCCTCTGTTGCGCCACCTATCGCACCTGGACTTGCCGGGTCCTGTCCCTTTGCGTCCGCCTTTTCTACCTCGACTTCAACGCTGATGTACCGCGAGAGGCCCCAAAAGGCGGCTGCGACGGCGATTGTGCCGACTAGACGACTGTAGAAATCAGCCGGTGTCTTGGAGCTGGTGTGGCGCATACTCACGAATTACTGACGACGGGTCTCGAGATGCGGACGCGGTGTACAGTTACAGACTCGTGACCGTCACGTGCTGCAGATTGCGCTATACGCGAGTACGGGACTCTGTTGTAGAGAGAGAAGGTCCTCCGCAGCACTTGAGCTCTTAACATGGCGGATGCGGGGAGTAGAGGGAATGGATGTTATGACGGGGTGGCGGTGAGTGTGGGCGACATGAAGGCGTCGTGTGGATATGGCAGCAGCAATGTTTGCTGCGAATCAATGTTCGTGGGCGCAAGACGCTGGCTCGACTGCCGTGGGACTAGAGCTGCAATGTCGCGCTGGGCGGCGCGGTGGGTGAAGGACTGCCGCGGCGGAAGTGCGGCAAATCCCGTTGCAGTCGCAGCTTCCCTCAACACTGACGTTGGCCATCATCGCCGCAGCTCCCAGCACCCGCACCCCCATCCATCTCCGCCGCGCCACCATGAAGCTGTCCTGGGGCCTTTTCTTCTCATCGCTGTACTGCACAGCTTCTGCAGCAAGCCCCGCCGTCAGCCCGGAGACCGCGCGCCTGATCATCGCCCAGAGGCTGGGCCTATCGCGATTCCACTCGATCGAACACGCAGACGCCGAGGCCATTCGACACATCAACGCGTACGGGGGGCGGCAGCAGAAGCTGTTTGGAGGAGACGATGCAGACCAATCAAAGGCGCATCTGCTGATGTGGATAGAGGATGAATTGCTGGAGGATGCTTCAGGTACGCCTCCGTTGCCTTGATGCCGAATGTACTAACAGATAGCTCTAGTCATCGTCGGTGATGGCCACGGCGTGCAGGCCTTCACAATCTCGAGTGCTCCCGCGAAAGTAGAGAACGACCGCCTCCTGGAGGACTTTATCAGACAGGCGGCAGCACTACCTGAACCTTCGGACCCCAAGAAGCAGACATACAAGGCCAGGCATGGAGATGGAGCACTTGTTCCCAGCCATGCTCCCAGCATCACACAAGGACAAGCATCTTCAGACCATCAATGAATATTTGAAGGTCTTCCGCGTCGACAAGAGCGACAACTACACTCCCTCCGAGCTGGCGCATTTCCGCAGGGGAATGCTCGAGAACTTGTCGAAGCCTGGAATGGTAGTGACCGTTGTCACCCTGCCCGCTTCTTCAAAGCAGACTAAGCGCACCGCCAACCCCTGGGGAACATACGCGGTCCCCTTGGCCAACGGAGCACGTCGCGAGAACCCCGAGGCCTTCATGTCTCTTGGTTCCGAGCCGTCTTCCTCGCCAGTACCTCCCGTCTCCGACCTGGAAGACTTCCCCGTCATCGCCAGCCAAGCCAGCAACTACACCGGGCCCGTTCGCGGCATACTCCCCAGCTGCTTCAACAGCAAGTCTGCCTGCGAGAAGCGAACGCACGGTTGCAGCGGCCATGGAGAGTGCAAGCTTCTGCACAAGGGCAAGGGATCTGGAAAGGACAGGCAGACTCTTGACTGCTATGGCTGCGCCTGCGTCGAGACTGTTGAGCACGAAGGCGAGGACAAGGGCATGGAGTCGAAGCGGAAGGTCACCTACTGGGGCGGCCCAGCTTGCCAGAAGAAGGACATTTCGGTCCAGTTCTGGTTGTTCGTTCTTGTTGGCGTGACACTCGCTTTCCTGGTCTCGTCTGCCATCGGTATGCTCTACTCCATGGGCAGCGAGGAGCTCCCAAGCGTTATTGGTGCTGGTGTCAGCGGGCCAGTGAGGAAGTAAGTGGCCACATTTTAGAATCAGGCGAAGGATGTGTATATGTGGTGTAAGACAAAGCAGTCATGCGAGTAGAGCGAGTATTGTACTATCACCTGGTTTGAACAGATGCGCATGGGATCTTTGGCGTTTAGTAGCATTTCAATTGATATACGAGTAAATTCTGAATCTTAAACATGCGACTGAATCGCCCCATACCACCTGCCTGTCTGATCGGCCAACACCTGAGCGCCGGCAAATGCAATATCAACGCCCTTCTGACTACCCCTATACGCTCTCAATCGCGCACACACTTGCGTCCAGACTTCACACGTCGCGCCGAAAGGGAAGCATTCTACTTCTTCCCCTGCTTGCCAACGCTTCCCGTCGGGCCACCTGCCTGCACCAGCACAGCCTCGTCCTCGCTGCTCTTGACCTTCTCCTCATCCAGCTCCTTCATAAAGTCCGACTGAATCGTAGCCTTGCGTGCGTCCCACCACGCCTTCTCTTCATCCGTCTTGCTGAAGATCTCGCTGAGGCGCTCGCGGATGTGTGTGTTTTGCGCCATCTCAGATGCAGATTGGAAGATTGTCTGGCCCCAGTTGGGCGCGAATGCGTTGGCCTGGAACTCAGTTAGTCACACAGTTCTGCAGTAAAAAAACAGGAAGAATGCACCTCTTGAACAACATCCCTCAATTCCTCCTCCATCTCCTTCTCCGCGCGCTGAAACCTCTGCCATAAATCCTCGCCCACACTGCCCCTCTGCAGCAACACCTGCAGCGCCTGCTTCTCGTTCCTGATCTTCACAATGCGGTGGATGTCCTCGGTCGCGCGGCGCAACAGCGCGGCTTTCAGGATGTTGTCCGGTACCTTGGGGTCTTCTTGGTGCAGCAGCGAGAGGTAGATGTTGCGTTGCAGGTGCGCGGGGAACCAGGGCTCGAGGGCGGCGGCGCTGGCCATTTGCCGCTTGCGGTACAGGTTGGAGAAGACGGAGAGGGAGCCGATTAGGATGACGATGTAGGCTATGGGCACGGCGAGCATTACCCAGTCGACGAGGTCGAAGGGCCACATTTTGGCAGGTTGGGGGTGGTGGTGCTACCGTGTGGAGAGGTGGTGGACTCTTGTCTTTTTCTTCAAGTCGTCTTCTGTCGTGGACTATGCGACGACAAAAACTCCAGGTGCAGAAGGAAAGTGGTCACGGTATGTGAAGTGAATCACGGCTGCGCAACTGTAGTCTGTATGCCCAATACTGGCCAGATATTCGGTAATGGACCGGAGCTTTCGCGCTACTGACGCATCCCTGCTCGCGCGTCATTCTGCCGCCTTCGACCGCCGACTGGTCGCCTATGTAATCGTTCACCACCACCCTACATCTGCCTGCACCTTCTAGTTCCGCCTCACCTGCACTACTGCACAGTAGCTGTAGACATATTGCAGCTTCCCCTCAGCACCACAGCAGAGGCAATAGGGAAGATATTCTCATTACAAACTTACCCACCGCAGCTCTGTGTACCTTCCACATCAAACATACCCACCACGCGCTAAACCACGATGATACTCCGGTTTGTCAGTAAGGAGGGACAGTTCCGCCTCACTGTCCAGCCCGATTCGACGTTCCCAGAGCTACTTGCCCAGATCGCGGAGAAGCTGCCAAAGAGTGTGGACCTTCAGAGCGTCACAGTTAGCAACCGCCCCCAGGGAGGTGATGCGAGGAAGATATCAGAGCTGAAGGGCGTCTCCTTCAAGCAAGTTGGGCTATCGTACGGTTACACTCCAGCTTGATCTCATTATTGCTAACACCTCCTAGACACGGCGCACAGCTCTTTCTCGGGTTCGAAGATCAGTCGACCGCATCGAACGGCCATGCAACTGCCCCCACCGGCGCCAATCGCCTAAATGGCAAAGTCGTCGAAGCCTCCGATATGCCCTCCGTGCCCCTCGGTTCGCCCACACAAGTCATCAAGAATCCCTGGGAGGTAGTCAGGCAGTCGCCGCTCGACGATAAGCTGGACAGACAAGATGGCAAGATCCACAGGAAGCGAGATGCAAGGATGTGCACGCATGGTCCCAAAGGCATGTGCGACTACTGTATGCCACTGGAGCCATACGCAGCAGCGTACCTGGCCGAGAAGAAGATCAAGCACCTGTCGTTCCACTCATACCTTCGAAAAGTCAACTCTGCAAAGAACCGACCGGAGCTCGGAAGCTCGTACATCCCACCGCTCACCGAACCGTACTACCGCGTACGCCCAGACTGTCCGTCCGGCCACAAGCCATTCCCGGCGGGTATCTGCACAAAATGTCAGCCCGGTGCCATCTCGCTGAAGCCTCAAGAGTACCGCATGGTGGATCACGTCGAGTTTGCTTCGATCCAGGTTGTCGACGATTTGATTAACTTTTGGAGAAACACGGGATGTCAGAGGTTAGGGTTCTTGTACGGCAGGTATGAGGAGTACACCGAGGTACCTCTAGGCACGAAGGCCGTCGTGGAGACCATCTATGAGCCGCCGCAGGTCAACGAGCTGGACGGCATCTCATTAGGCGATTGGGACAACGAGAAGGAGATTGATGAGATTGCTGCACAGTGCGGGCTTCAGCGGGTTGGTGTTATTTTCACAGACCTGCTGGATGCGGACAAGGGCGATGGCTCTGTCATCTGCAAACGACACATCGACTCGTACTATCTGTCGTCTCTGGAGATTGCGTTCGCCGCCAGGTATCAAGCCAAGTACCCTCGACCTACCAAGTGGAGCGAGACTGGCAAATTCGGGTCCAATTTTGTCACCTGCGTAATCAGTGGTGACGACCAGGGACAGATTGGTATCTCCTCATACCAAGCTTCGAACGATGCCGTGGAGATGGTGCGAGCCGACATCATCGAGCCCTCAGCTGAGCCTTCAGTTATGCTGGTCCAGTCAGAAGACGACAACGAGGCTCTCAACCGAGCAAGGTACATTCCCGAGGTCTTTTACAGGAGAATAAACGAACACGGTGCGAACGTTCAGGAGAACGCAAAGCCTGACTTCCCAGTGGAGTATCTGTTCGTCACCCTTACTCATGGTTTCCCGACACAGCCAAACCCGCTCTTCACCGGTGGCAAGTTCCCGATCGAGAACCGTGAGATTATGGGCGAGATGCCCGACGTGTCAGCTCTGGGCAAGTCACTCAACGCGAAGGCAAATGGTCTCGCACTCAACACTACAAGCGGCCTCAACGCCATCTCTAACTTCCACATGCTGTGCTTCATCCACAATCTCGGTATCCTCTCGAAGGTATGTATAAATTTCAAAGCAAATTTCCGCCACTAACACTCTCGGCAGGACGAAGAGTCACTCCTCTTCAAGGTCGCTTCAACGCATGATACGTCAGAGGGCTCGGCACTCCAGCACACTGGAGGATGGGCGACCCTTCTAACAATCCTCAAAGAAAGTGGTGAGCGCCCCCCTAAACGTTCTTATGCATCCCCATCATTTTCCGCAACCGGCAGGGGGGCTGCTCACCCAGGCGAGAAAAATCGCCTGATGCGACAGCCCTCCCATGGTTCAGACTCCGATTCAGTACAGTTGGCTAAAAGGCTCAAGGGGGCTAGCTTAAAGGGAAAGGAGTAGAATTCCTGCAGCTATGCTTTGCCGTAGGTTCCACGACTATCGAGCGACACCGGATGAGACACGATGGTGATGGAGCAGAGGATGCATTAAGGATTTGCGATGCTGTTAAAGGTGCAGCCATGCTGGGACTCCGGCAACCGAAATGCGAGCCTTTGAGCGTGCGTAGTACTCGATAAATGCAGAATATCCCATGACAACTTTTTGATGCAGTGCGGACTTGTGTCGACGTGATTGGCTGGTGGCCTGTGCGCTCATGTGAGATCGCGTCGCGTCCGCGTTCCACTTTAACTTCATCGTGATCCCCGCAACCTTGGACTCCACCTCGACAAGACACAACCATGGCCGACTTCTTTAATCTCAAGGCACGGCAACAAGCCGCTGCACAAGCAAGCTCATCAAAGACTCCCACGAGCAAGCAAGAATCGAATCGTCTGCAACCATGGGTTGAGAAATAGTATAGCTGCACTGTATGAAAACATACAGCATGAGCTAACATGAATATGACAGCCGCCCCAAGACACTATCAGAAGTCACAGCCCAAGACAACACCATCCAAATCCTCTCACGAACCCTCCAATCCTCCAATCTCCCGCATATGCTCTTCTACGGCCCCCCAGGCACCGGCAAAACCTCGACCATCCTCGCCCTCGCAAAACAGCTCTACGGGCCCGAACTCATGAAGTCGCGCGTCCTCGAGCTCAACGCCTCCGACGAGCGCGGCATCAGCATTGTCCGACAAAAGGTGAAGGACTTTGCGCGCCAACAACTCAGCGTCGCGCCGACCTACAACGTCATGACCGAAGACAAAGACGGCGGCGAGGCAAAGATGGTGCGCTACCGGGACAAATACTCATGTCCGCCATTCAAGATTATTGTGTTGGATGAGGCAGACAGCATGACACAAGACGCACAATCCGCCCTCCGCCGCACCATGGAAACCTACAGCCGCATGACGCGCTTCTGTCTTGTGTGCAACTACGTCACGCGCATCATCGACCCGCTCGCCTCGCGCTGCAGTAAATTCCGCTTCAAGAGCCTCGACCAGGGGAATGCCGTGCGACGTGTAGATGATATCGCAAAGCTGGAGGACGTGAAGCTCGACGCCGGGGTCAGCGAGGAACTAGTCCGTGTCGCGGATGGGGATTTAAGGAAAGCGATTACCTTCTTACAATCTGCGGCACGGCTGGTGGGCGCGACGCAGACAGCAGGCAGGAAGAAGAAAGTCGTCGTGGACGACGAGGATGAAATGGACATTGACCCCCCCTCCGCGCCTTCAAAAACCACAATCTCCCTCGAGCAAATCGCCGAAATCGCAGGCGTCATTCCCGCACCCACACTCGCCTCCTTCTCGGATGCGCTGTTCCCCAAATCCGCGGCGAAAAGTATACGGTATAATGAGATCGCAAAGGTCGTGGAGAATATGATTGCCGAGGGGTGGAGTGCGAGTCAGACGGTCAGTCAGTTGTATGAGCAGGTCATGTTTGATGAGAGGGTGGAGGATATTAAGAAGGTGAGGTTGGCGGGGGTTTTTAGTGAGACGGATAAGAGGCTGGTGGATGGTGGGGATGAGCATCTTGCTGTGCTGGATTTGGGCGTCAGGGTCGCGGGTGTGCTGTGTATGGGATGAGGGAATTGGTGGGGTTCATAGAGGGGGATGGAGATGTACGCGGCGCTTTTATAGCATGGAGAAATAACGACGGGTTATGTGTATATCGTCAGGCAGTGTGGTATTGTGAGTATGTAGAGATTAGGCTTTCATGTGAGCGCGTTATACCACCATGGACATGTCTCCTATTCGCATAATAGTAGACTGGACTATCAGAAAAAGCTCGCGTACACGGTCATGTCGACGTCAGAGTACAGCTGCTTGTGGCCCTTCAAGAAACACTGGAAGCACATGCTCTAGAACCGCAGATGATTCTCTGCTGCCATGTTGCTGAGAGGGTGTGTAGCTGGATTATCTTATGTGAGCATGTTGATTCATGATAGCTACGTCTCTATCCGCATCAGAGCGGACTTGACTGCCGGACCTTCCCAGGCCGTCGAGCCCTCCCAGACTGTCTCTCAGGCATGATGAGCCACTTCATACCTTTTCCATAGAAGAACTTCACTTCCACCTCCCTTCCCAAAGCCTCCACAATACCATCCTTATACCATGCCACCTCCTCTGCAGTACACACCCGCTTACGCGGCCGTGAATCCCCATCGTCGGACCAAACCTCCACCACCACAACATCAGTCAAAACTGCCATCCCCCTTCGAAGCAGTATCCTCTGCCAGCCACAGTTGGGCCGGCAATCGCCTCTCACAGCCAGTGTGCGTATGCACGAAACGCGCTCCTCCGCATCCGCCCAGTATTCAAAGCATTCGTAATCGAACCTACATGTATTGATTGAGAACGGCAGGGTGTCTGGCGGCAGATCTGGAGTAGCGCCAAGTTGTGTGACGGCTGTGAGTGGTTGTTGGAGTCGTTCAGCTTGGCATGAGATTTGGCTGGGGATGGGCGTTATCACACCCGCCCTGGACGAGAGATATTAGATAGTGTCTCCGTGTCACGCTACATAAAGGAGAACGTGTGCCGTTCTCGTCCTATGTCCAGCGTCAGCCTGCACTATTAGGCACACGCGACCCAGTTGCCTCGTTTACGCATTTCAGCCTCTTGCCAATGGAGCTCCAGATTCACGTCCTTTCCTCCTGTTCTCCTTGCATGCTCTTCCAGATGATGCGGGTGTCGTCCCCTCTCCGCTTTGAGGCATCCAGGCTGTTTTGGGCCCATCCAGAGGCCTATTTCGAGGTTTCAGGTGCCTGGCTCATTGCTGGTGCTTACTCAGGGCATACCTTTATCGACCTCTCTTTCCTCCGCTATGTTGAGAATGTCCTTGTAGAATGCGACGCCGCTACGGAGAGGCAGATTGGCCCTGTGCACGATGGAGTCATGGTTATCCGGCAGGATCGAATCACTGCTTTCTGGGACAGCCTACTCAAGAGATGTCCTAACGCTAAGCAGGTCATTATAAATTCTTGCTGGGCGCCTCGTTCGCCAGATACGGAGACACGACCTGTGCCACGTATATGGGATATGCTAGTTCGACGCGCGCCCTTACAAATAAACACATTTGCATTTATTGCAGAAAAAGTAACCAAGAACTCAACTGCTCGTCCTAGCCACTTACTGTCACCTACACAAGAATGGCAAAGGTCACTCTATCAGCCGCTGGCATGCGGGTCTTGGAGACACGTCCAATCCGGGAGGTCGTGGAAAACTAATCTCCCACCGACAAAGCCGTTCAGCGGCCCAGTAGGACAATATATGGCATTGCAGCACAAGAACAACGTGGTCCAGCAACAACAAGACGGGTTCTGGTTGCTTATGATAGAAGCCCTAGATCGGCACTATTACGGTAAGGGAGAGAATAAGCATTTTTCGTGCCCATCAGTGAACTGTAACGCATACTTTAAGCAGGCTGGGCAGTGGTCTGTTCACGCGGCGGAAATGCATTACGACGATTGGATTGCCGTCAATCGCTTTGGCATCTTGCCTGTGGAGATGAAGAGGGAATTTGAGCAGCATGAGAGAGCCTTGCAGGAGCAATCTACTCAAACAATCCAATCTGCGAGACGTATTCAGGACAGTTGGAACAGTCAAGATGCAACAAGGCAGAAGGAAATAGAGCGTCGTTGGATTGCTCAGCTCGAGAACGATAGCACATGGGACACGGGCACTACGCCAAGGGTGAGTAGACTGTGGATAGATTCTGTGCAGCAGATGAGTGAGGCAAAGGCACAGATGGAGCGGGAGCATTCCTGACGGCAAGACTGAGACTCGGTACGCTAACGTGCCCGTGCGCGTGATGCACAGATTCGCGTGATGCACGCAGAATACTATTTCTGAGATTGCAAAAATAAAGCTATAACAACGCGTATAATAGCTATTATAATAAGATTTCTTAGTAGTTTAGTAAATAAGACCTTATAATTATTTTATACTATCTAAATTTACTTAGAAGCTTAACGTTGCAGCTATATAATATTACTTAAAGTAGTAGAGAAGATAAAGTAAGTAGAACTTAAATACTACTTATAGTATCTCTAATGCATTTCTAACGCTTCTTCTTAGAGAAAACTACTTATAAGGCTTTACGCTTACTCCTTTAAGATAATTATATAGCTTTCTTAGCATCTTATTAGTATTTCTGTTGAATGGGCTATCTATCGCGCATCGCGTATAGGTAGCAGGTTCTGTACGATCGTACGGTAACTGAGTATTGGGTATTAATTGCTTGTTGTACGATCTATGAGGCAGGCCCCCTATATAGAGTTGCTACTTCTTACCGGCCCGAATCACGTGACTACGTTCAGGCCATCCCTTCGTGCGAGAGATGCTCACAACAGTGGATATTATCAACAGATCTATTAATATTAAACTTTTTAGCATATTCTTTATACGTAAAATATTCTCCTAGTTCTTGCAAATTAATTGCTTTAATTGCAGCTTAAATTAGGTCTATATTAGTAGAGTTATCGCGTGTTAAGATATATAAGTTATGACGTGTTTTGGTGTTCTGCGTGCATCACGCGAATCTGTGCATCACGCGCACGGGCACGTTAGCGCCTGGATAGAATTAAGTAAAAAGATAACATGGAGCTCGATCTGTGTTATCTCTGCCTTACTGCGAATAGTTCTCTATTCTTTTCGTTTTGCCAGTGCTGTAGGGCTGGAAATCGCATCAATGCCAAGCGTGTTTCATCCCACGGTGCAGTATTACTGCAGCTTCGTGCATATGCTGGAACTTAGCAGGGGTATGCGAGAAAGAAAAAATGCGTAGATCTGACTCGCTGTTATGTAGTCTTTGCGGAGCTGATTCGGACGGGTTGTTTTCGGGACACAGTGTCAATGTTCCGTCGTATGCACCTCATTGCGGCGGTAGTGGTTTACATACCTAGGTAGCGGTCGTCGGCGGACATGGTGACAATGACGCGTCCAGTAGGCTGTAACTTTGATTAAAGGATACTGAGTTGATTGGCTGGGCAGGCGGAGTCCGTAAGCCATTCACATTTTCTTTATTTAGGCGTCGTGGGGTCTTGGAGTGCTTAAGTCCCGAGGTTGTCCCGCAAACGAAAGTGTTTACAACCTCAGAAGTTCAGGTGGTGGCAGGTCATCTGACCATGCCTGTGCCCAGACATAGCATGCCCTAACGCTAATAGGCAACGTATATTTTCTTCTCTAAGATACCCTATATAAAAACCTTCTTAGCATAATTAGCGCGCACAGTATATATTTAAAGAGTTAAGAATTAATTCTTAATTAATTTATAGTTCATTTACAATTAATTTAATAACTTAAATTTAGAAGCTACTCTACTATAGCTAACTCTTCTCTCTTCTTTCTAATTATTAGTACTAACGTTCTAATCATTAATATAGATTTTTTTAATCTAGACTTTAATAAGACTAAAGGTTTTAAGCAGCTTAAAGACCCTATAATAGAGGCACTAGAGGAGGTTAAAGAGATAATAAGTACTTTAAATTAATTAATAATTAATTTATAGCTAATTAGTCTAGAAACGTTATATAATAACGTCTGGCAATAGGAATAACAACGCTCTCTAGGCTAACTACCTTAAATTCCTAGCTGTAATCTCTGCCTACTCTCGCTCTAGCATTAATAGCTATGCATCTATTATCTAACTAAATAGCTTAGCTATGCAGCATCTAGGATAGAAGATACAATTAGAGCGTACTAAAAGTATAAGTATTCGCGCGAATTAATTATTAATTAATTATTAATTAATTTTCTACTAGTTCTAGTACTGCAAGGCTATTAAGATAAAAAAGAAGACTACCTTCTATCTACTATTAAATACCTAGGCCTATTGCTAGGTTCTGCACTGCACAGAAGTTCAGACCTATAAATTTATTAATAATAAATTGCAGATTTATTCCTATGCTAAGATTAATAATAACCTCTATAATAAAATCTGCTAATACAAGAGCACTATTACTTAGCTTAAGCTTAATCTATTAAAGCGTAAGGCTAAGAACTTCTTTAATGCACTTATAAGGCGCTTTATTACTAGATATTATAATGCGCTAACTAAAGCATGCTACTTTAAGCTTACTATATTAAAGAGGACAGTAAGTTACCTAAATTAATTATTAATTAATTGCTAATTAATTTAGCTGCTAACTAGTACTCTATGCTAGCTTATAATATATAATGCCTAGATATCTAGAACTAAACACTAGGTTTAAAATATCCTAAAGAATGCAGATCTTAAGTACTTACGCGCTCTAATTAGTAGCACTGCTAAGCCTCCTTAAGAGCGCTATATAATAGTTAAGCTACTAGTCTATCGCACCTCTAAGTATAGTAAGTTAATTAATAAATTTATTACTAATTAATTCTAAGTTTATTTAGGCATAAACTATATCTAAGGCTAAAGCTAAATAGTTAAGCAGAAATGTAATATTATATTTAATATTATTATCCTAGTAAATACTATACGTATTCTATATATTATAGTTATCTTAACTAAGATGCATACTTATATCCTACTCTTACTATAAAAGATTAACAGAGATAAGATAGACATAATTATTAGCGTTCTTTAGCCTATATTAAGTCCTGCAATTACTAGAAATACATTTTAGCGCAATTAATTACTAATTAATTACTAAATTATTATAGCTTCCTTTCTATTCTCCTTTCTCTTCTAAGCATACCTTGCACAGCGTAGCTATTAGTCTATAGAATAACTAAGCACTACGCTTACTAATAAAGACTAGCTTATGCGTCTTATTTACTATAAGAAGCTTCTAAAGTTTCTATATAGTAGTAGCTTTAAGAGTATATTATTTAAATAAAGAACTAACTACTAGGATAAAGAATATATAAGCATACGTACTAAATAAATTAGCAATAAATTCTAAATTATTTTAGGCCTATATCTAACGCGTGCTCCCTGCAATTAATAGAGATATTATTATTTATATATTTAAAGATTAAGCAAAGCTGCTTATAAAGCAGAACACGTTCTAAGTTAACATGTTATTTAAGAGGTTTAGAGATAGCTAGTCTAAGATTCTCTTTGCTTTATTTCTTAAGAATTATAGAAAGAGTATAAATTTATTTCTAATTTATTGCAAAGTAATCTTACTAGAATATAGTTTTTATATATAGTCGTATTATTACTAATATCTAGACCTTAGCTATATATAAGAAAGCATTTATAGCCTACTTTAAGGTTATTAAAGAGCTCTTAAGGCAGAAGTTCTAATAGCTGCATATCTACTATAATAGCTGTGTAGAAATCACTATTAATATAGATATAAAACAGATAGCTAGTTCGTAAATTAATTATTAATTAATTTATAATTAACTAATATTTATAGGCTTTAGGCAATACCTCTCTGCTATTAACCTAAACTATATAGAGTAGCATAAATAGCTTATAAGCTATATACGCTTCTATAAGATTTACTTTCTTTATAGTATTAATAAAGTTATACCTTATATACCTTATATAGAAGACTCTAAGTAGAGACGTATACGTACTCTCTTAACTACTAAGAGCGCTATAGAGTATATAGAATTATATAATCTTCTAATATATAAGTATTAGCAATTAATTTAGAATAAGTTCTAAATTAATTTAGTTACAGCATTAAGTAATGCTATAGAAGAGTAGGCAAGGCATAAGCAGAACTATGTTATTATAGCTAGCTTAAATGTTTACTATAGTTGCATAGGCTAAGCTATATAGAATACTCTTATCTCTTACTCTAATGCTGTTAAATAAGCAGCGTTAAAGAGGTACTACACTAGGCAACGCTATATACTTCTTATAGAGTTAAAGATATATATAGCATCTAAATTTATTATTAATTAATTAATAATTAATTAACATTAGAGAGCAGAGGAATGCATATAGATAAGCAGGATATTTAGAAGTAGAAGGCTTATAACTAAGCTAGTATACGCTATAACTTACGCAAGCTACTTAAGTTAAGAGATAGGTATCTTAAGAATATAAGTAGAGAGCTAAGCAGTAAGTTTTGCTTAAATAAGTTATTAATAAATTTTAACTTTATTTAAGAGCGTTGTAAGAGTAGAGCTACTTAGGAGATTATTAAGATATTAGATAATAAGAAAGATATGCTTAAAAGCCTAGAGAACTTTAGTTTAAGTAGAGCAAAGTGCTTACGCTCTTGCATAAAGATAAGTAAAGCTAAAAAAGTAGCGTGCATAAGATTATACTAGTTATTGCCTCTTAGAAGCTTACCTATATGCAGGTTCTCTCTACTAGCAAGATACTATTTAGACCTAAATTAATTACTAATTAATTGCTAACTAATTGTAGCTTAGTACTTAATATAGTTAACCTTAAGCGCTAATAATTTAATGCAGAGCGTAAAAGAACTATTCTTAATAGAGAGAAACGTTAGTTTAGAATTATAGAGAAAGAAGCAGAGTTAGCACTTTATACGTATAAGTTAATTATATAATAAGAGCAAGAGAGGCTATAGATAAGTAGAAGAGTTAAAAGCAGTTTACATTTAATCCTAATTAGAGAAAGGCATAGATCTGCAAGCAACTAACTATTAATTAATTGCAAATTAATTATTTAGCAGATTAGATATGCAGTAACCTATAATAGTCTAGTAGTATAAAGAGTTTTTAACGCTAAATTAAAGCTATCTACTTTTCTCTTATCTCTATTCTCTACCTCTATACCTAATCTAAACTATAATAATAGCAAATAACTAGTTGCGTAATAGTGTAAGTATCACTAAAGCTAAATTAATTATTAATTAATTCTAAAATAGTTTAGCTAATCTACTAGCAATATACTGCACTAGCTACTTCTCTGCTTAAGTTAACACTATTTATAGCTATAGATAATCAGAAGCACTATCTTCTTACTGCTAGTAAGCTCTTCTATTAAGCTCTAGTTAAAGGTAGCAATATAATATATTATATAAGTAATATTTTGCTTTAAACGCATAGTCTTAAATTAATTCTTAATTAATTTAGAAAAAGTTCTCCTTACGTAATGCTCTTAGTAATTATATGCGTATATATTATCTTTCTTTCTCTCTAGCAGTTACACCTAGTAGGCTAATATCTATAAAGCAAATAGCAGAAGAACTTATATTTATTTAGGCTAAAATAGAACGCTATTACTCTCTAGAAAGAGAAGCTAATTAAGAGCAAACTCTCTACGTCGCAGAATTAGTTATAAATAAATCCTTAATTTGTTCCTCTTCTAGTTTAGCATAATAGAGTATGCTAGCATATAGAACACAGCTAGAAGCTGTTAAGCTAGAGATATTAGTCTCTATAGATAAAGCTAATTATTAGATAGAGGAAGAGTAAGGTAAAGAGAGCATAGTATCTGCTAATAATTAGTTACTAATTAATTCTAAACTACTCTTACTACTACTATAGCAGATACCTATCTATAAAGAAACAAATAAAGAAAAGCAGCAGAAGAGAGAGCAAATTAATATATATAAGTCTTACTAAGCTCTTATTGCATATAGCTATTATAGTCCTTATTAGAATTGCAGAAAGAAGTAAGTAAAGAGGTATTTACTTAAGAGGCTATATTTAAATAAGTAGCTTTTTATATTAGGCAATTTATAGTTATGTAAGAATCTACTTTAATTACTCTACATAATGCCTAAAGGCTTAAATGCATTAGAAATTAATTGCTAATTAATTCTACTAACAGCAGCGAACTTAGAAGTTGCTAAAGCGAAAGAGGTAAGTAGAGAATAAGCCTAAGCTAGAAGAACTGTAGAGAGATATCTAGTCTAACTCTAAATTATATAAGAACTTAGATAAGAGCTCTAGCTAGTTATAAATTAGCATAAATTAATTATTAATTAATTATTAGTTAATTTAACATACTAAGCTGCTGCTAACCTTAGAGCTAGGAGGTTCAACACTCTTAGCGTTAAAGCTTAGTGCAGAAAGAGAGAGAAAGCTATAGCTAGCAACCTAATCTTCCTTAAGCTCTTTATTATCCTAGTTATATATTAGCAAGAATAAATTATAAATAAATTCTAAATTCATTTAACTTACAGAGTTAGAGTCTAATAAAGAAGAAAGGAGGAGGCTATTACTAGGCTACTTATCATTCTTATTACTATCAAGATCATTATCCTAGTTATATATTAGCAAGAATAAATTGTGAATTAATTTTAAATTCATTCTACTTACGCTGCTGAAATTAAAGAAGAGGTCCTTATTATTATCTCTAAGGCTATTATCTCTAAGGCTACTACCCCTAAGACTACTATTATCCTAATTACTCTTATCCTTATCCTAGCTATATATTAGTTTAAATAAATTATAAATAAATTGCAAATTAATTCTACTTATAGAGCTTAATAATAAGTCTAATAAAGAAGAGTTAGACTTATTAGCTAGCGCGTTGTCCTTAGCAGCTAGCTCTATCTAGAGGTCTCTATTCTTATAGAGCTAGTATAGGCTAAGCCTAAAGTAGTTATACTCTATAATAAATTAGCAATTAATTTTTAATTAATTCTTAATTAATTTAGCTATAAGCATACTTACTATTAAGCTTCTCTTTCTTACTAATCTTAGCATCAGCTACACAGCTCTTATAGGAAGATACTCTTCTAAGAATTATTATATAGGCTGCGTGTATGCGCATTAAGTCTAGCTATATCTTTATTAGAATTAATTAGGAATTAATTAGCAATTAATTTAACTTACTACGCTGTTAAGCAGCAGCACTATATGCTATAGTAAGAGCTAAGAGACTATAGCCTAGGCTGCTATAATATTAGCTTATGCAGCAAGCAGTAACGCAGCAGTAAGGTCGTATGTATTTATAATATTACTCTAGAATACTAAATTAATTAGCAATTAATTGCAAATTAATTCGCTTATATTACTTTTCTCCTAGATTATAAGATAAGAGGTAGGCAAGCTAACTCTACTAGCTGCCTCTACTCTCAGACTATAGTTCTAAAAGAGGTAGTTCTTTAGGTTTCCTAGCCTGCTATAAGGACTGCTCTATTACTTTATTAGAATTAATTAGCAATTAATTAATAATTAATTTATACACTATATAGCGCTCCTAGTGCTAAGAGAACCCTGCACCTAACCTTACTTAGGTACAGAATAGGCTTACTAGCTAGATTCTGCGCAAAGAGGCCTATGCCTATAGAGAGCACTCCTAGGCGTTAGTATCTCTTATATAGCTTCTAGAATAAATTATTAATAAATTGCTAATAAATTTATACAGCAGCACTTACATATCCGTCTAAAACTATAGTAATATTATTAGCAGCTATTATAAAAAGTATGCTGCTTAGTATGCAAAATTTAAAGGCAGTATAGTATGTATTATAATTGCAGTTGCAACGCAGTAGAATTAATTAGCAATTAATTAATAATTAATTGCAGCAGTTTCTATAGAAACTCGCTTAGCTACTAGTAGCTGATGTTATGCCGCGCACAGACCCTTAGCATGCCACTCTTAGCACGCGCATGGTCAGATGACTTGCTTCCTGGAAGTTCAGGTTGATCGGGATGGATGCGTCATGGTGTTCTGCGTGTATTATGCGAATCCATGCATTACATGCACGGACACCTTACACGTTACTGTTCAACGTGCATCCATGGATGCCATTGCTACCAACTCCGAACTTTCTTGGCGTCAGAACGACATAGGAGAAGGCATTTATAGAGGTTGATTATCAACTCAATTATCTTTACCCTCTCTTCAATCCAGTCAAGTAGTGTTCTTCCAACGCAAGCAACCAAACTTGCACTTCAGTCTACACTACAGTCTACACGACAAAAGCATTTGTTCTGGTCTCAAACCTTCACCATGTTATTCCAATCTCAAGTCCTTCCAGTCTTTCTCGCATTGGCCGCAGTTACGCACGCTGCCGCAGTTACGAAACCTGATCGCCTGGAGAAATACGCTCATGCCAAGGAACCCTGTACACCTGAGGAGGTAGGGTTCTGCCAAACATACGTACAAACGAGCACCTGGTACGATTACAGAGATTGCCGACATTTTGGGTAAGCACAACCCACCGTCTATACATTACCTTTCTAACCCACGTTTAGGGCTAAGCAAGAAACAACACATGGCGAGCTTGGACCTATGTGCGTTTATGATTTTGGTTGTCCCCATTACTGTAACGATGGGGATACGGGCTACATTCTCGCTCCGTAAGTCTTTTTCTACGTACTTCGACTCTACAACAGCAACGACTAACGAATGAAGGAATACCGGAAATTATACATGCGCTTGCTACCTGGGATAGACGATTCGTTTCTGTTATCGGGCAGGCTAGATACGATCTGTTGCGAGTTTCTACAGAGCAGATAGATTACAGTCTGTTAGAGTCAAATTAGGCGCAACTCAGAAGCCGCCATTTCCAAGTACATAGACTTGCCTTCTTGTAGCCTCACTATCGCTCTCGGTGATGTTGCTCGGATTTGCGCATTGTGGAACTTGCACGTGGACTCATTAAGAGCGACACCGGCATGTCTTTAATCAACAGGTCTTACCACACCAAGAATCCTGTAATCCTTCACTCCTCCTTGAGCTGTTTCTTTTCGACATCTCGACTTCTTGATCGCCTCTCAGAATAGCCACGCTCAAAGTGAACGACGAAAATGTAAGATATCGTGGGGACGTGCTGCCCGACTACGAGAAACTTTGGCTTGGAGAGGGTTTTTGAAAGGTAGATGAAAAGATAGAAGGTGCCAGGAGGCCGGTGGTCAATCAAGAGATCTGTACGGAAGCCCTCCACCGAGAGTTGATGTAGGCAACAGAGGACAGGGTGCGCTTGTTCTTCCTCAACCCATCTACGTGAAGTAGATGGAATCAATGAAAAAAAGCCCATAAAAGTATGGCAAGTAGTCCAGCAAAAATTGCCCCGCCTGTGCCCCCGAAGGAGAACAGTATCCAGCCCTCACCGCGCTGTGCAATGCAGGAGAGCCGAATAGATCAACCCAATCGATGAGCTGGGTGATCGCAAGAAGGTAAGTATGAGAAGTGGTAGAGGGGGCGGGGAGCGCGCGGGTTTTATGCTCGCGGTGCCAAGCGCGCTAGTGGAAATGGACTGTGCGTCCTCCGTGCGCTGACCGTGCGGAGTGGGTCAGTGTGGGTATGGTTCCATGGTTCGGCGGTGAAGGTTACACAGACAACGGTGCCATCGTATCGACCAACAGGCAATCGTGAAGGCGTATGCGCTGCTCAGAATTTTTCGTTCCTGGAACCATGGTCCGTCCCATGCTTACTTAGGTTTATGTAATTCCACTCACTCGTCTGATCTTCTCGCAGTTGGTCGTTGATTGGATGAGACCTCGCTCCATTCCAAAACTCCTTTCAACCACGATACCGAATTCCTATACATGATTTCGTATTCCACATGGCGAGCCATGCGCACAGTACCACATCATCGTGATCAGGATATCTGGGGATTACGTAGACATTTTGCTCGCATCTTCCGTAGCGTTTCCACCCGCGAAGGTATACAGGGTTCAATCGAGTGCCCGTTATACACAGAAACGTGGAAAGCTGCTCACTAGCTCTACCATCTATGATACTGACTACCATGGTATCAATTAATCAGTGTCTGGATTTCATATGTTTTAGCAATGCAGACTGATAAAAAGCCCACCATCCCTCGTCTCTTTACTTCTTATCCATCGTCACAAATCCCCTTCATACAAAAAAATTAATACTCATACAATCGTCTACATCCACCATGAGCGAACACATTTCCAGCAAAGCTGCGTTGACTGTGCGCAACCGCTATGGCTCACCTCTCTTGAGTCTTCCCGGAGAGATTCGCAACCATATCTACGACTTCGTCTTTAAGACGTCGTCCACGATATCAAGTATCCAGAAGAACTCCTCTGCGAAGAGCCCGACATCCCCTCAGACTATGTCAAGCCAAGATATGAAGAGACTCCCTCATCATATCTCGGCCTCCTCACTTCCTGTAGCGCCATCTACAAGGAAGCACATATCCTGCCCTTCACGCTGCCGACCTTAAAGTTCGGCTCAGTTCACGACTTCATGCGGTTTCATGCCGGATTGACCTACGTACAGCGCAGCGCCATCAAGCGCGTGCGCTTCGAGATCCAGGGTGCCAACCCTGACATCGCCCACGTCGACCACCAGGCATTACGTGGTAGCGATGGTAGCCCCGCACCTAGACGTGCGGGCAACGCAAATGAGGTCAAGAAGCACGATGACCGGAAGAAGCAAAGCGCTTCAAAAATGGAAAGGCAAGTCACCAAGGCGCAAAAGACTGCCGCTAAGAAGGCGAAGAAGGGCAAAGGTAAAGGAAAGGGAAACTTCAAGGGCGAGGGAAACACCCTTCAAGAGCTGGATGAAGAGGAGACTGCTATCGTCCACAAGGGCGCAAAGAGAAGTCAGCGGAGTATCTCCCTGCTTCTGCCCTGCTTGGAGCAGGTTGAGGTGGTTTACAAGCACTACGGAGCGAAGTGGTATGGTCTGTCTGAGACTGACCAATCAGATGAGAGGATCAAGCAGTATGCTGATGAAGAGTGGAAGACGACGAACAGGGAGCTGTTCGAGAAGTGGCTGGAGGGTGACGCCTCTGAGAAGACAAGGGTAGTGTACTTCCCATGGGCTTGGGACCGCGAGAGTGCCCCGCTGGAGTCATTCGCCAGGGATTATGACGGGCTCCTGGCGGAGGATGATGCGTAGTGGAAGGCTAGTGGGTTGCAATATGAGTTGTCGTTCATGTCACGAAAAGCTTGGGTATAGCTTCAGGAGCGTTCATCGCCTCATTGTTCTGAAGCACATCTACCTAGCCTAATTCTATCTTCTACGTCTATGTTGCCTCATCCGTGCCGCTCTTTCACCTTCCGCAACTCACCTCAGTCGCAAAGTACGCGGGCCTCTGTAGTGCCTTTTTACGAGTACCTAGGAGCCTGTGCAACACACCGCACAAATCGATGCCCGGCATCATGACGAACGCTGCAAGCCTCCTACAACAATACAAAATGTCAGAAATATGCCCGACATACACCTTTGAATCGCTTCAGGAGTCTCTGTCGTTCAAAGATATCTGCAACATGGTTGCCTAGATAATGGTACACGCTGGCTCGGATCATGTCGTTGCATCAACCCTTCCATTCACACTGAACGCTAATCAACGCACTGCCAGCTCAATCTCGCGCAAAACTTCTTGTGCTCTCCATCTCCTACCGCACTCATACTCAACCATTGTACCAGCTCGGCCCTCTAAACCATGTCCTCACACCCGCCCGGTAACACTGCAGTGTCGCATGATGTCCCTACTGTCGTGTACGCCACCAAAAACCCTTCTTTACGTATAAATCGCTAACCAGCTCTCGTAGCCCCTCCAGGAAACCCCACATTTACCCATTTCTCGACCTCCCAGCGGAGCTGCGCAACCAAATCTACTCCTACGTCTTCGGCGACAGATTGATCGTCATATGCCCCGACCCCCTCAAGTCCAATGGTGTGACCGGCGAGATCTATCCCGGCACTGGAAGCGACTGCGTCAATGCAGAAAACGTCAGCCCTCGGCGCCCCTTCCACACCTTCGCACTCTTGAAGACTTGCCGCCAAATCAACGCCGAAGCTAGCACGCTTCCCTTTGAGCTGAACACGTTTGTTCTGGGCTACGACGACGCACTGGAGAGATGGACGAGGACTCAGGTTCTAGCTGCTCGTGTACGTTCGATTCGTAAAGTGAGGCTCGGGCTTTACATATTGTTGCCTCTCTACATAGATGGGGGTTTCGCGGTGATGGTACAGGCATTGGCCGAGTTCGTTGAACCTGAATCTGTGGAGGTACTTGCAATGTCGAAAATGCCTGGGGTACAAGAGCCCTTTGTCGTGTTGATGAAGGAGAAGGTGACAAAGGTGGTGAAGGATGCGATGGGGCAGGAGGTGGAGGTCCTGATTGCGCAGCGGTAATGCAGGGGATCAGACGACTGTAGTGCCTGGCACCATGCGGGATAATGATTCGTGTATATTCTCAAAAGCTGCAGTGAGTAACAACGTGATAGTAATGCTAGAGTTTTGATATGTCCAGCCACCTTTTAGCAGTCATCAGTCGTCTCGTAAACCTTCTAGGCTATTCAGGCTATTTTATCACACAAGAGAATCTAGTAGTCCATCATTGCCCCAGCCATGCGTCTCTGATACTTCTCCACCACCTCCTGACATCTCACCACCACACCCGCTGCAAGAACTCGTACTCGTTCATCCTCCTCACTGCCCGTACCTAAGTTCTCAAACACCATCTTCACCCAAGCTTGCGTCTCCATCAGCTCTTTACCCTGATCTGTCGCGATTCTCTCCTTGTTTTCATTCGTCTCGAGTACCATCAGGAAGCCGAATAGCAAAGCGTTAAGAACTTGCTTATCTTTTGAAGCCAGTCCACGAACCGATAGCAACAGATCCCAATACTCACGCGTCATTTGCGGCAGGGCGAGGGTATTTGGGCCAGATGCATTCAGTAGAAGCGAGAGTGTTTGTAAAAACGGTGGGAGTAGATGCTTAGACGCGTATAAGGAGTCGCTGCTTGAGCGAACCTGCAGCCACCATCGCCCTGTGAGTGGGAAGAAGAAGTTCTCGGCCACGATCTGTGCAAGTGCATTTGGTATCGGCTTCTGCCTCTTCTTCGCGACCTCCATGCGCGAGCTGAACGTTCGAACTTTGAGGATGTTGGGGCCACTGAGTTGATCGGCGGCTTGTGAGGCGAGTGGTGAGAGCATTTCGCGCGCCATGCTGCTTGATATCTTGGCCACTGGATTTGGGTCTTTGTTCTCGGCGTACATTTTGTGTAAGTGTGGTGGCAGTTGTTTGCTGGGGAAGGAAGCAGCGGGAGGGAGAAGATTTTCGGTTGACGAGTCTTTGAAACCGGCAAGATCGCGAGCTCCAAGACCGAGTGTAGTGAGCATGGCAATGCGTTGTGTCAAACTGTAGTCGCCCGAGAAGAACGATCGGGCGAACCATTGAGCCATCTGCGCTGGTTTTGCAAGTAGCACAGCGATGAGAGCTTGCTGTCGCTGCTGTGCAAAGTCCTCCAGTTCCAAGTTGTCTTGTAAGCCTGTGAGTATGGTCGCGAGCTCATCAAGATGATCAGTGACTTCTGTGCCAAAGGCCGCTTTGCGTCGAATCAGAGACGCCGCTGTAGATAGCGCAAGAGTGTGTCGATCGTAATTCTCTTGGTCGCGCAAACCGGCTATAAGGTCGCGAATGTAGACTGGTGCTGTGGGCTTATTACGAGTTACCACAGTTGGATCATCATCCTCGTCCTCTGGGTCAGAGTCTGGCTTCTCGTATACCATCAAATCGTCGTCCTCGTCTTCTGAACCAGACAGTACCTCAACAATACGAGGTCCCTGTATCTCGGTAATGGATGGCTTCGAGATGCCTTCAGGCTTCCTGGCCTTCTTCTTGGACGGCTCAACTACTGCTCCGCCCCTGGTAGCGGTCTTGAGATCCGATATGCTGCCCAAAATATCGTTGACGTTCGTTAGGCGCTCATACCATTTTGCCTCGTTTGCATCTGCATCTTCCAACTCAAATCTGAGCTGCAGCTCTGGCTTGTCTGTCATCTTTGAGATGGCGATGCCGGTTGCTATACCAAGGAACCGTGTGCGTGCCGATGTCGCACTGATGCGATTTGACATGCCATTGATATGGTACGATGATTTGGCCATCATAGTGAGGAACATTGGTTGATCTCGTTGAACATAGCCTGCACAAAGGGCTAGATTTTGTGCCAAAGCTGGTCATAGTCAACAAGGGATAAAAAGCCATACATTTCCTCTCATACCTTCTTGTTGTAGCACTGGTACGTGCTTGATGAAGACAGGATCACCGAACATCTTTATGCAATTCTCGAGTAACGTATGCAGCCTGTCTATTGGGCCTTAGTATTTCAAATCGTGTAGTTGCGTTGGCTTATTACCTTTGTCAGGCGCCAGTGCCGCCATGACACTCCTGCGTGCAGCTAACGAGTCATCCAGCGATGGTATCGTAGAACGAGTGAGTATCGACACAAGATGATCCCTCAGACTCTCATTTTCTCTAGTCAACATATGCAGCAGGGATGCCACACCAGAAACATCCTTGGACATCGGAATGGGTTCGTCTTCACGTTGGACGATATCTGCAGGGAAGTATTGCTTTACAATGAAGATTATCACCGCTTCGAGATACTTCCGTTGCTCGTAGGGTTTCAATCGCGGCAGAAAGGCTGCCAAAAGCGCTGCGGAGTCTGATTCGAGTAGCGATGATGTGAGTGAAGAGATCACGCGATCTACACTGTCAGTTAATACAATCAGGGGTAATGAACTTCACTGACCTGTGTAGCCCAAGGTAAGAGCCTTGGAACATAAATCTACAACTGCAGATTTCGAGATACCGTTTTCGCTGTTACTTACTTCCCTGAGCATAAAAGCAATGTTACGCCCGAGCCAGTCTGCATATGCGTTGCCATCAGCAAGCCAACTAGCTATCCGTGAAGTACCCTTGCTTTTAAGCACATCTTCAGCTTCCGCGGTTATTGATATGATGCGACCGGAAGCAGTCTGGGAGAGATACTCGCGCCATATCAGCTTCTTCTTGGTTTCGGTCCTGCCATGAGCTTCAGTGTCGCGGAGAACCAAGCTTGATGTGTCATCGGCATGAAGTGTTACTTCCAACACGCCAAGCAGGTCTTCAATGTTCTCTGCTTGGTTCTGTGCTTCTCCAGCAGACCTCTTTTGTCTACTATCAGCAACGAGAGACCGCAGACGTGTGATGATGTGGCCTAAACCAGTGGGATTCCGTAAGATTCTAGCAAACGATTTCGCCAATGGAGACTTCCTCAAGGGCCGCCAATAATTTGGCAGAGTGTCGCTGACGAGCTGATGTGCGATGCTTGCGTTGAGCGGCTCCGGGAGTAGGAGACTGAAGCCATCAGACGTCATGTATTTCAGCGCATTCGTGACAGTCTCCTGGCTTGGTTGGCTTTTCAGAGCTTCGAGGGCTGAATTTGCTGAGTCGATATGGACTGCGTCTTGTATGCTGAGACTTTTGATCTCATGTAGTTGAGGCTCTGGCGCTTTGACATTCTTAGTCGATACCGCAGTCAGAAAATCAGTCATGCTGATTAGATACGACCAAGCTCAGCTTCTTTTGCACGCGATCAAATTTAACCTTTGGGCAAATCGTTCACGGATAGTAACAACCCTGATCGTCGTGAAGGTCAGACGTGGATGATGGTGAATGCATGGTGTCACTCGGCAATTCCTTCCAGAAAACACACCGCGCCACTAGCGCGTTTGCGTGCCCCACGCTAGGTTCCTGACCCTTGCACCGGTGCCTACAACACTATTTGCTTGACTTGATTTGACTTGCACCACTTTCTGTCTCAACATCCGGAAGATGGCTGTTAACGTAGACACTATAGCTGCCGGTTCAGAAGCGCTGCCGCGTGCACGATGGTATGGATCTTGTTTGGCCAGAATTAGTCACTCGATCTAACACTATTACAGGAAGTACCTCGATAACTTCCTTACGCGGACCGGTCCATTTACAGATGAAGATGCTTTTGTACCCGGAGACGCAGCCATCTCTGGCTTGGAGCGGAACAAGATATTGTAAGCTGAGACATTACATGCTGTGAAGTCGAAATGGAAACTAACACAACGTAGAGTCATGTGAGTATTTGTGCGTCAAAAAGACGAGATTGGACTAACAAATGGACAGCGGAGCAGGTGGTCTGGGTTGCGAGATTCTCAAGAATCTCGCGCTTTCCGGCTTCAAGGATATCCACGTGATTGACATGGACACGATCGACGTCTCCAACCTCAATCGGCAGTTTCTCTTCCGTGCTTCAGATGTCGGCAGTTACAAAGCCGAAGTCGCCGCCAGGTTCGTCGAGAAGCGCGTAAAGGGTGTCAAGATCACTCCCTACTGCGGCAAGATTCAAGACAAAGATGAAGAGTACTACATGCAATTCGGCATGGTCGTATGTGGTCTAGACAGCGTTGAGGCGCGGCGATGGATCAACGCGACACTCGTCGGCATGGTAGATGGTGACAACCCGGACTCGCTCAAGCCTTTAGTTGACGGTGGTACCGAGGGCTTCAAGGGTCAGGCCCGTGTTATTTTCCCCACTATAACATCATGCATCGAGTGCCAACTTGACATGCACGCTCCGCGTGCTGCCGTACCTCTGTGTACCCTAGCTACTATTCCCCGTCAGCCACAGCATTGTATCGAATGGGCGCACATCATAGCCTGGGAAGAGCATCGCAAGGACGACACACTCGATACTGATGACCCAGAGCACATTACGTGGCTGTACCAGAAGGCGCTTACCCGCGCGAAGGAGTTCAACATCGAAGGCGTCACATACAGCATGACGCAAGGCGTCGTGAAGAACATCATTCCGGCTATTGCAAGCACGAACGCCATCGTCGCGGCGAGCTGCTGCAACGAAGCTTTCAAGATCGCCACAAACACCAATCCATTCATCGGCTATCCTGGAAGCGACAACTACATGATGTACACGGGCGACGACTCTGTGTACACGTATACCTTTGAGCACCAAAAGAAAGACGACTGTCCCGTCTGCGGTGCTGGCAATATTGCTCGACCGCTGCAGATTAACCCCAACACCACACTACAGGAGTTCATCGATGGTTTGGCTGAGCGACCAGAAGCGTAAGTTCAATCTCGTTCACTTGAAGTTCCATTTGCTGACAAATCTCAGTCAACTCAAGAACCCAGCGATTCGCACAGGTGAAAAGTCTCTGTGGATGCAGCTTGCCAGCTTGCAACAGCAGCTGCGTCCGAACCTTGACAAGAAGATGTCGGAGCTTGTGGAGGAGGGCGAGGAGCTCACGATTACGGACAAGAGCTTCCCGACGCAGTTCAAGTACAAGGCTGTGTTCTCGAATTAGGATGCGGACTCCTGATAGTAAGACCATGTGTCTCAAGTTGCAGATCAAGTCGGACGCATCTTCTTAGCTTTGTGAAACTGCTACAATAGCTTATAATACTTGAGAAAACGCGAAAATTCGCAGTCAGTGAATGAATTCAGACGTCTCGGTGAAGTTGTTGAAGCATCTAAGAGATAGAGCAGTGGATGCGGTGGGACTTGTATACTCGATTATCTCGGGCATTACTCATGTACGGTCGGATCACATGGCAGAACTGAAGTAAGATCATAATGCACCTATCATCATTCATGTGCGTGAACTGTACAATCTCCGAAGTATATCCTACAGTGTTCTCACCATCTATTGTACAATGGCTTCAGGCTTCTGCTCAGTTTCCTGCTTCTGCTTCTGCTTCTGCTCAATAGGAGTTCCGTCCTTTGCCGCTTCCACATTTCCCTGAGCTTCCTCCTGAGTCTCCTCCTGAGCCTCCTCCTGCCCGAACGGCGCATCGTCGCCGTCTGGCACTCTCCTGACCTTCAGATGTGCCTCTGCGCCAAACATGCCCACCACACCAATCGTCTTCTCCAGCCTCCCCCATATCTTGACCGGCGGTGACTCTCCCCTAAACAGCTCTCTTCCCTCGTGTATCAATTCTTGCGCCGCGAAACTTCCCGGTGCATACTTGGGCTCGTACGGCACGCGATCCCACTCCTTCCTCTGCAGACGCATCAGGTTGTGTATCATCCCATCCGAAAGCGTTGTGGCAGGATCGATTTCAGACAACTTGGTGGACGGCCCAGAATCCCCGTCTTTGCCCTTTTCGCGCTTCTTTGGTGCTCGGTCTTTTCCCCTGTCGCCACCTTTCCCACCCGCTCGACCTCGCAGGTTGGGTCCGCCACGTGCGCTGCCCACCGTGGCATTGGCATTGCGATTCCTGAGCATATTTGGTGCGCGAACCATGCGGCCTCCTTCGGGAGGGGCGGAGCCGTGGGTGGTGGTAGGGCGGGCACCGAATCTAGCCATGCGTGGGCCTGCTGCACGAGTGTCTCCTGCTTCCGATGCCGCAGGAGAGGCCCCAAAGCTCGAGGGATTGTATTCTTGGGAGGTTCGGCCGGCCGTTTGGCCGCTGGGAAAGCTGCCTCTTGCTAGGCCGCCGGGTTGGATGCGCCGGTTTTGGAGGTTTTTGATTTGTCTGAGGGCGGCTTCGGAGCGGCCACGACGGGTGGGAGGGATAGAGGAGGCTGTGTGCGGGTCAGAGAATTTGCCTAAATGAGTGAAGGATATGTAGAGAACTTACCGGGCTGTGATGATGCTCCATCGCTGGGTTGCTCTTCGAAGTTTCTGGCCGAGCTCGACAGCGACCTTGTGCAAGTTTTGGATATCGTGGCGACATCAACGGTCAAGGAGCGCCGTATTGCACCCATTGAAGGGCAGATTTGTCGTTGTGCCATGGCGCAATGGCTGAGACGCTGCTTGATGCTGTCGCCAGCATAGTCAACTTTTCGAGATCGCGATGTCTTGGCATGCAGCGATCATCACATGACGCATGTCCCCTCTGCTGCACACGTGCCCTGACCTTCACTCATGTACACCCCGCAACTCTGTTTGTCCTACCGAGTCACAATTCTTATCGCGCAATAGACGGGCCCTAATACCTCTTATCGTCTCATCGGGCGTGTAAACAAAGCTGCTCACCCTCACCGCATCCTACTTTCGGCACGACCAGACTACGACAACAACCCGCGGGCATGTACTAATAACAATTCAACCAAGTCGCTCTTTCAAAACAAACCACACTCTTTTGGGCCCCGGCAAATTTTACTGCGCCAGCACCCTACGTTTGAAATCGCTTGCGACGCCACTGTTAAGATGCTCCGCCGTCCCGCCACCACCATCCAGCTGACTGCCGCCGATGTCGAGCAGTACGAGGCTAACCGCCAGCGAAAACTTTACGAGCAACAACAAGCGCAAGCGCAGAAGCAGGCCTCATCGCAGACCACGGAGACGTCCGAGAACACAAAGAACCGATCCCAAGCCGCATCTGCCAAGAGCAAACAGGATCGCATTATGGGCGGACGCGGTAACTGAGTCCGACATGTGCAACGCCATCGTCCCTGTGTTGACCTTGGCCACATGATCACGATCTTGTTTCGCGAATCCTTGCGCGCATGCACGTGCGAAGCGACGCGTTGTTATTGTATGCATGTACCCGAGCATCCATCGCATGCACGACTTTGACTTCTTCCATTGGCTTGGTCTTGACATCGGATGCCACCTCGCTGTCACGCTTTCTGTACTACGATTCATGAATGTTACGAGGATTCTTGGCGTTTTGTGGATACCCGGACTTTTACATCGCGATCTTTTTCTTTGGTATGTCGATAATGGCATTGGCCATACTGTGCGCACTCACTCATATTGAGCAAGTGTAATGCCTTCTGGATGATTACGACACCCTTTCTTTCTGTTCCGAACGCTGCAGATGCTCTTCGGGTACTTTATTCTGGAGTTAAGTTCATTCAGGCATGATTTTGTTAGGCGGTAAGTCTTCCAGCTGCCGTGGAGCCCTCCACCTCCCCGGGCTTTAAACTGATAGGTACTAGGAATCCATGTTTCGGACATGTACGGTCAATGTTTTCCAGGTACCCGAGCATTTGGGACAAGTTGGAGCCATCCCCCACATTTGGCAACATGTGTAGGTATCACCAGACTGCGATCTCCATGCCTTTACTAACACAATGCCAGATGCAAGAGCACACCATCCGTTGTAGAATTACGAAGAACTATTCACCGCATTTCCTTGCTTCCTTCCAATCCTGTGATAATTTTCCAAGTCTTAATGCTCGCGGGCGGAATGTGTCGGCCCGGACCCAAAGAGAGGAATGCTGGGCCCATCTACAATCATATGTACCCATGAACCACTGACCCCTGTGCAGCTCTTCAGCCAGCTCCGCATCCATTCATTAGCGTGAGCCTGCAATCATGTCTCGCATCCAAGCTGCCTCTGCGCTGCTACTACTCTCCTTACCCAATGGGTTCGCCTCTCCTTTGGCCCAAGAGGCCCTTCCTGTCTTTCAACTGCTGAGCTCTGCCTCGTCTGCATCATCCGCGTCTGCTGCAACCCCAACTGGCCAGGTAGTCGCCCTCGTTAACCCGTCTGCCGCCTCTGATGTCCCGGCACCGACCGGAGTGAGCGATCTCACTGGGGGCGTCGTGACCTCACCGGAGTTGCCTTTGGAAAGTTTTGCCTCCCCTCCACTTGTGGATCCAACCGATATCCAAGGACCTAAGAATGCCTTCATCAACCCTGTTCCTAATCCCCTTATGCCATCGATAACTCCCGTTCTTGGTGTGGATTCTGTTCTTGTCACGCCAGTGCCTAGCTTCAGTGATGCGACACCTTCGCCAATCGAAGTCGTGTCGGCTATCCTCAGCTTGGCTACTACTCCTATCGCACTGCCCACTGGCTCTGCACTTCTCAACTCCACCGTTCCAGCGGTGACAAATGCGACGGTGCCTGTCGTCGCGCCCGTCGTCGCGCCCATCCCTCTGGATGACATCCTCGCAGACCCACTTGCTCTGCTCAACGCTGCTACTACTCCTATCGCACTGCCCGCTGGCTCTGCGCTTCTGAACTCCACCGTTCCAGCGGTGACAAATGCGACGGTGCCTGTCGTCGCGCCCGTCGTTGCGCCCATCCCTCTGGATGCTATCCTCGCCGATCCACTTGCTCCGCTCAAGGCTGCTACTACTGCCTTAACTCTTCCTCCTCAGATCGTTGTCGATGTCGTCCACAGATTTATCAACCTGGCCTTTGGTCTGATGAACATCGCCAAGAACACGCCCGTCGGTGGCGGGAAGAACACAGGTGTTGTACCTCCTAACTTGCAGCCAATCTCGCGTGTTCGTCGTCAAGTAATTCCGGACTTTTCTACAACGACGAGCGCCCTGCCACCAGTCTCAAAGGTGTCGTCGCTTATGGAACCGCTAATGACCTTGGCCAAAAGTCTGGCCGGCACGATCAATCAGGTACCTATCACTGGCGGCATTGTTTCCAAGGTTCCCGTTGTTGACGCTGTTGGTGTCATTGGCAAGGATGACCTCAGCAACATCAACCCAGCCGATGCTACCGGAATGATCCAGGAGCTTTTGGGACTTGCAAACAGGATGATATCAACTATGCAGATGCCCAAGATTGTGGCCCCTGCTGGTCTGCCACTCGATCTCCTTGGAAGTCTCACGAAGCGCGACGACCTAGGTGAGCTAGATCCCACCCTCACTATGGGTATCATTAGCCAGATTCTAGACATTCTCTCTATCATGACGAACGAAACATCTGCTGGAACTACTGCCGAGCCCGTACCTCTCGACACCATCTTGAGCGTTGCTAACGGGCTCACCAAGCGAGCTCTCGACGTCAAGCCTGATGTTGCTTTTGCCATTATCAAGAGGATCATCAGCACCATCAAAAAGCTGATCTCGGTCTTCCCAGGCCTTGATAATGTCGCAGCTGGGCTACCTCTTACTGAGACCGTTGGCAAGCTCCCCCTTGACACTGTTGAAGAAGCTTTATCAGGACTCCCGCTTGATGATCTCACCTCCAAGCTGACTTCAGGTGTCTCGCCCCTTGCTGATGTCGCGAGCACTCTGCCTGCTACCAACGTTCTGGCCGACCCCCTAGCAGCACTCAATCCGCTAGTAGCGGGTCTCACTGGAGGCTTGTTACCCACCGGACCTGTTGCAGCAACTCTCCCTGCTGCAGGCCTAGCCGCCAACCCCGCAGCTGCACTCCTGACTGGCAACGTTGCGTCTGGTCTGCTGGCCAACTCCCTCCTCGGCGGATTAGGCAAGCGGGATATGTCCACCGTGCCAGTCCAACACTGTCATGAACATTGCTCAGGAACTGAACTCAACATGGCCGTGACCATGTCGATGAGCTTCCTGCTGCCTAATGCCATGGCCAACCAGGGCATGCTCGGGAAGCGTGCTGCAGACGCCTTACATCAGCCCAAACGCTATTGCTGAGACGCTCAAAGCTATCTTAGGGATAGTCTCGGATCTGTCGAAGAAGATCAAGGGTGCTGTACCGGCTGCTGTACCAGCTGCTGTTCCTGCTGTTCTGCCCGCACCTTGGGTGCCTGAGGTACCTGTGGGCCTTTCTGGGTTGAGTCTTCCTCACTTTGCGCCCATTATATCTGCTCCGATACCTAAATTGCCCGTGGCAATATCCAGCTTGCCTGTGGCCGAACCAAGTGTCTCTTTGGCTGTACCAAGCGTCTCTGTGGCCGTACCCAGTGTCTCTGTAGCCGTACCCAGCGTCGCAGCAGGGCTACCAAGTGCTCCTGCATTGCCCAGTCTTCCGGTAGCACTACCGAGCTTGCCAGTGTCAGTATCCAGCGTCGCATCAGCGCTGCCGAGTCTGTCTCTGACAGCACTCAGCGCCCCTGTGGCCGTACCCAGTGTTTCTGTAGCTCTACCCAGCATTTCAACAGCGCTACCAAGACTTCCCGCGTTGCCTAGTCTTCCACTCGCAATCGCAAGTTTACGAGCGGCAGCACCATCAGGCTTACCAACTGATTTTCCAGATTTTACGTTGGAGCTTCCAGAGGATCTACCCGCGGAACTTACAGGTCTTCCAGCGGAGCTGCTTGCAAGTGTTCCCACAGAGGTTCCAAGCTCTCTCGTAGCTTTACCCACACCTATTTCTGTGGAAACTCCCGTAGATCTGTCTACGGGTTTACCTACAGGACTGTCAACAGCTTCGCCAGTACCTTTGCCCTTGCCTCTTTCGGTAGAACTCCCGTCAGATCTAGGAGCAGAGCTGCCCGCAGCTCCGCCCACAGACCTTTCGGCACCAACTCTCCCTAATCTGCCCACAGCAGGCACCACAGATTCTCCAGCTGATCTTTCCGACCTACCTTCGTTGGAGATCGACCCGGAGACTGGATTGCCAATCGAAGACGTTCCTCTGAGCAAGGCGAAGCGTGACGTCGACGCTGCTGAGCCCGGGGCTTTGGACATTGACGCAGCAACGAGGCTTTTGACACTCCTGCTCGACATCGCAATCAAACTTTCTGCCCAGGTGAGCGAAAAGGGTCTGAATGCTACTACTCAGATTGATGGCACCATCGGCAAGCGTGACAGCATGAATACCGAGCAGCATGAGCTGTTCAACATTGCTCAGGCGAAGATGACTGAGCTGAAGGAAGCTTTGAAGGTGTTGGAGAGCGCTCCTTTGAGTAAGCGCCAGGACCCTCTTGCCGCTCTGACCAGTGCTACCTCTGGTCTGACTGGCGTCTTCAACACCATTGTCGAGCTCCTCACTACCATCCTCGCTCTTCTCGGTGATGGCTCCACTGACGCAATTACTGGCGTGCTGGACAACATAACTGACAAGATTGGCGCTCAGAAGCGAGACTTGGATGGAGATTCTTTGACGGACCTTCTATCGACCCTCCTCACCATTTTCGACACACTTTTAGACGTGACGAAGCTCCCAGGTCTTGGTGCTCTCCTGCAAGGGATTGCCGGGCTGATCCTGCTACAGTGGGCTACGGAAATCCTTGCCACCTGTAGATCCTACATCCGTATTAACTAGTGGACTGCCAGACGTAGGCACGCTGCTTGGTGGTGGCATTCCCTTGCCTCTTCCCGGTGGTCCTCTTCCTGTCATTCCTGGACTTCCGCTGCCTGGTCTTCCTGCGAACCCCGCACCAGTTCTGCCTGGAATCCCAGCGTCGAATGTGTCTTCGCATCTTACCTCTACCAATGGTATCAAAGCCACGCTCTCCTTGGTGAAGGACATCCCGCTGGATGGCCTTCTCGGAGACCTTGCCAAGCGAGATGGAAGACTTCACGCTCGTCAGCTTGGAAGTCTAGGAGGAGGTTTGACAACCCTCACCAAGCCCCTTACAACCGTCGTGGCTCCAGTTGTCAATGTTCCCGTAGCTGGTGCAAACCCTGGTACTCTTTTAGCCAGCAAGCCCCTTACAACCGTCACTGGCGGTTTAACAAAACCCGTCACTAATCTTGCCGGTGCTGTAGGCAATGTTGGAAGCGTCGTTGCTCCAGTTGTCAATGTTCCCGTTGCTGGTGTGAACCCTGGTACTATTTTAGCCAGCGCTCTTGGTACTGCTCTGGCGGCACCCGCTGCTGTTCTTGGAGCTGCCCTGACACCTGTCGCTAACCTAGCCGACGCTATCGACAGTGGCAAGCTGTTAAATACCGTGGGCTCTACCCTCGGTAGTATCCCGCTCGTTGCTGCTGTCGATAATCTCGTCGATGCTATCCCTGGTAGCGAGGCTCTCACATCAGTTACTGGGCAACTGGGACTTGACAACCCACTTAGTGTGGTGAACAATATTCTTGGTGGCGACCCTCTAGCCCCAGTCACTAACCTTAAACCCATCACGGATCCCATTCTCACCGCTCTAGCTCCGGCTGTGGGTGCTGTTAACACAGTGGTCAATGGCGTTACAGCCCCATTGGCCGATGTCACTGACCCCATTACCGCTGCCCTGGCGCCTGTAGGCGGTGCTTTGGAACCTGTTGCCAGCGTCCTCAAGCCCATCGCTGACGTTACGAAACCCGTTGGTGCTCTCGTCTCGCCACTCTTTGGCAACGTTGGTACTTCGGCTCCAACTGTACCCATCTTTGCTGGATTTCCAGCCCCGCTTGGGACTGTAGCTGCTCCTCTTACCGGTCTTGTCAGCACACTCACCAACGCTACGAAGCCTCTGCAAAGTTTGGCTAGCCAATTAGGCGCCCTCAAGAGCATGCTTGCGCAGGCACTTGTATCGCTCAAGGGCCTCATTCCTGCGAAACCCGTTAAGAGAGATGCATCGGTAAGTAGACATCCTACTTCATATCACCATGACACTGGCACAGTCACTAACAAGCCCAATTCAGATCCCCGCCACGCCCGACGTTCAGGCCTTCCTCGCAAAATGGCAACACGTCGGCGCCTACATGGCACAACTCAACCAGCAGGCTGCTGGCGAGCTGATGAACGTCATGATGGACCCCAGCAGTTTCCCGCCGAACATGGCAGCCATGGGCGATGCTTCGGAGGAAGTGAAGAACTTCGTTACAGATTACTACAAGCTCGCGCAGTCCATGGACGGCAGCAACATCTCCGCGGACAAGAAGATCGCCTTCCTCCAGGACATGTTTGACGGACCATCCGTCAACATCGACTTCAAGTCCAAGCGAGACATGCGCCATGGCATGCGCGAACGCAAGGAGTAAGGGATGTGATACAGCACAGGTGAGTTCTTGGACCGGCCGTAATACGGTATAATGTAGTCGATACACATAAGCTGACAGTTGTAGACGTGGTTTGTGCGCGGAGGCGCTCGATTGTAGATCAATTGCTTGTGGTGTCTTGTTGAGCAACGGGAGGTTGTCAACGGTCCGATGAAGTGGCTGGGGATACGGCTTTTCTGTGGAGCCCTGTTGCGGAAAGGGGTATGTTTAGTGAAGCTGCGCTTCTTGTTGTGGTTAGTGGTGAGGCTGTAACGGTGTTTAATTCCCCCTTCGATAACGACTTCTTTCTAACGGCCTCAATGATACATTCTTTCGGTAATTCGTGCGCGCTGTGTCTGAGCTCTGAGAACTATAGGAGCGCAACTAAGTGAGGGCTGTATAAGGTCAAGGTATCTTAGTACATATTTTGTAACGTGTCGATAATCGAGTCTAGTCAGGCTCGCAGATAACATGCCAGCTTTTTTCTGATGGTAATTAGAATGTCACCGGAGCGCGCACGAACTACTGCAATTCTCTCTTGCGCGCCCGTTTACAGAATCATGATGGCCTGATCACGACTCAACGAGATGCCACATGGTGGCCTCTGATGAACACGGTGAGTTCCAGAAACTCAATCGTCGATGTTCCCGCTGCCTAATTGAGTCAAAATCGACAACGAGTCTTTCATTTCGAGAACATGACAATCCGTTCTGGTGTTGGCGTGGCGTTCGGCAGATGGAATTCGGCGCCGAAAGGCAGTGCCGTGACTCGACCTTCACGGCACGCAAATCGGCTTCCCCAGCGTCAGAGTGAAGCAGTCTAACGCACACGCTAGACTCATGACGAAGGGGGTTCAGTTGTTCGAAGTGATGTCGGGCCAACTTCACGTGGCTTCGCGGTCCAGCCACTCGGTGTCGCAAACCAACGCTAGCCATAGCCGAACTGTTGTTGATGCCCTGATCAGTTTCACCATCGCACGACTCTGGCAATTCATCGACAGCGCTTGTTGACTCGACATGTTTGTTTTTGATGATCATGTCGAGCTTGTTTCGGTAAACGGCTCTTGAGTGTGGAGTTTCACCGGTGGAAGGATGCCGGTCAAGCCATCCGGAACGACGCGACGCGATGCGATTTTGGCGTTGTGATGAACCCGTGCTGCCGTGCGCGGAGCATGCGTCCGGTTGAAGTAGGTGTAGAGGAACAGCACCGCTGGGCGCTCTATCAGCTGCGCAGCGTGTGCATACTTAATATGTGCAGCAATGCGTGACACGGCCGAGTGACATGGGAGCAATGCGCGATGAGAGCAGTTGAGGCGCGACAACTGACTGCCGTGTCGATGAGAGTTGCAATCGCAACCCCAGAGTCTTTTCCAACGTGAGCACCAGCCGCCTCGCGAACGGTCGCTGTAAAAATGAGCATCGGTCCCTTGGTCGCGTGGCAAGCGTTCTGTGAATTTGGGCGTTGGGACCGCGATGCCGTTTGTGCGAAATGAGGCCGATCCAAGATAGCTCATGGCTTTACCCGATGAAGTCCGATGTCCGCCTTCTAGAAACTTGGAATAGAAGGCCAGAGCAGACGGCAGAGAAGGCAACCTCGAAATTTACACCCCATACTCCACTTGCCGAGTGTTGGTAGGGAGTACCTGTCCATTGCGGAGAACAGGACAATCAGTTGAGCGTTGGCAGAGCGCCACAAGCATGGAATCCCTACGACAATCTCGACCTACAGTGGCCAAGGGCCATGGCTTGCTATCTGACAATAAGATACAGGGTAGTGAAGATGAGTTGTTCCGTCATTTTACCTTGCTCGCAGAGCGGAAGTATGCTCCGTAGTGTGTCACATATTGCACAAACAGGAGAATCCCATTCAGCATGTTTCACACCACCTCACTTCATGAACGGACAATAAAGTCCGCAAGGAACTCCGAGCGATGGCATCTCTGGGCATCGTCGCGCATGAATGTCGCTGTCGAGTTATTTTGACATCGACCGAGCTTGCCGTCATGCGTTGACACTTGGGCAGGATTGCTTACAGAAGGTGGTGTCAGGATCCTGGTCAAACATGTATCTCACGGATGTCTCGAAAGTGACGGACGACAGATGAACGCGGAACTGGAGGTGACATACCATACAATTAGACTTTGTACGGTGCTGAAGCACGACAGGCTTGTAGATGCGAGCTCGGGTCGCATCATTCCGGCAGTTCATAGAAAACTAGATTCCCACAAGTTGTGGTTCGTACCCCTTAGGCCGGGAAGCTTTCCGCAGTCTAGTCGCCTATTTTGGTTCAGGATGGGCGGGCGATGAGACGTTTTACTTTAGCTGCATGCGCCAACTGCAGTTGTCGGGTGCTAAAACTGCACCTTCTAAATATTGTTTCAATGGGATGTTTCAACTTCTGTGCGCATCAGTTATGTCAGTCTTATGTCGATGTGATTCTCCAATCTCAAACACGGATGAACAGTATGTGTGTGGCTTGCAAACCTTCTGAAGACGACATTTGCGTCAGGACATGGAATGTGGCTTTCTATTATCCGCCAATCATGTGAGTAGACAGTGCGAGGACCCGAAATGCGTCGTGCAGCTGTGATCTGACACCAGGTGCAGCAATAATTCGTGCTCGTTCTGTTTAAGCTTAATCTACTATTAGACAGCAACTGTCATCTTATGTATGAGCCAAGATAGATTTAACAGCTAATCAGTACGTTGCGAAGAGCTAAATTGACCTTGAAGTTGGACAGTTCAGGGTCAACCGTTACACAGGTCGACTTAGTCATTTTGTTCAGGAAGATTGTGTGACCACGGATACAAGAGAATGATGCAGGTGGTATCTGACCTGTTCATAATTGAATCGGCGGGCAGGATGATCTTGGTAGAGAATTTGGGGACGTGCACTTGGCATTTCGCCCAAAGGGGCTGGCACTCTTGGCACATACACACGAATTTTGTTTCATCACACCAAATGCCGCGACTGTAAGCCTCCTCCATCCAATCAGACAGAATCTCAATCCACCCCGCGCGCCTGTTACGCGTTTGTTGGGCCACAAGATCACAGGCCTATCCCCACCTCACCGGTTACAGGATGTCAGCCTTTGCTCGACGGGCCTCGAATTCGCTCAGGCCGCTGCATGAGAAAACTCCTTCACACCTTGCTGTTGGCGATTGCGTGGTGGGGCAAATGTCTCTCCAATCATCACCCCACATTGACATAATTATGGAAAGCATGTCCACCTGAAGCTGAAAAGGAACGAACGGGTTGGGCCGGCCCCTGTCAAACGTTCGGGAAGCTCCCTCATTGGAAGCCGAACGATGGCGATTCACCATCAGGCGGCTATTCCTCAACCACTCACCAAGAGGAACGCGGATTGCTACAACGGGATGAACGCTCCCGCGTCTCACTCGTGTTTTCCCCTCATGTCACTGTTGTGCTACCATCTGAGAACGCGCGTATCGAGAGGACACAGCTGACCATGTCTTTGTTCCTGCTTCTGATCTTCACGATTACGTGGAGCTGTCAAATTCAATGGCATGAATGCGGCGCCTCCGCTCAGCGATTCCACCGAAAGCCCATGGGCCATCACAAGCGGCTCCTACCCGGCAGTGCACCACGCGTCTGATGCCTCCATGACGATTACTGGGGAAGAGAGTGTGTAAGTAGAAATCGCAGCGCAAAGAAGTCGTGGCGAATCATGATGCATGAGCTGCTCCCATGGAGTCGCGCTGCTACCATTGGCCATCTCAAGCCAGTACAATGTTGCGAACATCAAGCCGACTTTCCGGACCTGCGTGAAGGCTATCCTTGCATAATGCGACCCTGGACGCTCGTGCATTCGTACCTGATGTCTTGGCCCGCTAGGCTTCGGGGATACATGCGCTATTCACTAGGGCTGCAGGGTAGGGGTGCCCTGGTCATTCCTGATCGTCGCATGCCCTCGACACCAGTCGACACCAAGCCGGTGGCCCAGCCACGAAGCCGCCTTCGCTTCTGCCTTTTCTGCACTCTTCTTCAGTGTGACTCCCGTGCCGCCCCAGGTTGATCATTCTTTAGTTTGCTGCAGACTGTCGTTCGTTACCCTCCCTCTGTGCAGTACCTACAAGTCCCTTCACTCCTTTCGGGCTTTCTCACTGCATCTTTGTGTTTGAACTAGCATCGACACAACAAATCGACTGCTGATTCTTACGCTGAACCTTAATTGCACCCGCCGTCAAGGTTTCACCACCGCCATACAACGTCGCAATTAGCAATATTACAAGAGCTATTGAGCACACGCATTGCTCCATTGACTCCTGGTCATCACTCCGCCGGCCCGATCGCTGAGGACTGTCAAGATCTTTTCCTTATACATATCGAGCTGGAGCTGCGGCCATTCCCATGTTCCCAATATCAAAATAGTTTTGACTGAGGATTGCGATCGGTATCTGGCGTACACATGTCGAACGGGACGCAATCGTCGCCCCTTCATGGGGCATGCCCCGCACCTTTTTACGATGCCTCCAAGTTTGACTTGGGCGGGTGTAAGTGTGCTGATTGATCTTTCATTATCATATGCTGACCAGCACAGTTGTTGATGGCCGCTTCTGTGCGCCCGTTGGTAGAGGCCTCGTGTGCTGTCTACCATGTCCGATGACCGACTATCTCTATCCTCAAGGTAAATTTAATGCTTTGGCCTTTCTCCAACGATACTAAACCGCGCCAGATTTCAACACGTACTATACTGTTGCTGAAGGATTGAATGTTGCAGGCCTCGTCTTACTTGTTTTCCTGTTGGTATCTTTTCTTGTCTTGCCTGCGGAGAAGACCCGACGACACTATCTCAGCTACTGTCTGATAATAGCTGCTATATTCATGGCTGTAGGTTCATGTCTTCTCGACGCATTGCGCTAAAGCTAAAGCTAACAATCACCAGCTCGGCTTCGTGATACCTCTAGGAGCGGAACCTGAACAATGCTACAACGAGATTACCCCCAACGACATGTATTCGAGTCTCCCTTGTGCTCTCTCGGGTGCTTTCCTCATCTCTGGTGGACTTTCCATGGCAGTCTGGAGTAAGTGCAGCTGAGTGCGATTTCTTGTAACAACACTGACCCTCCTGTAGTTTTCATCCGCGCTCTTTCGATGCATCTCCAGATTTGCTGGGACGTCACACCTGGCAGGAAGTTCTTCTACTGGGCACAAGGCCTGGGCTGGTCTGTGGCAGCCACCTTCTTCACAATCACCATCACAATTACCGGTGTATCCTTCAGGTTTGGCGATGTATGCCACGTTAACCCCGCACATTCTATGAGCGATTTCTGGGGGCCGTTACTGGCGATTGCCGGCGCTGCTATGCTCATCCAGGTCGCAACGTAAGTTCACATTAAATCAACCTATTGCACACTACTGACATTTTGACAGATTCGGGTACTGCATCAAAGTATATCTTCAGAACATGCTCAGCGACGACAAGACCGAGACACAAAGTAGCGCTGGCCTGCCATCCTACACGACAAGCATGCGAACCCGCTCAGCTCGAGCAGTATATCGACGTGTGCGCAAAGTGCTCTGGCTCCAGTGGCGTGGCATAACGATCGTCGTCTTCATCTTGGTCGACGTCATCTTCTTCTCCGTCGTTTTTATCTGGTTGAATGCCCTCACAACGCACGCGCGAGACAATGTGCAGGAAATGATGCCATTCTTGACTTGCCTTATGGCAAACCCAACGGACCCATCACCTTGTTTTGAGCTTGGCCAAGATCTTGCGGTCAACGAATCGACCGTCATTGCCATCTTAATGATGCTTTCCATCGCTGGAATCCAGGTCTTTGTTCTCCTCGCGCGAGGAAGCATGTTCAGTGGATGGCTCGATTTTTTCAGGGGAAAGTTCAGCAAGAACCGCGAGTTTGTTTCGCTTGATGCGAGGAATCTTGCCGAACATTCTCGCAACTACGAGCTGAAGAAGTTCGAAGATGGTGCCATACAATCTCCCGCAAATGTGCTTACACACCCACCCGAGATCGCCGGCTATGGTCAATTCAGATCAGACACTCCGGACTACTTTACGAAGGAGACGCAACGCGAGTACGTCAGCCCGACCTTAAGCTTCTCTACTCCACGACCCATGTCGCGGTCCGCAACTCAAGTCGACTGGGATCCTCGGTCAACCCACGCTAGAGGAGGCCTTGGATTCCATCCACCAGAGTATGACGCCAAAATTTGATTCGCTAGCCCAGGACCTTAGACAGAGCAACAATTCAATTGCAACTGATCCTGTCAAACACCAGTTATTCACCAGTCTATCGCAAGTCTCAGAAAATCTAGCGCTTATGCAATAGTGGTCGATAGCGCAAGCGACCTTCGCATGTGCCAACAGTACGTCTCAGCCGCGACAGACCTCCAACGGAACATCTGTGCACGTCACGAAATCACGCCGTGCTCCGTGCCTCATCGAGGTGACGGACTTGGCGGATGGACGATCTCACCATATCATCGTTGACATCGGGCCTTGTCGACGTGGCCGGAGTTTACCTCCGCTGCCTCTTCAATGGCGTCGTTTGGACGAAGGCCCGACAAACTGCTTGTCTAAACACCATGTTCGTCTAACGAGAACATGCTTCATCAAGCAAGTGAGGAGCATGACATTACCAAAAAGGAACTAGATCTGCGGCTTCGGTCATTCACATATCATCCTACATGCAAGAATCCATACTGGTCGAGCAGGATGAGACATGCCGACCATGTTTCGGATCAGAGTATTACATTGCATTGCAGTGTTAGACTGCAGTCAGCTTCACGAAGCGAAAAGACCTCTCATGGAAACTCGCACATCTCCATATGTTACGATATCTCCTATAGACTAGACTATCTTAGCCAACTGGATAATACTGTCGGTTCAAGAAGAAAAAAGATCAATACTCATTACATCCACTCTCTCATTTACTTGTCCTAATCGATCGGCTCTTTCAGCCGTCGCTTACTTGTCGCAGCTACCGACGTTGATCAGTCGATACGTCGAATCCCGATAAGTTGGTTGATCCCGCCGGTTAAACGCAGTCACTTGATAATTTTGGCAAGGGTGTTCATCTCACGAACAGCATCAGACGAACTATAAGAAGATCCACCACATTTCGAGCTATAGGTTCTCGCAAGTGTCTGGACTATCAACAGCAACCGACATTTGCTGACATTGTGGAGACCCGCAGACTGGGCACCACCACCCCACTCGATGCACGCCCAATGACCTTTGATGCTGCGGCACTACAGGAGAAGACCGTTTTGCCGTGCTGACTGACAGGTCCGTCAGCCAAACCGCATTGAGACGATGGGCACCGCGCCTCCGCACTTGTCGCCCTAGCCAAATACACCATGCTCAACAATGCGTTGCAACAAAACCCGCTTCGGTGTCACGAGCACGCGACCGAGTAAGTTCCGTCACATCTTCGGCCTTCCAGAAGATCCACCGCGCTAAACACACGCGATGGATGGCAAGCATTAATGCGCGCGGAGTAACCGCATACAAAGAGGAATTTGGCCCGCGACCTAGTGTGGGGCGTCGCGGATGCAGGAACAGGTCCTTGGGCGTGGCACGGCACGACGACCAAACGATGCGGAAATAGCCACTTGAACGGCCTGGAAGCCACATCCCGCTGACGTTGACGGGCCGTGGATATCGCACAAAAACCAACATGCATGAGAATAAAGCCACAATATGCTGGGCCGGGTCGCTAGGCATTCATCCGCTCGAGATCGATACTCTCGTACTCAACAAGAAGCTTCCTGGGTTTTTTTTCTTCGTCGTTGAATATTTGCCGCTCGCGTGTGCGCATGGGAGCCATGCGGGCGCGCCAATATCCTGGTGTCGGGTCGACCGAAGAGGGCAGTGTGCCATCGGAATGGGGGCGCAACCCGACGGCTGAAGTTGCTATTGTTGTGCACATATGCGCGCGGGTTATAGGCTAACTGGAGATCCGGGTAGTTATAGGACAGCGGGCTATGGACTAAATCGAAGATCTGTACATCGTCGTGTGCGAGTTCGGACGCAGAGATTCATTTGTCGTGACGTTTGTCAAGCTCGCTTATAGCTGTGGTATAGGATGGAAGTAGTCTAGGAGCCTACTTATCCTTGATGAAGTGTCCTGAAGCTATACGCAGCTCTTTTATAATACAGCAAAACGGCTTGATCGTCGTACAAACCTCCAGGGTCCTGCGATACCACGAGAGTATCGAGCTAGTCTATCTAGGTATGCAGCTCGCCAGACAAAGCGGGTTCGAAGGGTCGCCGTGCTCCGTGCAATAGTGACGAAATAGCAAATGCTAGATGGTAGCAGAGGATCTTCCATGATACCGATTTCGGCTTTGGCAGGAAGGTACACATTCATGTTTACAGTGTACTTGAATCTCTTAACGTGAAAATGTTGCGACTTATATCTCAAGAAACCAATGGATACCATACTAGTTGACCAAGAAACGATGAGCAAGTTAATGGCTTTCACGTGAGTATATCCGATCATGATAGCCACGCCGCATCACATGGTGGAGAACTTGACTGTCGGGGAGAATTCGCATATAGCGTCGTCTTCTACATTCAACTTCTTCTCTTCTATTCCGGCCTGAAAAAGAGTGGATCATGTCCAAATCCTCCCCAAAGCACACGCGTGTTCTCTGGGTGTGCATCTACCCAGGTTTGGCAACGCAAAGAACCACCTTAGTAACCTCTCTCCCTGTCAACCTCATTCACCAACTTCTTCCCACTCCTCTCCCTCCTTATGTTCTCTCTCAACACCTCGAATGCTCGGTCGGCATACACATCCGTCGACCCACTAACATGCGGCGTGATCAAGACATTTGGAGCAGTCCACAGCGGATCATCAACAGGCAGGGGCTCAGGATCAGTCACATCAACTGCCGCACCGCTGATCAAGCCATCTTCCAGCGCTTTCACAAGCGCAGGCTGATCAATAACCTGACCGCGCGCGATATTGGCAACATAAGTGCCTCTCGAATTGGATTTGTGCAGGAGCTCGAATTCCTCGGTGGAGAGGAAATGAGTAGTCGCTTTACTGTTCTTGTGGTTAGTGATGAACCACTTTCCAGCAGGAAGGGAGGCCTACGTCAACGGCACAGCAATGACCAGCAGATCAATCTCCTGCTTCAGGAACTCATGCACGTCTTCCTTGTTGGTGCCACTGTACCACGCGCTCGGGAAAGAACCATCTGGATCACCGGTCCCTGGGACAATGTAACCACCATCCTTCTTGGATTCGGGCGTCTTGCGGGGCGACGCTGTGTACGCGATCACGTCCATGCCCATAGCTTTCGCCACACGAGCGACTACGAATGATTGTTAGCTTCGGGATTCCATATTTCATGCCGCGATGGACAAAGAGGAAGGTGGATAGAGGCCCTCAGGAGACGCGGTTGTGTGCTGCAACGGGTAGGTTTGCCCTGTTGTTGGGTTGTGGAGACGGTTAGGCCGCCAAGGTGGCGTAGGTGATGGATTCGGTGGCGTGTGTCGATGGAACGCTGCAGGTACACGTAACGATGTCCGAGCTGAATCGCGAATTGCGGCGTGGTTGTTGGATCCTTTATGGCATGCGTTCTGCAAAAGGAATGGGATACGAAAGTGCTTATTCAGGATGCACGCTTCCAGATACCGTTGTGCCGGAATCTTCAAAGCTCGAGTCCCAGGAGATGACCATGTGGTCGATCCACCAACAGCATGAAGAGAATAAGAAAAGTTGGTGGAACATACCTTGTCGTCCAATACTTCCGTATCCGAGGATGCCCACTCTCTTGCCCACACGATCGCTAATACCCATTCCAACCGCCTGCTTCCAAGTCTTCTCCTTCTGTAGGTCATAGAGCTTTGGAAACTTATGGCTGTGTACTAGATCCATCATGATGACCCATTCAGCGATCTGGGGACCGTGAACGCCATTGGCTGAGCATAGCGGGATCTTGGAGTCGGTGTAGATGGGGTGCTGCGCAATGTGGTTGGTTCCTGCAGAGAAGAACTGAATGAGGTTCACATTAGGGAGAGCTTTCGCGTCTGCTGGGAGCCCAGAAGAGGGTCGCTAGGTATGATGCACGGGCGACGATGTCTGGAAGTGGCATTAGTGAACGTCAGGGTCCCTTCGGTGATCACGTGGTGTAAGCACATCAACGTAGTCCATTACCAAAGTGCCGGTACCGTACTATTGTTACACATATTTTGACACCAAAGACATGTAGAAGACTCGAGACGTACCATCTGGAATAGTGGTCGGCTTCTGTTGCGGGGTGTAGTAGTACTCGATATCGACGTCGTTGAACTCCTCTTCAAGTAGCGCAATAGCTTTCTTTGCGGCTTCGAGCGGAAATGGCAGTGCGCAGAGCACCAGCTCTTTCTTGCCCGACATTTGTTTGGATGGTGCCTCTGGTCCTCCGCCCATGTCCGAAGATGTATTGTTGGCTGATGGGATACGCTGATGCAGTGTCGGCAATCGGCAAGGGAGGTACCGGACGTAAGATGTGGTGTATTGCACTCGGTATACGTCTCGGACGTGAATGTAATGAGTTTGTTTCCCGTGGGCGGTGATTGATAATGCACAGAGTAGTAATTAGGCTAGACAAATTAGTGGGGCACTTGCGACTTGATATGGCTTGGTGACGTGATTCTACCACGCCTTATCTCGCGCCCTATAACTACGAGCAACACAGCTACAACTCGCGGCAGCAATAACAGTAAGGACTGTTTACTGGGTTCGGCGCGGTCAGATTAAGATTCCTCTCCATTAGTAAACTGACGTCTTCCCACGTGTCTTTGTACCGATGCCCCGGCATCACGCAGCCACGTGCTCACGTGGATACGTAGGAAGGCACTGCAACTTTGCCGACCTGACGAGCCCGAATCACACTTTTCACGTTGAATCTGTATTCTTATAGTACGTCCTGGAGGTACCCACGGCAATCTGTATCTAAAGGGAAACATGTAGTACCTGGCGAGGGCCTCTACTCTACTACCTGTAAGTGAGAGATAGACCTCCCGGGATAATGGTTCAGTTAAGAAGACATTTAACATTCGACATCTAAAACTACATCACAGACAAAACGATCTATACATACGACTAACTCATCTCCTTGTCAACCAATGTTCCCATCGCGAGGCACTTCATCTGATGCAAGCAATGGTTGTCGTAGATGCTGTGTATCGAGGATTTTGCAGTACCGCGGTATTATGCAGCTGTTACTCTCGCGTGGGAGATCGTCTCGAAGCGTTCTGGAGATGTTTATCAGTATCCCCTAGAATACACTTCATGCCAACGCTACCATCCACGCCTCCTACAACCGTTGAGTGGCCAGGTAGAGGTGTGTTCTGCCCGGCCGGTATTTCGACCTCGTTCCGGTGTGATCAGTATGGCGAAGACCTCCAGGCTCCACTCTCTAAAAGGAAGACATGTAGCAGATTCGAGACATCCTGAACTTGCGCCATCCGGAATTGGATGACATCGCTATCAATACAGGCATAAGATTTATTTATCTCTTTCTCAATCAATGCTCACGTCAAGAGGAACTGCATTTCTGGAGACCTGACAGTCCCCGGGAACACTTTTCATTGAGTATCTGCATTTTCATAGTATTTCCTGGAGTAGCACACAGCCGTGTATATCTACGTAGACGCTCACAATTCCCTGCGAAGGTCTCCGGCCTTTTGTATCATGGAGTGGAGATGATGGTATCATCAACCCAAATCTGCGGTGAGATTAGCAGCTGGAGCTACTGGCAGTAAATGGGTAGCTATAACTCACAATTCGGCAATTTACGAATTACCGTCACTCCTCCCACCGTCCTCCTGCTCTCACCGAACTCCGCCCAAGGATTCTCATCGGGGTGGTTCACCAAAGACGTAACCGGCCGCGGTATGCATGCAGGTATGGTGTCGAGGTGGAAAATCACCGGCTCATTCGTATCATGCACCTGCCTCTGTGCAGCTAGAAAGTCAAGACCGCCTTCACACACCAGCGCCTCGCGACGGAGACGACGCGAGCTCAGTTCGAAGTGCTCGTCTACTGCGTGGCAGAAGTCGGGGAGGGTGTAGCCACAGAAGTGGCTGAAGAAGTGGTGAAGGCGGACGGTCGGGTCCTGTAGTAGACGAAGTGGCACTCCGTCCCTCCACCTCACTACTACTTCTCCTCTGGTGGGGTCCATCTGGTCTCCAGCTTCTGACTGTGTCTCCGGCTCTGCCTCTGACTCCTGGCGGATTGGTTGCTTCTCGGGCCTGGTCCTTCGTATGGCGGCGGCTTCGAGTGCGCGGTCGTGCTGGGTCCTCTTCTTGGGCGCCATAGTGGGTAGTTGAGCTGTGGCTACGCAAGTGCAATGGTTGGCTAACAGTGACAAAAGTTGGCATGTAGACAGGAAGAGTGTAGTCACAGATTAAACGTACGTCTGGAAGGTAACTGAGGAAGTTGGCTGACACGAATTTGAGGATCGTGTATCCGGTGCGGAGAGTATTACGAGTCTCCGGGCTGAGTTTTTATACACTGTCTGCCGGTAGTACGCAGAGCTAGTGAACACGCTATCTCACTTCACGTTGAGTAATGTAGCGGGTGAGATCAAAGGTGAGTGCAAGCCTTTTACGTACTATCGTTCTATCACTCTGGCTCTTGTCCCTTCCACTTCTCTCGAATCGTCTCCACATCAATCTCGCACGCCTGCGCATGCTTCAGAATCGCATGGGCCTTCTTAACAACAGGAACGTCAATCATCTTGCCGTCCAACGTCCACGCGCCTCGTCCTGCTTGGCTGGCCTTCTCGTCTGCAATAGCCACCCGAGCTGCCCACTCGACCTCCTTATCGCCAGGGCTGAACGATTTGTGACATACAGCGACTTGGCTTGGGTGTATGCACTGCTTGCCGTTGAAGCCCATGCCCTTGCCGTTCAAGCACTCTTCTTCCAGTGTCTTGAGCCCTGCTTCACCTTTGTAGCTTGTGCATACCAGATCGATGGTGGAGGGAAGTTCGGCGGCTCGTGCGGCTGTTGCGATCGCTGATCTCGCATACAAAAACTCTGTGAGCGAGGGTGTGCGCGTGAGACTCATGTCTTTCGCAAAGTCTTCGGCTGCGAACACGAGGCCGCTGAGGTAGGGCGATGCGGCGCATATGGAGCTGAGGTTCTGGATCGCTTTGGCAGATTCTATGAGGGCTATGATCCGGAGTGGCTCTCTCTTGATCCCGCTACCTGTTGTGGTTGTACTTGACGGATGTCTGTCAGGACGCAAGTGCCGTATGACATCAGTGACGAAGTGAAGATCCGCAGCGCTCTCGCACTTTGGTAGCATGATCGCATCCAGGTACTCGCCCTTGAGTACCTCTGTCAGGTCGTCCAATGCCAGACCTGTATCTACGCTGTTTATCCGCACGCACATCTCCTTGATGCCGCTTGGTCGTTGCTTGTTCAAGATGTCGCGCAGGTTCGACCGCGCTTCTGACTTCATGTGTGGAGCGACGCTGTCTTCAAGATCGTACGTGACGTTATCGGCATGCATAGCAAAGGACTTCTCGAGCATCTTTTTGGAGGAGGACGGGACTGTGCAGCAAGTTAGCGAGCATGAACCTGATGAAGAAGGAGGTGGTTGTACCGTACATGCACGCCCGCCGAATAATTGGGGCCGCCATCGTGATCCCACACTTTCTCCAACAGCCTCAGCGGGTCCAAAGAAGAAAAATCGTGTTGTAAGAAGCACAATCGCAAGTCAAAGACAGCCTACCACCTCGGGCACTTCCTCATAGCCTATGACGTGCGGGGAAACAGCGCAGCGACCCTCTCAAACGCCGACACGCCGACACGCGTTCCTGAACCCTCAGAAAGCCACGTGAAACTACCTTTCCCACACCCAGACCTCCACATACACACTCTTGCACCATGGAGACCGCCCAAACAGCCCCGGCGCCAGGGTCGCTGAGCTGGAAACTCTCCAGCCACCCAATCACGCTGCTAACCTTCCTCTTCTTCCGCATCTGTAAGCTCCCCTAGGCTCCCTTCCCTGCCATACATAACTAATGTATGCCACAGCTTCTCTCCTAGTCTACCTTCTCGGCATGCGCCTCCTCTCCAGCAACTTTGTGCTCATCTTCATCGTCACCATCCTGCTGCTCGCCATGGACTTCTACTACCTCAAGAACATCGCCGGCCGCCGGCTTGTCGGACTGCGCTGGTGGAACGAGGTCGACGGCGCAACGGGCGACGGGCGCTGGGTGTTTGAATCCGCGGACCCAGAGTCGCGGGAGCAGAATGCGACGGACAAGCGCTTCTTTTGGATGGCGTTGTATGTGCAGCCTGTGCTGTGGGTTGTCATGGCTGTTGTGGCGCTGTTTGGGTTCAATTTCATTTGGCTGACGCTGGTTGGTGAGTATATTCTTGTGGAGGGGAGCTGGGGTTGGGGATACGATGCTGACTGCTTGGTAGCTATTGCGCTGGTTCTCACGATTACGAATACGCTTGCTTTCTCGAGATGCGACAAGTTTAGCCAGGCAAGTGGCTTTGCTTCGAATGCCATGTATGGATCAGGACTTGCGAGGAATCTCGCGGGTGGTCTGGTTAGCAACTGGTTCAGACGGTGAGGCGGATATGTCCAGAGGCTAGTGGATGGCTTCGGATACAAATTGGCCTGCGTAGATACAGGCAATGTACAATTGTTTGTCGCACTGCAAAGCGCTTGGTAAAGCTGACGTCTGCATATTTGGGCGATCATATCTATACACAGTATATTTCGAGTGGTTTCTAGCATATCCACGGATATCTAAACGGTGATCATGACACTGGCGTTCTTGTACCAGCTCAGAAGCGGATTGTCCCCGTTCTTCGTGCTCGTTTCTGCAATATCTGCTCTGCCCGCCATGAAGTCTTCGTGTAGGTAGGTACGTGCAAAACGACCGGTGATTGCGGTGTACATGGGCTCCATGACCTCGAAGTCAGTGGGGAAGAGGATGTCGAAATAGCCTTGGTGGACCTGTGGGTTGTGTCAGTGATCCGACTATAGCCCAGCAACTAGAGCACTTACGAGAGGCGTTGTGACAGGAATCATCTGCCTCCTATACCTCGTCTGGACCACAGGCGCATTCAACCCCTCCACCGCATCGCTCAGCTTGTGGAAGTCACTGCTGACCAACTTATGATTCGGGAACTTCTCATAGAGCGTGTAGAAGAACTGCATCAGTCGTGTGGGTATGTACTCTGGTTGACTGAGCGTGCCCTTCCATGGGACCAGACTTTTCAAATTCTGCATGATTCGCGAGCCTTGTAGCGGATGTGGGTATGTCTTGCAAGCCGCATGCCGGCGTTCGAGAAATTGCTTTGCGACAGGGTCAAGGGATCGGGAGTAGTATTCGAAGAGCTCGCCGCGAGGATCGACGACGACGTGCGACTGGTAGGGTGCGCCGGTTTCGAAGTCGTACTTGAGGGCGTCGTGCGCAAAGTTATCGAAGACTTCCAGCGCAAGGAAGTAACATGGCGAAGACACGTATATGTCCCAGTCGAATATCGAGCGATTGACAATCTCAACCTTGTCCGAGTGCCCTCTTGCGTACGCCGACTGGCCCAGCCCTTGCTGCTGCAGATGCGCAAGCTGGCTAGAGATTTCAATGATCTTGAACTTTGTCCGCTCATAAACCTCGGGATGCACGTCTCTTATGTAGTCCAAGATATTCAACATCATAGTACCATTACCGGCACCCATTTCATAAATATTCAAATCGTGATATGGGTAGGCATTGTACTTGTAGTCCTCCACCAAGTACCGCGCAATCGCTTCGCCATAGTAGGGCGAGAAGAGCTCGGTAGGGGTATGCCATAGCTGGCGGAGCTCATTCGGTTCTTGGTAGTCGAGCGAATCTTCGAAAGAGATATAGCGTTGCCGTAGTTGCTGGAAGAACTCGTCCTCGGTGGACATGGAGTTGAAGTCAAAAGGGTCGCCCGGGGAGAAGATAACGACCTGCTTCGAGAAGTAGCCGTAGTTAGGGTTATAAAGACTGTCTGTACTAGATTTAGCTCTCTATAAGCTCTGTCTGAGCCATTGGGAGCATCTGACCTTCAATAAAGTCCCGCAGAAGCATCTTCACTCTCCGCGGTCTTTCCCTTCTACTCCGCAGCATATCCGCAGTCACCAGCGGGTACCTTTCAAATTCCTCTGTCCTCTCCTGCGGGAATGCGTTCTTCCTCGGCGTCCATCTTGATTCCCGTTTTGTCTCCCCCTCAGCAAACCGCGTGGCCTTTCCCCTCCGTTGGATATTCGGAGTGCGGGCAGCTGCAAGAGCTGGTCGAGCTCCGCGGGCAAGACATTGCGACGCCCGGTGCGAGAAAAGCTGGCGGAATATTTGCGTAACGAGTGGGGAGTCCATTGACGCCTGGTTGGATGTACCAGACCAAAGCGCGGGAGTGTGGGAAGCTATCGGCGCGCAAGCACGTGGTGAGGTTTGCGGGTCCTTCATGTGCCAAGACTGTCCTAGCTCCACTACGGAACCATGGATGCATCTCTCAAGTTGCAAAAAATAATCATAAACAGCGCTAGACTACTACAATAGTTCGTAAGACTTGGAAGACCGCGGCTATGAGCAGCGAGTAGTTCTAGGCGCTTTCATCGTCCTCGGAGAAAGTGGACCTGACAGTTTGAACTTTTCCGGCAAATTGTTAGGCCAACTCGCCCACAGAGGTTTGCAAATACAGGAATGTCGGCAGATCACACGCGATACTATGTACTGGGAGCATTTGCCCTGGGCATAGTGTTAACTGTCACGTACAACCAACAGTCAAAATCTGCTCAGAGACTTGACCATGATGACGCACATCAACAACTCAAGCAGCAGCAGAAGAAGCTGATAGCCAGGCTTGCAAAGATCAAAGATTTGAACGTGTTGAAGAAAAGCCTGGCGGAACTTGATGTTGCACTAGAGAAAGGGCCTGGATGTATCAAGGAAGGCATAGAAGGATGCATCGGCGACACACCACTCATCAAGATAAAGTCACTTTCCAATTACACTGGATGCGAGATACTCGCCAAAGCAGAGGTATGCTTGTAGGAAGCTTGATCGTGGGACTAGCATGCTGACCAGTATCATTCAGTTCCTAAATGGCGCCGGTAACAGCCCCAAAGACCGAGTTGCACTAAGTATAATCGAAATGGTATGATTTCACACAATCAATGACACTCTGATCTAATTCGTTTCAGGCAGAGGAAAAAGGGTTACTGGTCCCGAATTCTGGTGACACCATCTATGAGGGCACCGTAGGTAGTACTGGTATCTCGTTAGCCGCGATATGTCGGGCCAGAGGCTACAAAGCACATATGTGAGTTTTACGTGCGACGTGTGAGATCAATCTCTAACGAAAGAAGCTGCATGCCAAACGACATGGCGACCGAAAAGTCCGAACTGCTCCTCAAGCTGGGTGCAGAGGTAGAAAGAGTGCGACCAGCGCCCATTGTCGACCAGAATCAGTTTGTGAATCTTGCTCGTGCCAGAGCGGCAGAGCATACAGCGAGTGCCGATAAACCCGGACGAGGTCTCTTTGCAGACCAATTTGAGACCGAAGCAAACTGGCGTGCACATTTTGCTGGGACTGGGCCGGAAATCTACGAACAAACTGGCGGGGCCGTAGATGCATTCGTCAGTGGAGCTGGCACCGGAGGAACGATCTCTGGCGTTGCGCTTTACCTAAAATCCAAGCTACCCAACATCAAAATTGTTCTCGCGGATCCTCCTGGAAGCGGACTGTACAACCGCGTAAAGTATGGCGTCATGTTCGACCGTAAAGAAAGAGAGGGAACGCGCCGACGACATCAGGTGGACACTATTGTGGAGGGCATTGGCATCAACCGGGTCACGCACAACTTTGACGTGGGCAGAGAGCTCATCGATGATGCTATACGTGTGAATGACGAACAAGCTATTGACATGGCGCGCTGGCTCGTGGAACATGACGGAATATTCGTGGGCAGTTCCAGCGCTGTGAATTGTAAGACATTCAAGAAACCTTCTACGACTTCACCGTCTGACTCAGAACAGGTGTGGCTGCGACGCAACTCGCAAAGACACTCGGGCCCGGTCATCGCATCGTGACAATTCTATGCGACAGGTAAATGGAAAAGATTTGCTGTTAAATGGCCTCACTAATATATTCACAGTGGCGCGAGACATCTCAGCAAGTTTTGGAAACAGACTGAACCTGTCGGTGGCGCAGTGAACGATGTTTCGCTCGAAAAGATACTCGAAGCCTGAGGCAGTCCCGATTTGTCTTGACAGACTGAGTCAACTGGAATGGCGCGCAAACGCCTCATGGAATACCGACCAGTCAAAGACGACATTGTGGCGAAATCTTCACAGGCACGACCCGGCGAAATAATTTGTGTCTATTTTCACGAGCTCGATGTTACCAGCATGTCGATGCCTGCGGCTGCATACCTGAAGGTCCTTCTAGCACCCGACAATGTCACGAGAAGACTGGGCACATTCATAAAGATACATCACAAAAGGCAGTTCACGTGATGGCGATGAGTCTGATAGAGCGTGCACGGATTGTTACAACACATGGTGCAAGCTTTCGATAATGGACCCCAAAACGAACCAGCACTGTGTCGTGGCATTTCATTCTTCAAAGAATTCGACAGCGCATCGTAGCATACATGAAAGCAAGCCGCTGCATTCTTGTAAGATCCCTTGAAGGTCGTTCACCGTCACTTATGGGAGTGAAGAACACTGTACAGATTATAACCCCACTCACCAGAAGACAATGGACACGTGACGGAACCTAACAAAGCTTCCGTCACTTCACAAGAGTCAGGACCTCTGTCTCGCACGTAACAAAGAACAACAGCTCCAACGATGTCCATGATAATCGACCACACGCTTTGTTCGTTTGTCCATTGTTTAAATATCCCCATAGTCCCTGACCCAGCAATTCCCTGCTCCTTCTCCTCGTCCATAATACATATCCTCCCGCAGCAAACTTCGACAGCACACTGCAGGAGCTCTACGGCTATCAGAAAGACGTGACTGGGCAAATCACGACACCAAAACCATCTTATGCATAGCCACCGCATGAGCAAAACAAGCGGCATCAACAAGGCAAGCAAACCTCACTCAAGCCTCATCCAGAAACGCCTATCAAGAATGCAGTTATCCGCCCGAAACCCCGAGCTCGCAGAGAAGATCTCACAGATGCGCCTCACCATCGCGCCCATCGTGCATGTCCAAACCGGCCAGCCCGGCCCCGACTTCCCACCCATGATGCTAAACCTCTTCCTCCTCACCGAAGCCCAGCTCGACCAACTCGCACACTTCTACTCGCAATCCACGCCCGACGTCTTCACAAACCAATATCCCCAGACGATGGATTGGTCCAAGCCGTTCCTTGAGATAAACAAGTCATTACCTGAGAACTGCAGGCTCGACGAGCTTGAACGCGTAAAGGTCAAGATGCGCATGTTTGCGAGGTTTATTGGCATGCGCGGTGCGGAGACGCCGAGCTGGGAGTATGAGAGGCAAGTAGAGATTTTGGGGAATAAGATTGCGAGGAGCATACAAGAGGAGGAGATGAGTTTGCGGAAAGTTTACATGGGGCCTGGATATAAGTCGTAGTCGCTGAACCTGTGTTTTTGTTGATGGGTACGAACGCGAAGTGTGGCACGCATGAAGTTGGCGTAGCGCAGCGTGGCGGAAATTTTGAGCATTTAATATGCACATATACAAAGTGCCCAAAGTAAATAAAATGCATTGTTTTGGGATAATAAGAAGGTTTCCCTTCGCATAATTGTGGAATTGTGGTGATGTTCTGATAGCAGTGCAGATATTACTTAGTTCCGGTATCACCAGCAAAAATGTAAGTCTTGTATATTCCAAGCATCGATCAACGTATAGGTAAGAGAGTCTCTTCGATGAGCATAAAAGAGCAAAAAAGGTAATCGAGAGATAGTCCTGGTGGGGTCTAGGCACGCTGTTAGTGGACGAAGTCTTCACAAGACCAGTTTTAAACATACTCGAACCCACGGCATCCGCATCACAAGGATTTGATCATAGGAATCATGTGATTCTTATAAGAACGGCGCGCTACCACTGCGCCACAGGACTTTAATTGTCCCTGGACTGAATTTTGACAGTTTTGAAAATTAGCTAAAACCTAAACTTAGCGGTTTGCGGTCCAAAAAGTGATTTTGGGGTTATCACGCCACATGAACATATCTTTGTGGGGCATTTTGTTTGCCGACTGTTTGTCCGACGTCTAGTTGACAATGACGTGGTGTCTGACTGTATGGGTGGGGCATATGTGGCTGGTTGGGAGGGGTTGGGCATACCCGTCTCCGAGAAAGCGGCTAGCAGCTGACCTACCTCTACATCACGATAGTATACTACAACCGTCATCAATAAACTCATTGAAGAGAGTTTCGGGCTTCGAAGCAGCTGCAGTTTACAAATTCAACATTCGGTAAGTGAGATTTCGGTTACCTGTGATACCTGTGCGTTACAACCGAGCGTGACCTCGGGATGACCCGACTTCGCACCCAAAGAGCTCGTCAGCCGCATCGGAGGGCTCAAACGCTGCCTTTTGGTTGGTGGAATACTCTTCCACGTTCATTGAGATATATGAATGTGGAGGCGTCGGACTTGCGGTCTTTCGTCTTACCCCGGTCTCATAAGCACACGTGCTCGCAACTCATCTCCAAATCAGCAGCACTAATAACATGTAGGCTATTACTCTAGTGCTTCATTCGCACTAACGTACTTATCATGACTATTAGGGCTTTTAAGTTCACTCCAGAAGTCCTCCTCGAGGCACCGCGACGTTCTCAAGGTTTGCCAAATTCAGATGGGTCGAAGGTTCTGTATACCGTCTCCTCGTACAGCTTCGCGGAACATGCAAAGAGTCGGGAAATTCGTATGCTGAATGTCGAGACCCAACAGTCGACTGTTGTCACCAGTGATGGTTCTGCAAAAGAAGTTGTGTGGATTGATGATGAGACTATTGTATTTCTCCAGTCTGAAGACGATGGTACCACGTCCATTGGCGTTGGAAACCCCGAGAACTTCGAGAATAGGTACTGAACCTCATGTTGATATCTCGTCTTCCACTAATACGACGCCAGTAAACAAATAGCTGGTAACATCCCAGGACCAGTAGAAAATCTCAAAGTGAAGGATCTTGGTGAAGGCTGGTATGGCGTGGCCGTATCTGGCAAGGCGCAACCTGACGACACATTGCTCAATCCCCAGAAGGTTGAGCACCCGTACTCTTCTGGCAGACTCTACAACAGCGGATTTGTTCGCCACTGGGACACCTGGACGGACCAGAATCGTAATGCAATCTTCCTCACCAAGTTGCACAAGAAGGAAGATGGCACCTTTGAGCTCAATCAAGCTGGAATTAAGAACGCGCTTGCAGGCACGAAACTTTCCAGCCCAATTGAACCGTTCGGCGGAGTGGACCACTTTGATATAGGAGTCTACGGACTTGTCTTTACTTCAAAGGATGCCACCCTCAATCCAGCGACACATACCAAGACGAACATACACGTAGTCGCAAAACGAGGGTTCTGGCACAACTTGTTCTACGAAGAGTTCCCAGAGATCAAAACAGTGACAATCGACGGGTTCGAAGGTGCTTGCACAAGCCCCGTCTGGTCGAATTCGGGGAAGATGATCGCCTTCCTGGCCATGAAGACGGATGGTTATGAGTCCGACAAGAATCAGCCTTTTATCATTCACGACTACACCAACCCTTCGGAGCTCACACCGATATTCGCCAGCAAAGATGGGAAGGGCAAATGGGATCGGAGCCCGCAGTCGATAACTTGGAGTAAGGATGACTGGCATCTCTATTTCCTTGCAGAAGAACATGGACGTGGTTGCTTGTTCAGTGCTGGCCCTCCCACAGCGAAGGATGCTGATTCACCTTTGCCCTCACTATTGGTAAAGGGTGGCACGATTGGTGCAGCTACGGTCCTTAGTAATGGCGACCTTTTCCTTACATCGACAAGCTTGATCGAGAACAGTCTGTACTCAGCTGTACCTCTCAGCGCCCGCAAAGGCCGAAACGATACGTACACTCTTCCTATCGATGATCGTCCTTTCGACGCAAACCCCGACAGTCTAACCACGAAATACGTATCGTCCAGCTCGCGCTCAGGGTCCATGTTCGGCCTTTCCCGCGCGCAAGTCGACGAGATACACTTCCCCGGTGCCGCAAAAGATACTTCAGTTCACGCATGGGTCATCAAACCCAGCAATTTCTCCTCCAAGAAGACCTACCCACTTGCGTACCTAATCCACGGTGGCCCACAAGGTGCCTGGACAGACGGCTGGTCCACGCGCTGGAACCCCGCCGTCTTCGCAGAGCAAGGCTACGTAGTCATCTGCCCGAACCCAACAGGATCCACATCCTACGGGCAAGATTTCTGCGACGCGATCCGCGGCCAATGGGGCGGATTGCCATACGAAGACATCGCGCTCGGCTTCGACTGGATCAAGGAGAACTTGAACTACGTCGACACGGACCGCGCCGTTGCACTCGGTGCAAGTTACGGCGGCTACATGATGAACTGGGTGCAAGGCCACGAGCTCGGTCGGAAATTCAAGGCCCTGGTAACTCACGACGGCATTTTCAGTATGGCGGGTCAGATGGCGTCAGAAGAGCTGTATTTCCCCTTCCACGACCTGACCGGCAAGCCGTGGGACAAGCCTGAGGAATGGGCGCAATGGGATCCTAGCCGCTTTACAGAGAACTGGGACACACCTCATCTGATTGTACATAGCGAGTTGGATTACAGGCTGACGGTAAGTGAGGGCTTGGCGGCGTTCAATGTGCTGCAGACTCGGGGTGTGGAGAGTCAGTTTTTGACGTTCCCGGATGAGAATCATTGGGTGCTTAAGCCGGAGAACGGGCTTATGTGGCATGAGGTTGTGTTGGATTGGATCAATAAGCATGTGGGGCTCGAGAAGTATACAAAGGGGAGGGAGAAGCAAGGCTTAGAGATGGGTGAAAAGACGTTGGCGATCCGTTGAGGATTGTAGGAAGGAGCCACTCTGTAACAGCCTTGCGTGAGGTTTGGTTTGTTTGGCATCATCTTCCCATCAGGATCTATGTACTTTTCAAAAACTGACGAATAAATACATTATCCTTTCTTGGTCTATTTTCGTGCAATGACTGCTCTCGGACAAGAGTAACATGCTACATCCTCATGAAGAGTGCCCTTTTAGCATCATACGAACGTAATCATCTTGTCTTCGTATGTGAGCCGAGCATGTACAAAGCGGTGCGGGTAATGCAGTGGAGCCGAGATTCACGCGCTAAGCTGAAGGCGGTGGCAGAAAAAGTTGCGGGCGTCGCGCATTCGAGCTCTCCAACAATCGTGACTTTACTACCTCCATTCGCACCGCCCACCAAGTCTGAGAAGTAGTTGTTATACGGTGCGCGCCGATAGCTGTTCTCTCTGCGATCCCATTTTCGCCACCATCCCGACTGCGCCGGCCAAATCGAGGGAATTGTGTGAGGCGGCGGAGAAGCTTGCGGAGCTGCCATAATGCCGAAAAAAGCTATGTATGTGCAATCGCACTCTATAATGATGCAGTGGATACTTACAAATAGTGCAGCGACTCCCGGATACTGGCGTTGATCCGTAATGGCGCCCAAGAAAAGAAACGAAGCTTCTTCGTGGTAGTAGGCGACCGACAGAAGGACGTCATAGTCAATCTCTATCACATCCTGCTTAATGTAGATGTCAAGCTGAATAAGTCGGTACTATGGGCGTACAAGAACAAGCTGTTAGGATTCTCGAGTCACCGACAGAAGCGTGAAAAGAAGATCAAGAGCGAGATTAAACGAGGCATTCGCGACGTCGACACCGAAGACCCATTCGAACTATTCGTCTCAACGCAGAACATCCGATATGTGTACTACAAGGAAACAGACAAGATTCTTGGTAACACATATGGCATGTGTATATTGCAAGACTTTGAAGCCCTCACGCCGAACCTCCTCGCGCGCACGATCGAGACGGTAGAAGGAGGTGGTTTGGTCATTCTGCTACTGAAGGGCATGAGCAGCTTAAAGCAGCTATACACTATGTCCATGGACATTCACTCGAGATATCGGACTGAGGCGCACAGCGATGTTGTACCACGGTTCAACGAGCGCTTCATTCTGTCTTTGGGCAAATGCGACAGCTGCTTAGTGGTGGACGACGAGCTGAACGTGCTACCAATCTCCGGTGGCAAGCACGTAAAACAATTAGCGCCACCAGACCCAGAATTGGAGGGCAAGACGCCCAAGGCGATAGAGCTGGCCGAGATCAAAGAGTCCCTGGCAGATTCGCCTCCAGTAGGCGATTTGATCAAGCTCGCCAAGACCGTGGACCAGGCGAAAGCGTTGCTGACGTTTGTTGATGCGATTGTCGAGAAGACGTTGCGCAGCACTGTCACCCTCACAGCGGCGCGTGGACGAGGAAAGTCTGCAGCTCTTGGAGTAGCTGTAGCAGCGGCAGTTGCGCATGGATACAACAACATCTACATCACCTCCCCTAGCCCAGAAAACCTGAAGACTCTATTCGAATTCATACTCAAGGGATTCGATGCACTCGGCTACGTGGACCACCAGGATTACAACATCATACAATCCATGGAGCCGGATCAGGCCAAGGTTATTCTACGCATCAACTTACACCGGAGCCACCGCCAGGTTATCCAATACATCAAACCCGAAGACGCGCATGTGCTTGGTCAAGCAGAGCTTTTGGTTATCGATGAGGCGGCAGCAATTCCCTTACCACTTGTACGGAAACTCATGGGCCCATACCTGGTTTTCATGGCTTCCACGATTAACGGGTACGAAGGAACGGGCCGATCGCTTTCCCTGAAGCTCATCCAACAGCTTCGTGATCAATCAAGAGGCGGCAAAACGAATGGCTCAGCGAAGGTTGTTGATCGATCGACCGGAAAAGAGGCAAGAGATGGCGCCGAGAATGCCATGGCCGCTCGTTCACTGCGCGAGATCACTTTGTCCGAACCCATTCGATACGCACAGGGCGACTCGGTTGAGCGATGGCTCAATGATCTTCTCTGTTTGGATGCTACCCTGCCGAAGTCGAAGCTGAACACTCAAGGCTGCCCACACCCCAAGGACTGTCAGCTCTTGCACGTAAATCGTGACACCTTGTTTTCCTTCAACCCCGCTGCCGAGAAGTTCTTGCAAAAGATGATGGCGCTATACGTGGCTAGTCATTACAAGAACACACCAAACGATCTCCAGCTCATGTCTGATGCGCCCGCCCATCAGCTTTTCGTCCTAGTGGCCCCTGCTGAGGACAACAAGCTGCCGGAACCTCTTTGCGTGATTCAAGTTGCACTGGAAGGTCAAATTAGCAAAGAGAGTGTGCTCAACAGTCTGAGTCGAGGCCAGCGCGCTGGTGGTGATCTCATCCCGTGGATCGTGTCTCAACAGTTCCAGGATGAGAATTTCGCAAGCCTTTCTGGAGCGCGTGTTGTCCGGATAGCAACAAATCCCGACTACGTCAGCATGGGTTATGGGTCTCGTGCGCTTGAGCTCCTCGTGGACTTCTACGATGGCAAACTCGCAAGTCTGTCGGAGAGCGAGCCTCAAGAAATAGAAGAGATGCGAAGAGTGACTGAGAACGAGTTAGAGGACGCCTCGTTGTTGCAGGACAACGTCAAGGTCAGGGAGGCGAACGATATGCCTCCGCTTTTCGGCCGCCTACCCGAGCTCAAAGCACCACAACTCGACTATGTCGGTGTATCGTATGGACTTACTCAGCAGCTACACAAATTCTGGAAGAAGAGATCGTTTGTTCCAGTCTATCTCCGCCAAACACCAAATGATTTGACTGGCGAGCACACCTGCATCATGCTGCGATCACTAGAAACCACTTCATCGGACGGTAGCTGGGTCGCTGCGTTCACGAAAGATTTCCAGAAGCGTTTCCTCTCTCTTCTGTCGTATCAATTCCGCACATTCCCCTCCGTCACATCCATGTCAATAGAAGAGTCTGCATCAGCTGGCTCGAAATTGGATGCCGACCTTTCTGCGAAACCGATCACGAAGGCAGAACTGGATGCGCTGTTCACGCCCTTCGACCTCAAGCGTCTCGACTCGTATGCGAACAACATGCTCGACTACCACGTTATCCTCGACATGCTTCCGTCGATTGCGCTACTCTATTTCTCCGGTCGTCTCAAGAGTACAGTCACACTCAGCCCTGTCCAACGAGCACTGCTACTCGCTATCGGTCTTCAGCGCAAAGAGTTTTCCGACTTAGAGAAGGAGTTGAACCTCAACGCCAGCCAATTGATGGCCATGTTCGTCAAAATCGTCCGCAAGGCCGCGACAGCTTTCAGGGCCATAGTTGAAGGAGCAGTCGAAGAGACTATGCCGGAAGCCATGGAAATCGAGGAAAACGGCCCCGACGGCGATGCCACGGACGGCGCCGACCAACGCTTCAAGCCCCTGACGAAGGATCTGCAAGAGGAGCTCGAGGAAGGTGGTGATGAAGTACTTCGCGAAGAAAGGGAACGGGCACGTAACCTTATCGATGCTCTACCTCTACACAAGTAAGTCTTGACATACGTTCATACGAAACTTCAATATCTAACAAACTCCATCAGGTATGAAATCGGCTCCGGCGCAACAGATTGGCAAGAAGCCGAAAAGTCCATCAAGAAAGCAGCGAAAGAGGGAAAGACAGGCAACCTCACCGTCGCGGTCAAGACAGGCGAGAAGAAGAGGAAGGTGGGCGAGGCAGTTGAGGAAGCATTTAAAGAGGCGGAGAAGTTCAAGGAAGGTGCTGGTGGTAAGAAGAAGAAGCATAAGTCGAGCAAGAGGTAATCGCATTGCTCAAGTCGCATTCGAGAGGTGTTTGGCGTTTGATATCCGGGAAAAGTTTTCACTGGATCAGTTCCGAAGAAATGTGTATACTCAATACATTCATGCATACCAAATCGCTGCATTCTGAGTATTATGTGGCGTGAGATCCTTCTCCACGTATTTTGAAGAAACAATTTACGTTGACACGAAAACAATGGTTTGGACAGCATGCAAGCACGTCACACACGGCTGAGCTCATGTATGCTGGCTGACATGCTCTTGTATATTCAACGTAGGCACACAAGCTATGCCAACGGACAAGAAGTCATCATTTAGCATACAGCGCTCAGAGATCTCGTCACAGGTCATAGCTAGTTGTGGCTTCGTTCTTCTGGAAAAGGAACGAAACATACCTTTGTCTTGAACAACGCTTTTACTTTCCCAGCTGTATTTGTGTGTACGTGTGTAGTAGACAAGGGGAAGTCGGACCAGCATATACCGCAGAAGTTCTGGAGCATGGCTTCCAAATACACAGATTTTGATACGATGTGTTGATACCTCTAGTCCTTCAATCGCAGTGAGTGGACGGATCGGACAACACACTTGTATATTTTGCCTTTCAGTTTTCATCGACAGATAACAAGTCTCTGTCGTATCGAGGCACAGGTGCATTCTCAGAGTTACATTTGAGCATTTGGTCGAGACAAAGAGGTGGTGGACATGAGTAGTAGGGCGTAGCGCTTTAGGAGACACGAGACAGTGTTCTCAACTATCCTTGATGTTGTGCTTCTGTCTACGTCAGAAAAAAGCAATGAAGTGTGTATGGAAGGTATTAAAGTATTATTATCTCATGAAATCATACGGGATGATACGGGCCCGGCCCTTTCTCGCGACTCTCTGGTCGTCCCCAAGTTGTTGGAGTATCTGGCCCTACAGTGGTCGGTGACCTCATGTCATCCATATCAATCGCGCTCGTAATAAATTGTGAGCCATCGGCTCTCGTGTCGTACATGTCCTGGGCTGAAATATCCTCACTCTCTCTTCGACTGACCATGCCGCGAAAAGACCTGTACGCAGGCTTGGGTCTTGGCCTATTCCAAGCAGGATGACTGAATCTCGCGGCTCGCCCGGGAGCCGAGTCCAGTCGATACTCTGCGCCCGTGTAGTTTTCGGAGCTCCAATTTCGTAGTTTGAAGACTCGTTGTATGAGTGGGTAGATAAGAGGAAGGTTGGCGCAGAGGATAGCAGTGTATGACTCTCGGAGATACCAGACTGTCCATTCTGTGCCGAACGGGTTTTTGAATGAGTAGAATTTGTTGAGGACGGCTGCAATGATGCTGAAAGAGCCAATCATGAACACCCCAACCAAGACTGCCTTGTTCTTTTTCGGTAGGCGAATTCGGAATAGTAACGGTACTGGTCAACGATTAGCGTACACCTTTGGAATTGTTGGTGCGACGGCCCTCTTACTAGGTATGCTCAAGATGATTAGGTCGGAGGAGATGTTGAACACAGCATTCGTAATTAAGTGGTTTGTGGCAGCATTGCATTGTGCTATCTCGGTCAATAAATGGTTTCAGATAGTGAGATGACAACCTTACGAGACGGTCTTGGTCTGACTTGCCAGTACTGTGAGAAGGGCCGACACCACACAGCGAAGTAGAGTACCTCCATGACAACCTACATCCACTATTAGTCGAGATCTTCGTGGAGTCGTCTAAACTCACAAATCCTATAGCGACGTATATCGAGGTACCAATGACAATCCTGCGTTGTGGAAGGACAAGCGTCATCCGCCTGTACATGATGAGAAGACACGCCTTGATGATCCAAATGGTCAAGATCTGCATCTGCTCAACCACCAGAACAATCTTCGATCCATGGATACGATCATTGATCTCTTGGTCGCTAAACTTGTTTACGTCCATGTCCGATGGGACGAGATTACTGTTTGTTTGTACGACAATATGCATCATCGCTATGAGGACTGTGTCCGTGGCCTACATGACGGTTTAGTCGATGCTCCATGATGGGTACTTGAATACTCATACCATTGCCACAAGTATGAGGAAGTCATCGAGCTGGAGACGCTTCCAGGAGCCTAGGTGCAGTCTCCTAGAAGAGAAGCGCAAGATCACCACAATCCAACAAAGGGCATAGAATATCCCCGCCTCGGGCTCGAGGAGCGACGACATCCGCCGAGTGCCGCTTTAAAGTGTAGCCCCGTTCTTTGTGCCCATTCAGTTGAAAATCGCGGTCTGGCGATTGACTTCACTGTAAACCTGCTCATTCGTTGGTCCAAGCTGTCAGGACTGGTATGCGATTGCTTGTGGAAAGCTCGAGACTGTCAGCACAAGACGCAGCTGAGCAATTCAAGTTTACTGCGTCATACGCAGACTACGCTTGGAATTAGAGCCTCTCAAGATGTTCGAAGAGTTGCGCCTATCGCGGGTGGAGCGTCCATGGGCTAGGATTGGTCGCTTTGGGTAGTGTAGAGAGGTCGGAGAGTTCCGAAAGCGTGGGACCAGGCTTACGGGCGCGCCAGGAGCGCGCTGACATGCGCAGGGAAGAGCTTTATCTCACCTACAAATTCCAAGCGCCGAGAACAATTCGAGCCCGGTGCCGCAGTCCCGAGTCTGACAGTTCTACTCTAGATGAATGCGGCAACGATCGATAGCGTCGATTCAAGAGCACGAAAGTGGCTTGCTTGAGCTAGCCTTTCGCAACCCGCTCGACTCCGCGGCAGGCAAGTTTGGCGGTTATGAGACGTTGTTCGTAGTGATGGCTTTGGTCCAGGTTGCAAGAGTTCGAATGTGGAAGAGGGTGAAATTTTCTCTAATAATTACGCAGGGATATCTGTGTACAAACGAGGATTTTGTGCAATGAAACCGTCTCACCAAGGCGTGTCACCAGTGCCCGCGATCTGCGATGGGGCTTTATCGCTGACTGCATGTTTTGACTCGAGCGCGTCATTCCTTCGAAGAGTGATGTTTCGTGATGCTAAACAACCAGGGGAGGTGACATATCGCGCGACTGCACATTGAGTCCAATCATGGCTCGTGTTGCGAAAATGCCGCTGTCAAAACAGCATGGGTCGTCGAATCTTCGATACGCACGTTCCGTTCGTAGCCAAGGTATAGCGAAGAAGTTTAGTACGAAGGCAAGTGAGTGGACAGGGCGCAGAATCAACAAAATTATCAAGGGAAGTGCGGCTCGTGCATTCCAAGTTTGCAAGCGCCTAGTGACATCGACCTCAAGCCACACGTGCCCTTAAACCTATCAAATGGCGCACTTACTCAAGAGCACATCTACGATCTCAAATCCTCGGGAGACATGTGTGTAGACGTGCTTCAAAGGCTTACCAAGCATACAGGATTGAGTGATGTGGTGTCCAGGTAGCGAGGTCGAAACATGATCACGTTCGAATCTCGAATCGCGATGTACCCTTGACACTGTTGCGGAGCCTCAACTACTGACTCGTGTCAAAGCATAAGTTAGAAATTGTATAGACAACGGATAGGTTGTTGCCATACCGGAAGAAAATGTCACTGGAATAATATTTGAGGACCCGACGCATACTCGTATGCGCTCGCAAGCTTCATTGGAGCTTTTTCAGTCACCTCACTCTGTCCAAAAATCTGCATCCTTATCATCCCACTCTTATTGTATGATCTTATACTCCCACATACCGGGTAAGGCGTCTACAGTGCCGCGACATTTTCCACTCGTTTTTGGCTTATTTGTATGCTTTGCGAAGTGTACCTAAAAATTACTCCCTCTTGCTTGGAATTCCTCCAGAGACACATTTCCGTTATGTTGTGTGAATCGTGTTGGGCGACCATAGGCAAATGGGTTTCAACGATGCTGAGGCATAAATTGTGTCAGACGCTTGGAATACTTCGACGATATACCTGTGATTGGTGGATAGGCCTCAGACTGGATGTTAATCGTCAAATCTCCTACTGGCTGTCACAGAGCAGAGCGCCGTTGATCAGGCCATTGTAGTCGTCGGTAGCGAGGATGTTCACTTCGGTCCGATTCATTGACTCGTGCTTACCCAAACCATCTACGTCTCGGGGCCAGCATGATTCGTAACGTGACTGCTCAGACGCCAGGAAGGAGGAGACAAGACAGGCCTAGTAGAGGTTGAATAATTTTCCCGGATGATCCACTTCAGGCGTTCCATTCCCGAGTATCTCAATTTGGATGTGAAGGAATTGGAAACACAGATAATCAAATTCGAGAGATCGTGATTTATCACATCGTGCAGCAATATGAATGATACAGTATTATATTGGCGTGCCTGGGAGGAACTGAATTGTGTTGTCGTCGTGGCGATTGGAGGCTTTCCACTTGTATAGGGTGGGAATCATTGGCGTATTGCATGCCTTTGAACAGTACATTTTCTCTTGGTTATGTCTACAGTGATCATCGAAGTGCCTGAGTTGTTCACCACTATCACATTTTTCAACGCTGCAGGTGCCCCATCGTTCTTCGGGCAAAATAGAGTAGTATTTAATCGAAGTTGTTGCAAAGCTCTAGAAGCGAACAATAGCGCAATAAACCTCAGGACTAGTCGCTGATGTAAAACAGGAAAGATGGGATAGATTTATGGTTCAACCAATGCTCACTACTGATGTTATGACATGCCTTTTGCAGTTGATGAGCGATTCCCAACATTCTCAAGACTTCAACCGCAGGTCACTAAGTACGACGGAAAGTAGACAAGCGCATCCAATAGCCCGAAGCTATACACAGTATCGCTTGGCTTCGACTGCGCGGCAAAGGCACCCTGATCGCTTTCGGTAATAAGTACAAAAGTTTGACAGTAACAGAACTCATTCAAATTTTCGCGCACATTCAGAAACATGTAGATTCCATACTGTTCCATGATGAAACAGAGCGCTGCCAAAGACCGGGAGGGCATCTGCGCGCATCATAGCCCATTGAGCCATAGCAGCCGCGCTCAATCAGATCGCGCAAACTTATTAATCCAATCAATCAAAACGAAATCACTATGTGAGAGGAGTAACACGATGCACATATCTAATTCTTCATTAGCCGTTGACAGCTATGATGTTGTCCCACTGTCCTTCCTGATGTGCAAAACGTTTGTAGCCTCATTCAAGGCGTCATGATTGATTCACGCCAACACAACAAATCACTCTCTTTTCAAAACGCGACGAGGATGGTTTGATTACATGCAGCGTGTTTGACGTTGCAGTAAAAAAAAGAGCACGTAGTTTAGCGTTGTGGTTGATCACTGACCTCCTGCTCATCCACCACCACTGACGATAGGATAATTAAAACGCAAAAAAGAAATGATGACGGTCTCTCAGACGGGGAATCGAACCCCGGCCTCCTGCGAATCGTCTGCTCGATGACAAGCAGAAATACTGACCACTATACGATCTGAGACAAGACTCGAAACTCGAGTAGATCTTTTTTGATGGAGTCTCGGAGAAATAATCAAAACATAATCCTGATAATGACGTGGAGGACGAAGAGAAGACGGCAACTACAAGAGTATGTGGGCCAAAATAGTGACCGGAACAAGGCGGCATGGCTGAAAAAAACCTAATAAGCGACTGCAGGGTATACGCTACACGAAAAATTTGCTAGCCAAAAACCATCCCCCCACATTCCAACCATACTCCGACAACACTAAACGACATCAGTCTTTAGCCTTAACTGACCCTCGTCCATCCCCCGAAGAACTGCCTCGAATTTGCACTTTAGCATCCTGGCCCACCAAAACATCGCCTTCCCCTAACATCCTATGCTCAATGTTGACTTTCGGGCCCTTGAACCACTTGTGCGCAGACACAAACCACCAGATTGTCACCATGAGCATGGGGCCTCCGTAGACGAGACAGGTCCAGTTCATGTCGGCGGGGCTGGTTGTGCGTTAGCAAGAATTCGAACAAGTGACAGAAAAAGGGAACTCACGTCAAATCTGCGCCTACTACGCTTGGCAAGCATAGAATGGGCACCATGAGCGCTACAAACGCCGATGCAATCACACCGATGGGCATGGAGAATTTGCCCAGGTGCCAGGGGCCGGGGCGGAATCTGTTGCCGACGAAGAAGACGCGGATGACGATGGGGATTGTGAATGCACTGGGCGCTGTCAGCTTCTTTGGCTTCCAAGTACATTGGGGGAGAATATGGCACTCACACAAACGCCGCGATCGCTCCAATGGAGAATAGTGCGCCAATAGCCAAATCGCCTCCGAAGATGAGGAATAGGAGTAGAATGCCTATCGCGCAGTTGAACCATACGGCATTTGCAGGCGTTTGGGTGTGCTTATTGACTCTCCTCCAGTATTTGCTTAGAGGGAAGCAATCATCGCGTGCGTATGCAAACGTAACCCGCGACGCAGCAATCATGCATCCCTGGCCCATACTGAAGCCCGCCATGATGGTCAGCGAGAGAATCGCCAGTGTCATCTTCTGCGTCATGCACTGCATTAGATATGCAGCAAACGGCTGTCCGAGATCAGAGTCCAGCACGGCCTCAATGTCCACGACAGTATAGGCGACGACGAGTTGCAGGAACCAGCCGAATATACCGCCGGTGGCAGAGGTGAGCACGATAGCACGCGGCGACGCGATATTGGCGTTTGAGCATTCTTCAGCCAGGTGGAAGGGGCTGTCGTAGCCACTCATGGTCCAGATGACGCCGATGAAACTCATCAGGACCGCTACTCCTGGTGGGAACGCGGTGCCTTCGTAGATTGTGCCCCAGACTTCGCTGGAGGGAGTGAAGCGTGGGAGATCGCGGTCGGCGCGGTTCGTACCAGCAGGGATCAGAATGATGACGACGATGAGGGCGAGGAAGTTGAATGTCGAGCCAGCGCTGTTGAACTGCGCAAGCCACTTTGTCGGCATAGAGGACAAGATAGCGTGAATGATCATGATGAAGACAGTCAAAAGGAAGACCTGATAGCTCTGAGGCGTGTACGCCGGATTATTGATACTCGCAGCAGCAAGTATCATAGCCGAGATACCATAATTAACTACATTTTACATCTATCAGCCTCTTTTTCATCCAGCATATATCCAGCAAAACTCACCAGACGGTGCAGCAGTCACCTGCGCGCACCAATTACTCCACCCAGTAATCCACGCAGCAAAGGGTCCCCATTTGCCAGGCGCCAGCACAGCAGCAGCATAATACAAACCACCGCTCGTCGGCATACTACTACACAGCTCTGCCATACTCATCGCCACACATTGAATCCCTATCATCGCTATTATCCAGCCCCACGTCATCCCCGCCGTGCCCGCATACCCCATGCCATAATACAGCGTGCTCGCGAAACTGGGGAGTAGGCCCAGGACCGCAAAGCTCACGGAGAAAGTTGTCCAGAGCGAGAATTCGCGCTTGAATTCGCTCTTGTAGCCAAGTGCAGCAAGGACTTCTTCGTCCGCGGAGAAGGCATGGTCGGAGTCGTAGGGGATGTTGTCGTCGGGCAGGATGCTGGTGACGGGTTCATCAGCGACGGAATGGCGTAGCATGGTCATATTCGTGCATCAATAAGGGTCCTGTCAAAGGAAAATGTCTGCATGTGCATGCGCTGCACCTGCAGCAGCTTGATCCATTATATATATCTACCACGAATTCTCCACGGCGGGTGCGCAACCAGGGACAGCGAGCGCTATCAGAAGCGGGGGCGGGAGGTCGCGTGTATCTAGCCCGGCCGTCATTTCTTCGATAGGCGCTTCTCTTGCAGCGAATGACGACACAGGGCGTTGTGGTTCGTTATCAGGTCGGGGCCTAGGGCCCTGGTTCGTGGTGGGAGATGATCGCGGTTCGCCGGGACTAGGTTACTGCAAGCGATGGGTTGCAGCGGAGAAGATGCGAGCGGATGCCAAGAGGGCAGCCACAGTGCGCCATTGTGTGTAGTCGTGCACTGAGCAAGAGCACAAAGAGCACAGTTTGTCGTGTCAGGGGCTGGTGGCTCGATTGGTGGGGGATTTGTGTTGCGGTTTCTGAGACACTGTAGACCCATCTTATGGGCCAAGATATGTATCCTGGGCAGATCTGCTCTACCCGGCTGGACATGCTGCAATGGGTAAGGGCTTGTTTGCAAGAGTTGCGGCTGCTGGCTCTGTGCAGGATAACGGCGTGTCGCGTGTGTGAGATGGGATTGATGACATTGCGAGTTAGTCAAGATGATAGCCACGTTGCAAGCCGGATGGTCTTCAATTCGAAGCAAGAAAGTGCCACAGGTGGCAGGTGGAGTTCATCTTCGTGACTATCTGCAATTATCTCAATAGTAGCTTGAGCCCGCCGCATAATCCGACTTCGTGCCTGGAAATGCTCCAGCAGGCGGGCTTCTGTCATCCTCATCGGCACTATCATCTTCGTCGCCATTGAATGTATCTGTAGAGTCTGGCGGGGCTCTCATACGAACAAGCGCATCCTCATCGAGCGCGGGAATCACAAACATTTTCTCGGTATGATATGATCTGCCTGAAGGCATGCTTGCCAGCAGTGGTTCTGAGGGCGGAATGAGCTGGACACCGACCTATAGATGTCAGTAAAGAAAGCACGAGAGGAGAGGAAGCATGAAACCTACCGTGTCATTTTGTTTCTCCCACTTTTTCAATAGCATATCAATAATGCGACCTTCTTCAAACTTGCCTGCATCAGTGCCCCAATCCACACCCTTTTCAATCTTGCGATCTTCACGCTTCTCCTGCCATCCTTTCTTAAGCTTGGAAAAACCAGAAGACTTCTTCTCCTCATCTGCAGCCAGAGAAGCAAACCCAAGCTCCTTTCTCGCGCCGCGCAGCCACGCAATGCCTTCTCCGGTCTTTCCACCAGTCTCGGCATCGCATGCCAGAAAGCGACAGGCTTTACCTTTTGCCGTCCGTCTGAGATCATCAACGTACTTTAGCAGATCATCGTTGACTTTCGATGATCGGCCTAGCATGGCTTGAGCTTTGGCGGCTTGCTCAGATGAAGCGAGACACAGCCGTGCAAACAAATGCGCTCTGACTTTTGGTATGTCTACGCTCTTGAACATCCAGTCTTTGCTCTGCTTGTTGCGATCTTCAAGCACCACAGCTGGGTATGGATCGTCCTTCAGCACCGTGATAAGCGTCGCCTCAGCCATGGTGAGTGCAGCCAGTGCACCCATTGTCGAGGCTGAGATATCCACTGCGCCAGGCTGAGTGTTCCATTGCCCTGCGCGATTGACCAAGTATGTGTGTATTGAGTTTGCGTCGAGAAATTGCTTCATTGCAGTAGCGATCGCCGTGGCGCGTTGTTCCGGCGATGGAAGTGTCGCATTGTAGAGAGTATGTAGCTGCGCTCTCGCTTGTAGGCTATATACGTATGCGAGTGTCGACAATGTGAAGCAAAGTTCACTTTCTAAACTCTTGAGTTTTACTCTTGCAGATTCGCGCCCGGGTATTGACGAGCCCAGTGTGGAACGCCATTCTACCTCCAGTTCTTTGACGAGTACAAGGTCAATCTCTTCCCCGGCACAGTAAGCTCCACTCAGTCCCGCATCTAGGGCAAAGAGGAATGGTATATATTCGTTTAGGGCAGATTGTATGGTCGAGAGGTTCGAGGCTTGAGACGATGGCGGGATGCGCTTATGACGCTTGAGCACGTCGCGAACGACGCCTCGCGCGGTGGTTGCGCAGTTCGGTAGTGACGGGTGAGTGCTGCTATTGAAGTAGTCTGTGAACGATATGCTTGAAGTTGTTGGAAGTACGAAAGGAAATGGCATCTTCAGAATGTCGAGTGTTGTTGTTCTGAGCTGCGGCGCAGGGAACGGAGCTATGGTGGGGTTAGAGGCGCTGGCCTTGGCCGCATCATGCCAGCCTTGGGGTCTCAAAAGGACCCAAGTACTTTGTCATTTCGACGATGGCTTGAAGATGAGAAAGGAAAAGAGAAAATGTGTAGTACTCATGCAATTGATGATGTATGATAGGGCACCTGCCCGCTTCTCTCCCTTCCCTTGGCTGGTATATGTACAAATGTGCCAGTGTAGAAGAAACCAGATGTCCATTGTGGAGACTTCCTACATGAAATTCGTGTGAACGCCAGATATTGTATCATCCGCATAGTGCTGGACCTTGTATCTTGTCCGCTCCGTGGCTCACGCGAATAGGCTGATACACGCACCTCGACAGGCCGTTGCGTCTGAACTCGTCTACTGCTTCTTGTACGGGTCGTCGATGTAGTTCTGCTGTGCGAAGAGGTATCCCTTGACCTTGGCATCCTTCAGCAGCTCGAAGTAGCGCTCTACATAGATTCTGTCAGCTTTCTACCCCAAAGACGTCGAGCGGATGTCTAGGGTAAATTCCCCCCTAGTGGCTCTCAACACCTCATTTTGTGCCACGTTTTGCCCAATTCCGCCATGCGGGATCTTCTTACCTCGCAAATGTCCACACTTCTCCAAGTGGTTTACACCCTCCCTCCGGTAGCACTTGCCCATCTCATCCCTCACTAACCGCGCCATCATGCTCTTGACCCACTGCTCCCTGATAATGGCATCCTGTGCGGCCTTGAGAGCTACGTTGTCTTCGTAGTCGACGCCCTCGAAGGAGGGAGCGACCTTGGGCTTCTTTGCGAGAAAGAGTTCAGACTCGGGTGTCGGCATCGCGGCGGTAGTGGGCGCGGTGCGCAGTCGAATTTGTGTACGTAAGTATAAGGATCGACTGCGACAGTCCTGGCAAGTCAATTGGTGGCGTGTGGGGTGCGAGGCGGACGTGTGGTTGTTGGTGATGCGGTTCGGCGATCACTCAACACTGCGACGCCGAGCCGCGATAGCTCTGGTTGCACGTGACTTGGCCATGCTCGATGCCTGGACGGCGGCTCCTTAACAAATCATTCATTACATATTTCATACTTCAAGGAGCCGAACCATGATAGAATGAGTGTCGATTTGAGGATTGTCGCAGTCAAGTAAATTGTGCAACGCGAAAACCGCTGAAACATGTTCACAGTACCGCAAATACACGTCCTCTAACAGGACATACTCTGTTCTATCTCCAGGCGCGCATACTCGCATCATTCCTCTCCTCACCAAATCTCACTAATCTCCCTTAATTCTCCTCCCAACCTCCCTCCACCTCCAGTCCTTCCACTATCCAGACTTCCACCCCTCCATCCACTTCGATCCCACCGCCCAAACCCCACTGTCCACCTTTGGCGCCTTGTCTGCCCTGCCCTGCAAAATCATTTCTTCGCTCTGGCGTTTTGCTGGCTGCCTATTTTGCATGCGCTTAATCATATGAGCCTCAGGCATAGACTCGAGCGCGTATAGTCGCTCGTCTCTGGCGCGGATGCATTCACCGCATTGAGTTTCGATTTTGCGGGTGTACAGTGGGTGCGTGAGACCTACTTCGCATGGCTGAAGGTTGGAGTTGCGAGATGCGGGTATGATGGTTCTCTTCGCTGCAAGGTCCGTCTCTAATGGTGGCGGAGGTAGTTGCGAGTTTCTTTTCGGATGTGATCCCGCCTCGAGATCTAGTACAACGTCCGTAGTCTTGGTGACCATGTCCTTGGGCGGTCCACATGTGGGCTGTGTTTCCGTGGGGTCGGTATTCTTTGCATTTTCGCAGTACCTAACCGGCGTCGAAGAGTAGGTCGTGTGGCCACAGCCCTGGAATTTGAAGTAACGATAATAGCACATGTTGAGCGAATGTGTTTATTTGATGATACATTAGCGACGTGCGAAAGGATTTCTCGAAAGTGAAAGATGTCGCAGACGTTGTGACTGCGAAAGATTCAAGGGTAGCGAGAGGTCTTTGTTCCTTGGTCGAAGTTGCCCTTTGTTCCAAGGTTACCTTTCCACTTATAAAGCAAAGACGAAGGAGTGAAGGAATGAAGAATGCGCGGTGACTTCTAAATTTGTGATGCGCGTCTGGTGACTGCGGCTGTGGTGACTATTACAGTTTGTCGCGGGTACCCGTGCGCACCCGTGTGGTAATCTCCAACGTGGTCAGACTTGGATGTTCCATGTCTATTTTTCGCATTAATACATGTGTACTTCTGAATAGGGTATCGATACAAGAATAGAAGGGTGCTAAAAAGATGCCCGCTAAATGCATTGACGCACCACGAAACAATGGTCTCAGGCTTTGCTGTCCTTATCCTCACCTGAGGCAGCCGTGACTCCATTTGCCTGAGTCTCCGCATCCACAGGCAGCGAACCCTTGCTCGCTCTTTTCCTTCTCCTTTCCGCGCGCTCCGCGTCCCTTTCAATCTTCTTCTGCTTTTCTACGTCGAGACCAGTTTTAGTCTCTTCGTGCTGCTTGTCGAGCTTGTTCTTTCCAATCAAGAAGCTGACACCAAGACCGGCTGCAGCAAATGCGACGTACAAATACCACATCGTGCTCAGTGAGCTGGAAAATGCTTGTCGCGCCGCGAACTTTTGGTCGTCGGGAAGGCTTTGTATCAAGCCAACGTTGGCTCCGGCGGCTCCACCTCCGAATGATGACGCCCTCTCAGGCCCAAGGGTTGCAGCAAGTTGTGCTTGCTTCGACTTCATCTCGTTCTGGAAGATAACAGAACCGACAACGACCGAGATAGCAGATCCGATATTACGCGTAAAACCAAAGGTTGCAGTTGCAGTAGCGATATCGCGTTTCTATAAGACTGGTTAGCTATGCCTTGAAAAGTATAGGCGGATATCAATAATGCAGCGCGGCAGCCAAGGTGCAGCGCCCCAAGAGATGCTGTGCTTTATGTGTATTTCGCTTCAACGGTTGCAGTAGTTCTCCGAAGAGTACCCAAACTGCTGGAGCACTATACTCTCTTATCGCGTGCGACCAATTGTCGATTTCGACACCCCGCGCATACCGAACACCATAATTGAAGAGGCTCAACTTACCGGTACGAGACTCTGCAGAGCGATAAGCGGACTCTGGAAGTTGGGTCCAACACCAATTCCAGCAATGATCTGATAGATAATGATCTTGGCCCAGGACGAATTGACATCGAAATCGATAAACAGACCGAATCCAAGAGTCATCATAGCCATGCCGAACCAAATTAAGGGAAGGTATTGTCCGGTTTTCTTGATGAAGATTCCAGTGAACATCGACATGAACGATAGCGCCACTGCTTGGGGAAGCAGGTAGACTCCAGAGAGGATAGGCGTTGCTCCCAATACGGCCTGGAAGTAGAGTGGGAGGAAATAGTTTCCGGCGATGAAGACGAAAGCGTGGAAGAAGCATGTGCTGAGAGCCGCCAGGTTGGATCGCTTGGAAAACAGGTCTAGTGGCATCAAAGGGTAAGGCGCAACTCTCCACTCAATGAGGAAGAAAATCCCCACAACTACAGCCCCAAACACGATAAGGCAGACGACAGTGGCCGAGCTCCAGGGGTACGTGATACCGCCGAATTCCAGTCCAAGCAGGACCATGATTACACCACCGACCATAGTCAGGGACCCAAGCCAGTCGACAGCTTTTAGCCCCTCGCGCAAGGGCGTCTTTGGTGTTTGAATATCAAGGAACAGCAAGATGATGATGAAAGCCACGCCGTCGAATGGTAGGTTAATATAGAAGCACCATCTGAACATGTTAGCACGAGTCGGCGACAAAGTGATGAATCATATACCTCCATGACACCTTCTGGGTAAACACGCCTCCCACAACTGGACCCAGGGAAGAAGCAAGAGCCCAGACGCCTCCAATCATGCCAAAGTACATTCCACGATCGCGGACTGAGAACAAGTCGGAGATGGCAATGTTCACTAATGTGATCAGACCTCCACCGCCAATGCCTTGAATTGCCCTAGCTGCAATGAGCATATCCATATTGACCGAAACTCCCGCAAGCAACGAGCCCACAAAGAAGATGGCATTGGTCACAAGCAATATAGGTTTTCTTCCAAAAATGTCCGACACCTTGCCCCAAATAGGCGTTGAAGCACTCTGCGCAATGAGGTATGCAGTGCCGATCCATGTGTACCCGGAGGCTGAATTGAACTCGGCGGTTATGGTCGGTAGGGCGGTGGTAACGATCGTTATGTCAAGAGCTCTATACCAATATCAGACCTCATAAACTTGGATTCTGAAGCTTCTGCTTACACGAGGAGGACGGCGACGGCCAGCGAGGCCATGATGAGCCCGATCTTCAGCTTGCTGCGCTGGGGTTGCTCGCCTGGCGCTGCAGTCACATCGGTAGGGACATTGTCGCCGTCATGTTTCTCTCCATTTGCTGCCTGAGCTGCAGGTCCATTGCCGTCTCTTTCCACTACGCTGCTGTCGCTCGATGGTGGTGTTGCGACACCGCCGTCCTTGTGCAGCGCGCTTGAAGTAGGCGCATCAACCGGTTGCGAACCAGGCGTCTTTTCTCGTGTTGAATTCATGGTCAGTCACTCTTGAAATCACGGATTGCGAATGAAAGGACCGAAGTGAAATCTCATTGTCGAGGCGAAAGACCGTTGACGTCAATCAAAAAGTTGACAGGCCTCCATCTCGCGTCGGGGGTTTCGTGAGACCGAGCCAGATTCAGCCTCCATTTCTGCTGGGGATCGGGGTCGAGATCACGGGTTCGGAGCTCACGGGACCCGCACAAATGCCTTACCAATACGTACCTATATATGTATGTAGATGCTCTGTCTTTAGAACGACAGAGTCTTGTTCACGATGCGGCCAGAAATCATCGTCAGCGTCAGCGCGCAAGAACGATGGTCCGAGATTTGGATGTGCCTCGGCTGTCCAATTACGACAGCTGTCAGCATGCGCCACACCTGCGTGACTGTTTGGTCCGATGAAAGCTCGCCATGTGCGATGGGGCTTGCGACAGCTATGTTGATCAGTCTAAGTCTGGGACCGCGAATATGCAGCCTCAGGGTCGGGAGCCATCGGGCTGCTCAGGGTACACCATCAAGCTTCGCTTGGAAAAGATATCGACTTCCGTTACCCGTGCCGTTGCAGATGGCCCTACCTGAATGCAGACACTGGCCTGGGGCATAGAGTGGAGAGGACGGACCCCCCGTAACGAAGCGAAGAAGCGTGGTTTACCAGACTTAGGAACAAATATGGGGGGACTGAGTGTGTCTTGTTGAACCTCGTCTCCACAACACCGCATTGCGTGCTAGCAGGATGCGTTCCATTATCATCGTTTTCATTGTATACGACATCAAGCCCACTTATGTGCTGCAACATGGCGTCTCGGTACCATGGAAAGGTACTCCTCCAGAGTCCATGGTGCCTCCTTGGAACGGCTGAGGGAATAGATCAGATCGAGATGACGGGTTCGACTCTATTTTAGCAGACCTGTCTTCCGGAAGCACTTTCAAGTACATTCCTGTTCGATAAGCTTCAATAGCACGCAAAAGTCAATGCCCCTCCTTCCCCAGACGGCAGGTGCAACAGTGGCTGTTGGGATGCACAGGACGCAGATGTTGGCAGCCGTTGACCGATCGTACGGCACCTCCACAGGTTCTTCAACGCGGCGAGCAGGCATTGTGTGGAGGTGCAGCAGTTTGCAGAGTGCACGATGCCGTCATGGCAATTCTTCCAGGGTGCGTGTTGTTGTGGTTGAGAAGCTAGTTTTGGGCTAGTCTAATCTCGCAGAGCAGGCACTGCCTATGGGATGCCTCCCGCGGCAGACGTTATCATCGCAACCATGGCGTCGACCAGACCTTATTTAATGTTTGGGCTTCTATCGGTCGGAATCTTTGCGAATGCGTCTGCAGCCATTCCCCCGCATTTGGCGGTTGAGAGGCAATGCAGTCAGCGGGCAAGTCGAGCGAAGCCACCCAGCGTCCGGCGGCATTCTCTCTCTCGCGCAATCCCCCCAAGAGACCGAGGCCACGTGAGGAGGCGATCGCAGTGGTCTAGGCTCGTAGCTTCCAAGGTTCTTTCTGTTGGGGCTGCATGCCGATCAACCGACGCAGGCCCTGGAGGCGCCCGATAGCCTTGGACCGGGACGTTCATTGTCGCCAACGGACGCGCAGCAGGTGTGGGTCTGTCGACGAAAGAGGGCAGCCGCTCAACGTTGGACACTGGAGTGCTGCGCGAGGTTACGTTCACGGTGCACGCTGCGGGGAGGCCACCCAGACGGCGCGGACCAGCAAATCACTGTCGGTGAGGGTGAGGAGAAATGGCGCGGAGACCGGATGCAAGCATCTGGCGCCTTTAACTTTTGGCCCGAGTCGCTAGCTTGGGTGCCGTTTTGAAGAGTTTGGCGGGGACGCACTGCGCACAGACACGAATTGCCTAGTCCAGAAGTGCGTGCACTCCAGGGTTTCGAAGCTTTCAATTTGCCTTTCATTCCTGGATTTGCTCCTCCACTTGCTTTCCGCCCGCAACGATACCCTGATACCGTCGAGCTCGGCCACCGTCACCGCCCTTGCTGTGTTTGCCGCGCCTGCATTCTCCATCCGCCTCACCCACAACAAAGCAGACGACCCCCGCGCCCCCATCACCCGCAACAATTGCGACCGCCACGACCACGCATGTCGAGACCGAGTGGCCGCCCCAACACAGTGGAGGGAGCCTCGCCGCAGAGCGCCACTGTCGACGTCTTCCTGTGATTGATAGTGAGGCATTGAGCCGCTGCCCCGACGCAATGGCTCAGGTGCTCTCGTCGCGGCCCGAGGGCTCGCCGTTCCACTCCGCAATGCGCTCGCCATCCTCGTCCTCTCTCTTCGGAGACAACTACGCCCTCCGCAGGAATCAGAACTCGCTGCCCGACCTCCGCATACACTCTCCCAGCTCCTCGCGCACATCCTCGCTCCGATCCACCCCGTCCAGCAGTCTGTCCCTCGACACCAGGTCCGACGAATCCAGCAGCGAAGACGACAGCCTCTGTCTCCCCAACTACGGCTCTGCAGGCCGCTACCGAAAGCCAATCGCCTATCACATCGAGTCTGCGAGTCTCGCGCCCACTGCATACTTGCCGCGGACGCCTTCACCCTCGCCCGTAGATGCATTCTCCTCAGATACCCCTTTGACGACACCCGATCCCCTTCCCATGTCCGAGGATGACACGGCCGTGCGGAAAGAGCCCTCGCACCACGTGGACTACCTGTCCTACGATTGGCGCGAGGAGGATATTTGGTCGTCATGGCGGCACATTGTCGAGCACCGCAGCATCTACGGCGAGCGGTCAAGGCTAGAAAACGCATCGTGGCGAACGTGGGCCAAGTCCCAGTTTAAATTGAAGACGGTGTCGCCCGAGACGCTCAATTGGTGAGTGCCATCTGACTCGATCGGGACCCCTGTCGCTTTTGCCGATCAACCCCATCCGTGCACGCAATTTCTTGGTTTTCCTCACGAATCACACTAACGCGCCCCTTAGGCTGAAGGACGTCGACGTGACCTGGCTGTATGGCCCAATGCAACCAGCATCGAACAGGTTCAGCTCACAGCAGAATTCTGAGCCCGCTAGCCGGTTATCAAAAACAAATTCTTTTGTTCATGGCGTCAAGAAGCCAATCCTCAAGAAGCGGAGCATGTCCGAGGCGATGCTGCAAAAGTCACTATCGTCGTCATCGCTCGTAAAACAAGCTGCCGAGTCGATCCAGGCACAGCAAACCACTGGTGTGACGTTGGATCTGCGAAAGCCACGACCAATTATCGGCAGGGTGACGCCCGACTTCCCAACATCATCGACCACGTCGCGCGGAACCTTCTGGGAGCCAACTGACTATTTCTCGTCCAAGTCGACGTCTGGTCTGCACACACCTAGCGAAGGCGAGAAGAGGCACATTCGTTTTGACGACAAGGTCGAGCAGTGCATCGCCCTCGAGTGCAAAGAGGGAGATGACGACGAGGAAGATTTCAACCGTAATCCCTGGGCAAAAGATGATGAAGACTCGTCTTCAGACGAGGGAGTCGTGATGATGAAACGTGCACGTCGCCGGAAGCCATTGTCTCGAACCAATTCGAAGACCAGCGTTAGCACCACCGACAACAAGACGATTGCAAAACTGCCGTCCACTACACTAAAGTACAGGACAGACTCTCCGGATGTCACTGCAGAATCGAAAGCACAGTCCGCTTTCTGGAAGTCAAGTAGACTGTCCCCATCACCATCGTCAGAGACTCTCAAGCCATCATGTCCTTCGAGGAACTTTCTCCTTGCCGAGGACGATGACGAAGAGAGCGACGACTATTTTCATTCATCGGAGGAGCGACCCAGTACCCCAACGGCGGCCAATCCATATGCGGACCGCCGAGGAGCCGGAGGACTTCGACGAACTGAGTCAGGCATGTTCATGCCATTTGAAGAAAACGAGGAGGAGCTTCCACCGCCCGGCTTTATCGGCAAAATAGTCGACACAGTCAACACTGCGCGAGACATTGCGACGGTAGTGTGGAACGCTGGGTGGGGAGGAGAATAGAGCATCATTACTAGCGATGGCGTTAACTTGGGCGGAATGTACCATGGAAACGGATTGGGAAAACTGCTTATATGGGATACAAAGTATTGCTTCACGGCATCTGATCGATCTGGCGCGGTGTTCTGAGCAACGGCTCTGGTTAGAGCCTTACTTGCATTTGCGACCGGTGGGGCTATGGCCATGGTCCTGTCTCGCAACAGTAATACATACATACATTATTCGTCGCACCCGTGCCACATGACATGCTGTCACAATAGCGCCCTGTCAAACATGTGCGGTTCCCTCGTGGTTCATGGTTCGACACCATATCTAGTGAACCACGACGGACGGTTCGGCGGGGAACACCGACAGACGAACCAAACTTTTGCGAAACTCTAACCACGGAATCCTTGATATTAAGATTACACGTCCGTCACGTGCCATCTTGCATGAATGTGACTATATTTGTGGTGTGTGCTTATATCAAGTTTACGCTGTCTCAAACATGGGTGACGATGAGAGTTGATACTGTGTAAATGCTAAGTAAGACCATTCTTAGCGAGACTGCTAGGTTACGTTGCGGGGAAGCTTTAGGCAAGGCGGAGGCATGCTTCTCGTGGAGGCGCGATGCCAATATAAAGGCAACTGCCGGCTGCACGCCCTGGATTATGCGCTGCAATCAATCGCGCGGATGTGAAATTGGCCAGCTGTCCGTTCGGTGAAAGCAGAAAGCAGTTCTCGAAAGATCCATGAAGCTGTGCTCGGATGCTTGCACGGTGCCGGGGTCTGACCAATAGCGGTTCGGCAGGTGAGAGCTTGGGGCCCGCCTTCCAAGTTGACACGTTCGCAGCTTCCTGCCCGCCTTTATTTATCAAGAGCAACGCCCCAACTTCGTCGGCCAATCTCTCCTCAACTTTTTGCAATTCATCAAGTTCGCTGCTCTCCATTGACAGCAGGCAAGCACAATGCGTCTTGCAATCGGTGCCACTTACGCGCTCGCTGCCGCCGTCGTGCGTGCGGACGATGCCAGTGCTGCCGAGGCCGAACCATCAACCTCGACCTCTGTAGCCAAGCCTACCTTCACCGTGAGTGTTTGTGGCATCTGATCTGCTGGATTGCAGCTAACAGCACCCTCCAGCCCACCAAGCTCAAGGCGCCATTCCTCGAGCAGTTCACAGACGACTGGGAGGACCGATGGAAGCCTTCGCACGCAAAGAAGGATGTCAAGGCCGACGACGAGGAATGGGCATACGTTGGAACTTGGTCCGTTGAGGAGCCATCCGTGTTGAAGGGCATGGAGGGTGACAAGGGCCTGGTCATCAAGGACAAGGCTGCTCATCACGCTATCTCTGCCAAATTCCCCAAGGCGATTGACAACAAGGACAACACGCTTGTTGTCCAGTACGAAGTCAAGCTCCAAGGTACGTGATTTGTGCTCGACTTCTTGCCACAAGTCTTACTTACATATTTACAGATGGCTTGGAATGCGGTGGTGCGTACATGAAGCTGCTTCAGGACAACGCGGCACTCCACGCGGAGGAGTTCTCCAACGCTTCCCCTTACATCATCATGTTCGGTCCCGACAAGTGCGGTGCTACCAACAAGGTGCACTTCATCTTCCGACACAAGAACCCCAAGACGGGCGAGTACGAGGAGAAGCACCTCAAGAACCCTCCCATGGCCCGTATCGTCAAGACCACGAGCCTCTACACCCTGATCGTCAAGCCTGACAACAGCTTTGAGATCAAGATCGACGGCGAGTCTACCCGCAACGGTACCCTCCTCGAAGACTTCACCCCCTCCGTCAACCCGGAGAAGGAGATCGACGACCCCAACGACAAGAAGCCTGAAGACTGGGTTGACGAGGCCCGCATTGCGGACCCCGACGCGAAGAAGCCCGAAGACTGGGACGAGGACGCGCCCTTTGAGATTGTCGATGAGGAGGCGACCAAGCCCGAGGACTGGCTTGAGGATGAGCCCACCACCATTCCTGACCCAGAGGCTGAGAAGCCCGAGGACTGGGACGATGAGGAGGATGGCGACTGGATCGCACCCACGGTCCCCAACCCCAAGTGTGAGGAAGCCTCTGGCTGCGGCAAGTGGGAGCCCCCGATGAAGAAGAACCCTGCCTGGAAGGGCAAGTGGACTCCCGAGTTCATTGACAACCCGGCCTACAAGGGTGTATGGGCTCCCCAGAAGATCGCCAACCCCGACTACTTCGAGGACACCACCCCAGCCCAAGTTTGAGCCCATTGGTGCTGTAAGTATTGCTATTATTCGAATTTGATGACATTACTAACAAGTATATAGATTGGGTTTTGAGATCTGGACCATGCAGAAGGACATCCTCTTCGACAACATCTACATTGGTCACTCCATCGCCGACGCTGAGAAGCTCAAGGCTGAGACCTTCGACCCCAAGCACGCCGCTGAGAAGGCTGATGAGGAGGCCAACAAGCCCAAGGTTGAAGATTCTCCCAAGTCGCCCTCCGACCTGGTGTTCAAGGAGGACCCCGTCCGTTACGTTAA